AGGCGCGACATTACGCCGTAAATTCCATCAAGTAGGTATTTCACCGCCACCAGTAAAATACAAGAATTATGCCTGCGCATCTTTGCATATTCTGTAGAATTTCTATAATATACGTCGACGGGGTGGTTAAAAACTTCACGGAGCTTTCAGCGCATTTATCGCATTCGTTTTGATTAGGCACGTCAAAACGTCGCAGCGCTGACGAGCGTTGTTCCCGCCGCGAGCTCTGCGCAAGTTATCAAATTAATAATTAAAACATGTGACGGAGTAGCTTGCTGCGGGAGCACACGGCGGTGACATGCATCCTCTGCACGGCGATTCCGCGAAGAGGAGGCCTTCCAAGTCGAGGACACCATTGCGAGCTTAATGAATTCAATTGCTTTCGATCTCTTTCATTTCCACCGTGGAATAAATCCGCAAATAAAGACTCATCTCGCGACGTCTCGCTGCATACACTCTGCTCCACGCTACGCCTGAAAAAAGCATTAAATTTGAGATTAAATCTGTGCGTAACAAGACGAGCGCTTCTCATGGAATATTTTCTCATTGGAAAAAAGTTTACATCTTTAATTTGACTTTGCGAGACGAGGTGAAGGGATGCGATTATGGCGCTATGCGTGCGTTTGGAACACGCTGTAGGTGTTCAGCGGCATTATTCGAAAAGTGTGCCGACGTTTAGAATCGCATCGTTCGCATCATTCCATTTGCTTTACTTGTCTCACTGTTTACTGGACGCGCTGTGGCGTTTTTAAGTTTCGTTTACGAATGAATGCATTTTAATGCTTTTCATTTAATTACTTCTTGTGCGGCATCATGTAGGAAAGAAATTTCTTATAAACGATGCGCGACGTGTATTGGAATTGTAAGTGGAAAATCGACTTCTGCGTCACAACTTGTTGCATTTAATGTGAATTTTCGGGTTTAAGTACACTGCGCGCGTGAATTGCAAAGAAAACGTTGGTGTTTTGTTCAGTGAGGATGCAGGAGCGCACAAGAAGTGATTCAATTACATTGTGCGGTCTATTACATGCTCACTGTTGATTTATTTGAAGTAGCATTAATTGATTTAATGTTAATGAGCGCCAGCAAATAGAAAATGGCATTAGGTTCTTCGCTGGTTGTGAGGTGTCTCGTCTCGTTTTCTTCGCACTAATCGCGCACTTCACTCATTACACTCATTACACTCGCAGCCGGCCGTTTAGCATTGTTGATTTTCCTCGGACTGTTCTAATGTTCTAATTGTAAGTACGTTTTACACGCTTCCGTGCGCGCATCGCATCGAAAAAGTGCAATAAATTTATTCTCGAATTGATTGCGCCCCAGCTCTTTCTCTTTTTTCCTCGCGCGCGCACCTTGCGCGTCTCTTCATTCCGATTCGCGCGATGTGGGCAATAATTGAAGTTATTAATAATACACATTAATATCTTTTTTCCTGCTGCTGGCGCTCTTTTTTCCACGCGGTGGCTTTTTTTCTCCCTGCCACACTTCGACTACCGTAAGTAAACTATCCATTCCATTTCATTCCAAATCTAATTCCATTTTAAATGCTTGCAGCTGAATAACAATAAGCGATGCCAGTTGCGCGCGCGCGCGGCATTGGCACTACTGGCATTGCCGATCGACATTCAATTCAATTCCGTTTCGAACGGACGAAAGCATAACCGAAAGCAGGCGGCGGGCGGCCGCGTGTGCGAATCGAATCGTATATGCGAATAATTACAATAATTAATCGGTTATATCCAATTAATAAATGACCGGCGATTAATTGATTAACCAATTAGAACTAATGAAATTAATTTCGATCCGTGCGAGGAATGCGCTTCGAAACACTTCCAAGTGTTGTGTTGTGTGTGTCTCTGCGCGTTATCAGAAGCGCCACGGATTCGCGATCTGAATCCGATTTACCACAATTACGTATCGTGCTGTGAGAGTTCGACACTATTAGCGTTTAAAGTAGGACGATAATTGGCGAATTGTTAAATGATCGTTAAACTGAATCGATTTGATTCTTGGCTGCGCACAATCGTAATGTAAATCAATACGCTGCGTCGAAGAAATGCATCATAAAAAATCGCGGGCACATTAATCCTCCCGGGGCCGCTCTGATTAAATTAGAATACCCGGTCGGCATTTATTTGGATTAAGAGCAAATTAATAATTTCGACGGATTCTCAGCATTTTCAAACGGCGACCCAACGCGACGAAATGGATTCATCTCTAAATACTTCCGCGGATCAGAAACTGCCACGATCTCCGCGGCGCTTGACAGAGACGAATTTCGGCGATTCATCACTCTGTTGAATAATTCACGTAATTAGTAATTAGAGCTGCAAAGCGAAGTTTTTCACATGCAAATGTGCGGATTTTCGGCGCGTGCCACACCGCTACACATGTTTTCGGCGTCTCGTGTATATGCGAACCGTTTTGGCTACTTCTTCTTGTTGCAAACCGAAACGCCGACGCGGATTATTTCATCGTGTGTTGCGCGCGCGTTCGCGAAATAGTCAGAACGCGGAAGATTTATTGCTCGGCTGGTTTTTATGTTTCTCTCCTTGCATTTCGTTCATGTTCTTCGGGCTGTTGTTCATTAAGTTCCGTCTTGTTTTATAGTTCTAGAGAAGCGAATTAATTTGCAACACAGAATGACTACATGAAACAAGTACACGACTTGCCAATTTCTACTTTTTGCGCACACAAACAAAAACCCACAAGAAATTTATAGGTATTTATGTTAATATCCGAAATTAGACTATTAATATTCATCATAATCATCATTAATAATAAACACGCGTCTGTGGTGGTACCAGTTGTGTGCTGGTATGTATATTTTTTTCTTTCGGAAATTTCGCGTTTTGCGACCATATTTTACGCACTTAAAGACTTCGGCTCGGCGGTAATTAATTAGCAAGATATCGGCGGCGGGTTTAATTAAATTTATTGCATTGCGATGCCGGCAAGAGTTTAATACGTTGTAAAAAACGACGAAGAGAGCATTAATTAACACGTCGTAGGGTCGCCGCATCGTCGCTCCGCTTACAATTAGCACAGTATGCAAGATGGACAAACCCGACAACAAGCTCGCCGAGCGCCAGCCCAGCGTTTAATAACTTATTATAATAAAGTACGCAGCCGCTGAGAGCGCTTGCGAACCTCACCAGCGCGCGAGAGTGCGACTGTCAACCGTCTAGGAAGTGCGCGTTTGTTTTCGGAATTTAGCATGTGAATAATCTGCGGTTTATTCCTAACTGCAGCGAGATTTTCGTATTATTCGCCGGCGATAGGCGTCTGCCATCTCACGGTGGTGACGCCCGGCGCGGCATTCCGAAACGAGTTAATTCCATAACGTCGAGTGACATAAGTTAAGCGATATCGCATAATGTTCATTGTTTTATTATACACGGCACTCCACGGGGCACACACGCTGATGGTATCAACCAGGGAAACTTTAGCCATTCAAAAAGTTGTTCGCAAAAAATGATGCTTCATTATACTCGCTGTATATAAATATTCATAATTTTGTTGTTTATAGCTGGATTTGAATATTTCGTGTGTTGATTAGATTATTAGATTAGGCTTTGTGGGTGAGAAACATGCGCCTCGCAGGTAAAGTTTTATTAACGCGTGGGGCGATTAGCGAATGCAGCGCATACGTTGCGGGTGTTATCCTATGCGTCGTGTGGATGCTATTTCGCCATCATCACGCAAAGATTCAATTAATCGCGCGCCGAGATGTGCGAGTGCCATAGAATTCTCTCCTGCTAATCGCAATTTGCATGCATACAGGCTGTCACTCTCACGCCCTCAACTAAAACAAAAAAATGTACACAATTTTTTTTTCGTTTTTTTCGATTTTTTCCGCTAATTTTCCACGGAAACAAGTTGTGGGTATTTTGGGTGGCGTGCCTGTGGTGCGTTGTGTCGAGAAGGTTGAGGAAGGTCTTTCGTGAACACACTCGAGACGCTTTGGCGAGAGATTGATCTGCGCGGCACAGCATAGCATGGCGATGATCGTCGTCGTTACACATAGGACGTGAGAATTTATAAAGTGTCTTCGGGTACGCGCGCACTTGCACTTGCGGAGCGCGCTGCGCGCGTTCCACATACATGTACGTGTCGCTGGGCGCTGCGATAAAAAGCTGAAAATCGCGTGAAAATGGAAGAAAACGAAGCAGATGTAAACACGGAGCAAATCGGCGGACGAATGGGTACAGAATGTGGCGGCGCGCATTTTTACCGTATTTGCGCGAGTTTCTTCAGCGCGAGGCAGGCGCGCGCGCGCGCGGTGATGTGATGTTTACTGTTCTTCATTACTTCTCGCGCGCAGCTTTATTCACAGGCGATTATCGCTGGCTTAATCGACTTTTGGAAAAATTCGCGAAATTCATGCAAAGTCTCAATGCGTGCATTGTTTGCTGTTTGTTTAGCGCGTTTACACAATTGTTTTGTGCTCAAATAAAACTTTATTAATGGGAAACTTTCAGTGCAATTATTAGCAATTATTATTCAGAGGAGATTTTTTTTTTGTTTCTGCTTCAAACAGACGTTTTCTGCTGTAAATAGTGCAGTATTTTAGAAACTGCGAAGGTTTAATTTGAGATAATTAAACTTTCATAAGAAAACTCTTCAGAAATTGTTTTCACATTCATTTTACTTCATATTTTATGACAACTTTTGAAAGTACTTAAAAATATAATTTAAATTTTGTGAAAAATACAAAATTTTAATTTTTGTGAAAAATACAAAATTTTAATTTTTGTGATTATTTCACGTCTATGAACGATAAATTTAAGTTTGAAAGTTTTATGAATAATCTTTTCACATTCTTCACATTAATATTTCAATAAAATTACTAAAATTTTGCGAAACATACAAAATTTCAATTTTCTTGATTATTTCTTGTCTGTGAACGATAAATCTAAGTTTGGAATAAAATCGGACAGTGATTAGACTGTATTAGATCTAGATCTGGTCGTAATTCACAAATTCTCACTTCTTTCCAGATGTAAGTACTCGCATTTTCCCCCTACTCAATCGCCACTCAACGCGAGCACACCATGCCCACAGTCAAATCTCCTGGTGCTGGTGGACGGGCCGGGGCCGATGTACAGGTAGTATAAGTAAGCGCGAAGCCACCTGAGCCACCTGAGTCTCGCGTTCAATTCACGTTACGCCGGAGTAACAACTGTATACAAGAGCGTACGCTCCGCGGCACGCACGGCACGAGTTATCATCATCGCAGAGCGCGGCGCAGTTCTCGCAACCTAAACTAAGTCAACTCCGACGCACAGTGCGCGCAACAGGTCGGCCCCGATTGCAAATATAATAGTGATATCGAACAAATAATAAACCAAGCATCATCGCGATCGAGAACCGAGAGAGCTATATTGGTGCGCGCCGCGACCGACAGACAGACCGCAGCGGCAAGGACGCCGAAGGACGAAGAATCGCAGCAGCGCCCGCCAAGCAGTTTCATTATCAACGCATTAGCATCTGTCGAACGTATTGCCTTACCTAGGAGCGTTCGTCTCGCCGGCTACGAAGTGCACGTTGGACACATTGCATTACGCATTACGTTTTATTGCATATTTCGATATATTCCCGATAGCGGCGAAGGGGGATCCCACTCGCGTCGTCGTGATCTCGTGCTCGTCGATTTTTCCACCGGCTGCTCGCGCGCTCGTCATCCCATCCGAGAGCGATTTTTTTGCTCCACCTCGCCCCGTTTCGACGTATTACGCCACGCTGATACAAAAGACGGCGAAGACTTCGACACGCCGGGACGTATTTTCAATTAACAGGTTCGTAGAATATTATTTTCGTGTCCGTACGCTCCTCGTGGTTATGCTCCTTTTCTTCCTTTCCTTCTTCGCCTTCACGCGCAAAGCGCCGACTTTTAACGCGTTCTTATTTTACATTCAGCGTCAAAAGGCGTTATTATTAAATTCGTTTCTTTTTTCTTTGCATTAATTTCTTTCATCATGCGCGATGCATTTAGTAATTGCTAGGATAACGAGTTTTTGGGAAGCGATTTCGTCCGTCATGATTCATTAAAATTGAATTAATCAGTGACAAGCCGCGCGGCGCAATATTTCATTCGGGTAATTTATTCAGATTCGATTTCCGAACTTTCATCATTCTAATGCCGCGCAGAGAAATGCTGGGACAAATTCGCCAATTTGCCAAGTGTGAGGAATTCACCTCTAATGTCTTCACGGCGCCAATTAATGGCATAGTTGATTAGAAAGCAATTAAAAATGTGTTCATCGCTCGCTTGTGTGTGAGAAGATGCGGAATCGGGTTCAATATCGATCCGGCGGTGAAATGTCATTTGTCGAATCTAGGTTTGCGCGTCGCGATCTTTTTCTGCACAAAATCGAAGTTGGTTTCGAACGCAAACCGCTTAATTTGATTAAACCTGGTGCGAATGAAGTGTTTGTGTCACTTTCACAGCACATTCGACCGCAAATGCTTTTTTCCCGGACGAAAGAAATTGCGGGAACAAATTAAAATTAAAATCGCCGATTTATAAATCATGCCATTGCGCCGCGCGTCGAGTGTTTTTATTTTCCTCTTTCCACCTGACGATTCACAACTTTTGGTTCTCGCCAGCGAGCGTGGCGACGTGTAATTCGACACCCGGCAAGCGCAGATCGAGAAAAAAAACAAACACTACACACACACTCATCGGAGCTGTTTCGAAGAGGAAACAGAAACAAGAGGAGGACTAATGAAGAAGCTGCACGCGCTGCATTAGGAAATGATCACATCTCGTATTTTCACGATGTTAAATAATAATTAAGGTCATGCATGCAAATCGAACACATTTGCTTGTATTTAGTTATCTTGCATCGTAAGTAAATAACCCAGCTGTAATTACCGACGCAGTGCCAGCAGTGGCAACAGCCACTTACACTCGAAACACTTTATAAACTTTACATGCCTCACACACTCGACGACAGCACGCCGCGGACCAAATGTGCGAAAGAAATGAGATTTCAATTTTCTTTCGCGCCTAACAAACCGCTTTATTTAATGAAATTTGGTGCGCGCAAATTATACATTTACGCGCGCGCGCGCTGGACTTTCACAATCTGCAAAATGCGTCGGACTCATTTCCTTACGTCCGCGTTTTTCGCACCGCAAACCGCTTTAGTAATCGTCAATAATCGCGCGTTTAGTACATTTAATTCGTACTTATGTTTTGCGCGGCGCGGGTTCGTCGCTGTTTCGATCGTTGAATTGATGAATAGATTTTTGATTCCGTCGCCGCGAGGCGGCAATAAAGCGAAGATTAGCAGCCAGTCAACTTTCGGTTACCTGCACAGCGCGCCGCAACCCTACAAGTGCGAAAATCATCATCGACGTCAACATGGACGTAGTCAATTCGAACGTTATTATTACGCCTGCCAGGGTCACCAGATTTATGGCGCAACATTAAATTAAATTGTCGGCGCAGCGACGAATTTCGTCGTTCGTTTATGGCGCATCAAATACATTAACAGCAGCGCGCACAAAAAAAGTGATGAAGAATGCCGGTTTTCGCGATGAAATTGAAATTGTGCGCGGCGTGTGCTTGTGACTTGTCTCATTGCGTTTCTCCTTCGGCTGGCTGTAGAAAAAGTAGTAATAGTATAGTGGCAATCGATACAAATCGATGCGAGAGATCGTCGCATGATAAACGCGAGCGTGTGACGGTTTGTCGCCGCTGGAAACGTCGCGAGTTGTTAACGACGAGGCGCCTTGAATTTGTTTGACTAATTACATAATGAGAGACCGAAGGCGCTCATTAACAACTTATAAATAGTACCTCACAGTATATATAGATATAGGCAGGCGGTGTACATGCATACCGGTCGCGATGTTCGCTTTTTCGTGTCCCTCGTGGCTTGTTTTGGTGCGACACTCGCTGAAAAATCGCTGGATTTTTATTCCAGCGTTTGTGCTTTTATGGCGCGCTCGCTGCAAACAACTTTATAAACAGTCTGCGTTTTCATTTTCATAAATTTTCCAATTCAATTCAATCCGACGGGACGTAAAAAGCTAATGAAAACGTTTTCACTCTCGTTCGCGTCACGTTTCAATTGCGCATCTTCGCATGATGCGGCGCGCGGATTACCTAAGTAGGAAATTTAACGTTTCCGCGGAGCAGAGAAGTGCACATAGGTATATATATATACACTCCGATAACGCAATAATTAGTAATAATTAGGTGTCGGCCGTCCGTGCTGCCGGTGCGCCCGTGCGAACGCTGCGAAAGCGATTATTATAAGCGTTATTTATTTGTAGTAAAATTTTTATTGTCATATTTAATTCATGCGCGTCGCGGGAAAAGAGGTCGGGCCGGGAAGCCAGCCCGCAGCACTTACTGCTTGCTACTAAGACTGGTAGCTAATTAAACACAGAAACAGAATTAGTGTCGCTATTAGGCTATCGGTATCGGATGTCGGGCTGATGCTGCTGCTGCTGCCGATCCACGCATCGCATTTGCACACAATCGGCCTGCATTATTCACACACGTGTGTTCTGCGCTCGCGGTATCTAATCGCGCGGTGCGACCGGGCGACGTCGTTAATGCAGCTCATGCTTCTTCTTCATCATCGTCTTCTTTGCGCCTGCTTCGTGGCCTTAGTGCAAGTGCAAGTTCAAGCGCAAGTGCAAGTGTTTGCGCGCCGCGCTCGTCTTATTTTCGCTCGGCCATAAACGCTGGAATGCACCCGCAGATCGACTTCACTTTCTTCGCGCGCGCGGAGGACGCGCCGATAGCGCGCTATCAATAATTGTCGATGTTAATTGCGACCGCACTGCGCGACCAACAAATCCACTCACCACGGCCGCCACTATCTGCGCGACGAGCACTTTAACGCGCATGTTGCGCCGTCTCGGGGGCGAAAAATCGCTTTAAATTTTAATTCGCGCGATTTGCAAACATGCGGATGCATGCCTCCAGCCCGCGCTGAAAATGAGTTCAAGTAGCGCTCTAATCGGTTTTATGTTGCGTCAACTAATTGGCTTGTAATTAAAAGCGTGCGTGTGTAATTCTGCCTGCACTCGATGTATACGCACAATAACAACTAATAGCATTTAATAAAGACTTGATTAATGATAGTAATGATCGTAATCATAGGTGCACTACACGTCGCATCGAGTGGATATAAATAACAAACTAACGGCGCTGTTGTGTTAACATTTTATTCGTTGTCAAGCATTGCTGCACCGCGCGTTCAAGTCATAATCACAATCATAAACATAATCATGTGTGTATTTACCGCTCAATTTCCAGCCGGGGACAAGGCGATCCGCCAAGGACGGCAAATTGTTTCGTTTGATTCAATTAATCGAAACGCAGCGCGATGATCAGACACACGCATGAAATTCAAATCGGCGTCGATTCGATTAGCGCTCTTGTTTTGTTTGCAAACGCGCGAGTCGCTGATAGTTTGTTATTAAGCGTCATAAACTATGCGAAAATGATTATTTTCACGCCTCCCAGATCGATCGATTTTTTACGATCGTATCTCGTGACGGCGTGGCGCCACTCGTATCTGGATTAATATCAATAAATTGTGATTTCGTCATAAATTTGCTGCAAACAAAAAAATAACAACATGCCCAGTTTTTTTCCGGCAAATTTCGCGAATATTTTTCGTAATTAAGAGAAGTTTTGTAGGCCGTGTCGTAAACTGGATGATAAATGTCGACGTGTTGCTATAATGCTATAAATAATATGATGTATTGACGGGTAATAAACGAAATGAACTAGGAAAAATAAAAATATTCATTTAAGTCTCATGTCATTACTCATTACGGCCCGGCCGGAGCACTTTTATTTTTGATCGCATCGCAATTGCGAATTTTTTCTTCGTTTTTTCATTAAAAAAAAAACGATTTAAAAAAATACGCAGGCGAGATAATTATTATGCGGCCGTGGCGCACTTACAGAAAACAATGGTCGGACTTTTATGTTTTCGCCGTGGTTTTTTGCGTGCGTGTGCACCTAATTTGTATGCGATCACGTTTTATTACACTGCATTACAGTGCAGTTTGCGCATCGCGCAGCTTCGCCGCCAACTGGAGGATTCCATCGTCCTCTTTTTCGTCGTCCTGGTAGACGACGCACGCATGCTTAGGCCTCTACCTAGTTTTCTATTAAACGCTCGTAATTTACTGCGGGCGAATGTGATGCAAATCCGTGGATTTATGGCCGAAACGCGCCGACAAAACACGATTCGCGCCTTGATGCTGAAAGCTCAGCTTTGATTTCGTCCCGGGGACGCTAATTCAATACGAAGGCGAGCGCGCGCGAATAAATCAAGCAACAAATAAAAAGTAAAGTGCGCGCGTCGAGCGGCCGCTTAACTATTTACTTAACAATGTTGTATAATGCGACGTCGGTATTCAAGAGTGTTATCCTTTTTATGTTTTGATAATATTAATGATTTCGGACTTGCGCGTAATATTCACGGATTTGCGACTTAATTGGGGATGTAAACGACTAAAACATCATATTATTTACGACATTGCATGAAGATTATCAGTATTGTGATCATTTTACCCTGGAATGCGTCTAAAAACGTTTTTTAATTATCGTCGTTTTTTTTTCGCTGTGTGCTTTGAAACTTAAATAGACGTTCAGCGCGCAACTGTAATTTTTCTAACGCTATTCGAATATATAGGTGATCGTAATAAGTGCGTTCGGAGGGTATGCATTGCGTTCGCATTATGCAATTGTGTGCAGCGTGCGCGAGTCGAGCGCATAATTATCGGCCGCGGCTACCGTGCGCATCGTGTGCGTTTTCCGCGCACCGGCGGCGCCGTCGATGGATTCGCGCATTATTTGTTTACATTCCGCACACGCGGCTGCGTCTTCCAGCTATTAGTGGCTTCCGTAACTGTTCCGGAGGAGCAGCGTGGAGGTCCGGCGCGAACCGGCAATTCCATCTTCGTCGCAGTACACTAATTCGCGCGGCGGGCGCGCGCGATTTACCGTTGCCTGCAGTGTGCAGCTCCCAGTTTCAATTTCTGCGAATTTCTGACCATTTCATTAACATTAACCTCATTATGTTTTTTTTTATTCCACAATTGTTTTAATTAAGATTTTTTTTAACGTTTTCATAACGGGCCGCGTCCAAAAATAGCTTAATGGTTCATTTTATTGAATTTCTCGGCTTGCTACTTGAACAAACAACTAAACATACCTACATCTATTGATTTTAACTACTCCGCACAGTGATTTCGAGACACATTAAATACAAATTAAGTATCTCCGGGTATTGTGATTGAAAGTTAAGCAATGTGCAATATGCGAGCCGGCGAACAAACAGAACGAACAAGTGCGCGCACGCATTGTGTACGCTCGCAGCAACCCGGAAGACGTTTTAAATGTCGCCTGCGACCCTGCGAGATTAACGAAATGGTGCGCTGCTTATAGGAGCACGTCGCGTTTCATTGACAAAGTCATGAACCGCCATTTATCAGCCTCATGAGTATACAATGTAAAATGCAACCACACGCGTGCTGCATGCACGTTGCACCTTCACCTCTAGCGACAACAAAAAAGCCAGCCAACTTTCTCAAGTCAACTCAAGCCGCGCACAATAGACTTCCTCTACACGACACATGTGTCAACATAACTTAACAGTTTTACTCGTTTACAGCAAATTGCATCTTCAGCGCGCTTAATTAAGTTAGCCTAACGTTCGCGCTGGTTTAATTAGCGCGTCTTGGGTTTTTCGTTGGCCGCAAATAAATGCACCGCACTCTTGTATTCCAGCTAATAATATTAGCATTAATGCGCGATTATTTATTTCGCATTGCGAAACTGGAGCGGCGTTTTGTCATGTAATGAATAGCGAGCGCAGAATAATAACACAGCGCGTCGATGTCGTTGGGCGCACGAAAAGAACGCAAAAGAACGCGCCGAGATGCACGCAGATTACCCACTCGCGAGGGTTATTAATGCGCGCCGAGTGTGTGTGAATATTCGAAAGTTAATTAATGAACGTTTTCATTCGAAAATGGCATTTCATTTGCTGCGCTCGTTTAGGTTTTTGCGCGCCGCGAATCGTGGAAATCGCATTTTCATTTCAATCGCTGAAACGAAATCGACGAGCGTAATAAATAGCGCGCGCGCAGCAGATGAAGTCGAAGAACTCATCTGCATGCACTCACACACGCGCGCACATCACCAGCGGAAACTCTAATTACATTCAACACTTGTCATTAATAATGCACGAATCCTTTTTATCGCCTCGCTTGCGCTGCCTTTGCTCTTATTGCATTTCACAAGCGGGCATTTATTTACATGCGATTTTTACTTCTGCTTGTTTTATAGAAGCGTAAAAGTTTTTCTTCACACTGTCTAATAGTTCAATTAATTTAAACTTTAAAACGAGAAAAAGCACCTCGAGAGAGGCAAAAAAAACTCGTTAATGCCTTAATTAAACCGATTGCACTCGCGGCGTTGTGCATGTGTTTTCATTTCTCACATTTAAAGCCTTTTAACATTGTCGTTTCGGTCAAATTTCGTGTAATACCCGTCGTTAGCATTTAACGAACATATTTTTATCACGTCGGTGTTAATTAAAGCATCATTGAGTTGCGTATATTAAACGATGTAAAAGTCGAACGCACACAATGTGTAAACACGTTATTTTCATGTTTTATGCTCTATATTTAGCGTTTCTTGCATTCATTAACGTCTTACTATATTCTTTTTTTGTTCAGCTGATAATTCGTCAGAAAAAAAATCGTTTTCCGGGAGAAATTTTAAAATAAACGAATTTTAAACAATTAATTTCAAAGTAATTTATAGAAATGTTTGGATGAACGTCTAAATTAACTGCGAATTAATTTAAATATTATGATATTTATAAATTACACAGTTTTCATTGATGAAAACGAACCGGTAATCGCGAGAGTTGAGAGTTAAAAGTCACTCCACACTATGAATAAAATTATCGCGTGAGATTTGAAATTTAAATCAAGTGCTAAATTTAATTGAATTTAATTAATTTATGTTTCGAGCACTTAGCGTGCCGTACATACCGTATATAACGTGCTATATTTTCGCAAAGCAGCTTAAACTCAACTTATTGGAACGTACTAATTTAATTATTTTAATTGCGTTTCTATGTAATTGTTTACGCGTTCAATTAAGTAGCATTACGTTTCAATGTGGGATGTGTTTTTAGCTCGCACTTAATTAATTCCCCTCAATTAGTTTACACATTTATGATATTATCACACACACACAGAAAATGCGAATTTCATATCTGTCGGTATTTCAGCTATTTACTTTTCATTAGCTTTTTCTGTCGTCGTGGTGAACGTGCGCGGATTTAACTTGACTGGACAAAAACGTGCGTTTTCAATGTGCATTGCCCACCGAAATGAAATACGAGACAGTCGACTTTACTGAAATGCATATAAAACTGATTTATTTATGTTCTATTCAAACGTTACTCGAATGTTTCGTCATTTTTCTCTTTTCCATTCCGCGCGTGGTTTTTCACGCCGCGACATGTTGCGCACGTCGTTTTTCAGCTCTTTCAGCGCGATTAACACGACATACGCGTTTCGGTATGAATGCGAATGTGTTTACCGGTAAACACACAATTGACTTGGCCTTCAAATCGACACGACATATTCTTGTTGTCGAAATTTTTACTTCTATTGTTCTCATTCACGACAATTTGATGTTTTTTCGAGTTCAACTTTTCAATTAGCCAATTTGCGATTTGTGTATTACAGTTTTATAAATATTGTGCTGCTTGTTGAAGCACTCGAAGTATTTTCAGATGCGAGTATTGTAGGGTTAAAGCACAGATGCACGACGATGCAAAGCAAAACAAGCCCCGCATTTCGAGCTGAATTACGAGGCATTGAAACGCGCGATGAGTTTAATTATTAGTTTATTGCGTTATTAGCGATATTTGTTTTTCATCAAGTATCGTTTTCAGCGTTGAATAGCCGCCTGATGAATGTGCGCCGGTGCGTCTCCTCTTGATTTGTCAACTCACTTAGCACACACGGCGGCAGCGGCGCAGCAGCACATTCACCGAAATTGATTTGCGCACAAAAACACTCTGACGGCTTAATAAACTATCGATAATGACTTAATAAATAACAATCATGCGGCTTATTAGGAGCGCGTTTAATATACGAACGGTGCGCTAGGCGTGTGTGTTTATTCAAGAAAATTGTGTGCCGCGCAAAAAAAAAACTTAACTAAACTAACTAACTGTGTCACAACTCGGCGGGTCGTCTCGTTGAGACGGCGCTTTGAAAATGGCCGAAAACTTATGAGAATACGGCGGAATTAACGAGTACGAAATAAAAATAATAAGATAATAGGTCCGGGTCCTTGTGGTAACGACTAATGATATTAGTAAACGTTGGCAGAAAAAAAATTAACTATGTAGAAAATCAGCTGGGAATATTTTTGTAAGCATTGCGAAGAGTCAAGTTTACACGGAAACGGTTACAAATTGCTCGCATTTTCGCAATGTGACTAATATAATGTGTATCACTTAGGACTACTTTGGACGGACGATAAATTCGTGGTAAAAGTTCGTGCGCATTTTTGCCGCTATTATCTAGTTATGGTCCATAAATAAGTTCGCTGTTTTTTTTTTTTGCTCTGATTGTTGTAGTTCACATCGCGATCGCGAAATCGCACGTCGAAATCAGTTTTATTTATTTTTTGTCCGAACGCTGATTTATCTTATTGAATATTTCGCATTTTGTGCGCTCCCGAAGCACAATCGCAAATCGAATGTTCTATTGTCGCTGCGCACGCACAATCGTGATAGATTGCGATCGGTGATCGGCGATTTGTTTCGTTCGGCAATAAAATTCAGAGTCAGTCACGAGCTGCTGGGATCGATGGATGATTAATCGCGCTTCCTAATCATTTGGCATTATCAATTTCGACGCGCTGCTTCATATTTCGTGCTGTCGGCGGTTAAACGCGAGCATTTATGCGGTGGAAGGCGGCGGAATCACGAGTAATATAGCAGTTTCACTCGCGCAGCATTTATTTATTTCAAATGGACGGGCGGAGTTTCATGCCGGTGAAGTCATTTCGAATCGTTGGTGGTTTTTTTTTTTTTCTACTTCTTGCTTCGCACGTAGGGCGGTTGCAGCTCGTTGGTATTAATTGCATACTTAAGGTGCAATGTGCTGCGCTTTGTCAGTGCACATCCTCGGATTTTACTCGATGAGGATGGTATTGTTCGAGGATTTCAAGTTGTCACTCTGTTCCGTTACCACCGCGCCAATTAATCGCTCCATTAGCGAATTAATTACGAACATATGTCAACATCCAACGTCTTCATTCCTAATGAAGCAGGCGTTCGGGATTAGAAAGTGTTGCGAACTGCAAACAGTTAACGGTGTTCGCTATTTAATGCATGCACACCGACCGCGCGCCGTCGGTTTTGTTTGCTCTGGCTCGGTTTTGATTCTGTCGAGCGCAAAAAATTCATTATCAGACAGACAAAAGTACTGTTAGGGCTTTCTTTGCGTCTATTATCTGATCGACGCTGCTTTTCTCCTCGCGATGATTTGAATACTGAACTAGTTCAACGCGTTCGAAATTAATCGCGGCCCCGAAATTGCGCGAACAATAATCGAATGTGTAGTTAGTGTATGTGTGTGTGGAATATGGAAATGACTTAATAACCAACCACGCCGTGCTAAATGGTGCTATCGGCTCGCGTTAATTAATTGCCATTCATTGTTTATGTTTACACAGCGCCTTGGCCTTCGGTTTATTAGAGCCGGCGTCGCGGACTGAGTCGGCCTCCTCTGTGTGTTTTGTTAAAAGCTAAAAGTGTTTGTGAAGTTCGCGTACGGGCCGGGACGCGATTCTCTAATTATTGCCTTTGCGTTTAAACAGTCGCCGCGAGCAAAAGAAGCGCGAGACCTGCGCGCGCGATCCGTCGTTCGTACTCTCCTCTTCGCGCTTTGCCATCGTCATTCAGATGCGCGCTGCAAATGAGAAACAGTTCTTATGGCGCTGCGGAGAATTACGGGATTAATGTGTCTTAATGGAATAAATAACGAGCTGAGCGGATCGCATTTAATAGCGTTTTAGGTTGTTTTACGATCGCCGTTTTCGATTTCGTTTTGCCGTCGCCCATTGATAATTGTCATATTTACATGCGGCTAATAATGTTATTTCCATCTAATAACTTCATCTTCACGCAGTCGATATTACATTTATGAGCCATTCAATTGTCGATAAGTCGATAAATTACATCGCACTTGGCATTCACGCTCTAATTTCAAGTTATGTTATTTGTAGAACGATGAAGATGCTGACCACTTGTCTGATCCTCGCCGCAAGCGTGGCTTTTACCATGGCCGCCCCAGTGAAGCAAGCCGCCGCAGCAGCTGCTGCTGCGACCGCAATCGATGACAAACCGGAAAAGTCCTCCGGTCGTCAAGGAAAATCGCTCAATTATTACGATTATGTGCAGCCGGCTGAAGAGTTCGTTGACTACGGCGCCGCTGATGGTTATGAGGACGCCGATGGGGACGACTACGCCCTGGATTACGACCAGAACGACCTTGGACGCACGTTGCCGAAGAGGAAGAAGGTGCGTCGTCCGTATAACTCGCCCATATACTACATTCGCCTGCCGCCCCAACCGTACATGTTCGTACCGGGCTTCGGGTACGTTTCGCAGCCGCCGCAAAACCCCGTCCAGCAGTTCCTCAACGTGCCGGTGAGCTTCGTCTCCAACGGCAAGCCAGCGAATATTTATCAGTGGAGCGGTATTCAACAATTTCCTACACCAGCACCGCCAGCGCCTATTCCGCGCCCACAGCCGCCCGCGATGGTCCAGAGGCCTAAGCCGAAACCCGACAGCACGATACACCGTCTGCCCGGACAGTTCGCCTTCAACGGCAAACCGGAGGACATTTTTGTTCTCAGGGACTCGTACAACTCGCTGTACAGTGACGCTCTGCAGAATTTCTATCCTTGATTGGTGCTATTAAATCGTAACTTTCTTGCTATTTATAAATTAAGTAATATGTCGATTTCCTTTTTTGATATTTTTTCGAAATTACTGAAGAAATGTTTTTATTTAAATTGCACTTATTCATTCCACATTGAACTCCATCGAGGCTTAATTTATTTTTTATTTATTTTTAATTTGAAGTAATTTTATTTATATTATTTTTATTTTGTTATATTAACAATAAATTAAATATTTGGTTATTTAATTTATACACTGAAATACAACGCTTCGTTTTTTGTTGTTTCCCCCAATTATATCCTCACAATATACCTACGTTTATTTGTGTTATTAACTTGAACTGCTTTGAACGTTCTCGCGTGGGCAAACATTGCAATGCACAAACACAGATGTCGCTTCAGTTGACTTCATATGGTTTATTAGATGTGTCACGCACGTCATAGCCTCAAAAGTTTTTCACAACATTGCATGTCGAGTTAAATGATTTTCAAGCTCGCAATTGTTTTCAATTCATTATTTGATTTAACTATAGAATCCGAAGTAAAATGAATGAAAACAGTCATTCGTGCGTTTTAGACCACCAGTCAGACAACGCAGTAGTCACCGATTCTAGTCCTCCGAAAAATCGAAGAAAATCAAAGAAAAAAGCTCGCGATAAGGAAAGAAGTGAGATAAGCGCTAATCAAACATAATCTCGGTTAATTATTTGTGTTTCCATAGATTGTTTTGTCAACGTGAAATTTGCAATCACACCCATCATAAAGCCAAGTTCTGGTTTTGTCATTAAGCAGAAACTAGCCAAGAAGAATGTGCCAATAAATATCGCCCAGCATATTCCCAGTGGTAGTGAGTATTTTTATTTTGAATCCAACATGAAGAAAATGACACCTGTCCAGCCCAGAAGTCAGGAAAATGCGCAAAATAAATCTGGCTGGAGATCTCAGAGATCCAAACCATCCTCAAAGAAAGGTAATTTTTATTTTTATGTTTCTTTCCTATTAATATGATAATACTTTATAGTTTTTATTAATTGTAATTGATTACAGGTCCAGGTAACAACTCAAATCAACAGCAGGCTGCCTCAACAGATGCTTCACCAAGGCAGCAGTCTGGGAAGAATCAAAAGGATGAGAAGAAGGAGTTTTTACCATACCTAAGCAAGGAGGAGACACTTGCTGGAATCAAGGACGGCACTATATTCCAAGGAATTCTACGCATTAATCCAAACCAGCCAACCTCCGCATTTTGCCCGAATGCCGATCGCAGCGAGCCAGATTACTTAATTAATTCCCTCGCGGACAGGAACCGCGCTTTGGAAGGCGATGTGGTTGCGGTACGAATGCTGCCCGACCCCGAGGTTAGTGACAGGAACCTTTTTACTGTCGTACATATTCTTGAGCGTGTTCATCCGCGTATTGCTGCTGGTCATCTGAGTATTCTCTACCAGTGCAAACGAACGATACCAGTTTTTACCCCTCGTGATAAACGCTTTCCACGGATGAATATACGTGGTGACTTGCCACCGAATTTTATGCGCCAGCACAAAAAGTACGAACAAACGCTGTTTATTGCCAAGTTGGTCGAATGGGACACTCCCAGGTACGGTATCGGCACGATTGTCGAGAAGTTAGGCGAAAGCTGTGATCTCATGGCTGAGAATAAAGCCATTTTGTTGGAAAATAATATTCATTTTGAGAACTTCTCGCCGGAAGCTTTGTCGTACATGCCGCCAACTTTTGACTTGACTGACGATGAAATAAAACGGCGGTTGGATTTGCGTGACGAATGTATTTTTACCATTGACCCGTTGAGCGCCCGTGATCTGGACGATGCTGTGCATGTGAAGTCATTGCCGAATGGTAATTTTGAAATTGGCGTGCATATAGCAGATGTATCATATTATTTGCACGAGGATACGCCTCTGGATGAGTTGGTGGCGATGAGGGCCACGACGACATATCTCGTCGATAATGTCTATCATATGCTGCCGAGAGATATGTGCATGGCGTGCTCATTGCTGCCCGGTCGTGATTGTGCGGCATTTTCTGTCATTTGGGAGATGACTAAAGACGGCACCGTTGTGGAGAAGAAGTTCGCGCGAACCGTGATTGCCAACTGCACACAATTGGCATACGAGCACGCACAATGGATGATTATGAATCCGAATGCGACTAGCTGGCCTGTTGACCTGCCGAAGATTTACAGGTACACTCCAGCCGACATTCATAAAAGTGTGCTCATATTGCACAATATTGCGCAGCAAATGCGACAACGGCGATACGAAAATGGCGCATTGTATATATCGCAGATCAAATTGGCTTTCATGTTGAATTCAAACGGTGACCCTATAGACTACTACCAGCAGGAAACGAAGGAGGCCAACAATCTCATTGAAGAGTTTATGTTGCAAGCAAATATAAGCGTGGCAGAGAAAATTTATCACGTCTTTCCAGACTTGGCATTTTTACGTTGCCATGATGAACCGAATCCGCGTATGATCAATAATGTCAGGGAGAAATTGGAGATGATTGGTATACATCTAAATGTGGAATCTAGCGGTGATATACATAAAAGTATTCACACATTTAAAGCGCTCGGGCCAGATGGTAACTCACAATACTAACTAATAACAATAGATATTACTAATTATTTATTTGTATACTGTAGAGTACCCGAAATTTGTGGCTATAAACCACATGTTGACGAAACCAATGACTCGCGCGACATATTTCTGCTCGAACGGCAGGGAATTTGGTGATTTTTATCATTACGCGCTCTCAATTCCGATCTACACGCATTTTACTTCCCCAATTCGTCGGTATGCTGATGTTGTGGTACATCGCTTACTGGCCGCAGCCATTGGACTTAGGGATAAGCCCATCTGGGGTGTGGAAAAGTTTCGCCAAGTTGCTCAGGTCTGCAATGAAATGAAATTCAATGCAAAGAATGCAGGCGAAGCGAGCTGCGACCTGATGCTGACTAAGTACATTCAAGCCCATCAGCCATTTGTCGTTCCTGCGGTTGTCGTCCAGGTTTTTGAAAAATATTTCGAAATCATCGTTTTGTCCTTGGGAAAAGTTATGCGTATTTTTACCAATGTAAGTATATTTAACGTTTTTATTCAAGTTTGAGTGATATTGAATCATTTGCATGTGTAGGAGGTGGAAAATGCTACGGTGGACGTTGAGACTGACGAAGGCCCGAACAATATAAAAATGATTAAACTGTTGATACATTACGTAGAAGAGGGACAACAGCCATGCACGCAGCTCATTGACATTTTCCAGGTTGTTAATATAGCATTAACGTATCAGACAAAGTATATGAAGTTGCATGGTAGTCTATTGCGGCCTGGATACAATTTTCCGACGCGTACTCTACAGTAGCACATTTTAACTAAAGTTATATTTTATGATTGATAACTAATTTTTATCCCGCAATTAATACGAAACATTTTATGATTTTTACAAAAAATTGATTTCGTATACTATTGGTTGATTTTTTTTTTCTAATTCAAGCCTCCATAGCGTACATAACTTATCAAGGTCCTTTAAATCCACAGAGAGTAACTAAAATTGACGAAGAACTACTATTAGTTCAATTGATATAGTTTAAGTAGATAATAAATATCGTGAAATATGACTGATATTTCCTAAGTGGTAAACTTATATCTAGTATCAACCAGACTAACAACTGACTAATAAACTGCAGAATGGCAGAAAGCACAAAAGAGCTGCGTACAAAAAATGTAAAAAAATGTCTGCATTTGCATTTGACTGTACATCGAAGCTAGTTGTAAATTAATTTATTGTGGAAGACTGGCCAAATTTCAATGACTGTTGAAGGTAGATATAGTATTTGTAATTTGAAATAACACTCATGCCTCGTATAAATCGAGAAGTAGATGAATCTGTGGAGCAGTAGAAGAAAAAAGATGCCTCTAGGGAGAAACGTTAAACAAGGTATACACATATTTGTATTATAGCTTTAAGTTTAATACGTATAATATAGAATAAATATTTATCGGAATGACCCAAAGATCACATCTATAATATATCTTATCGTCGCACGGCTGTCAATTCTCAATCCTGTTTTATTTGTCCGTCAATCTGTGTAGCGACTTTTAACGTAAGTATGAAAATTCGTTATTCTTTTCATACAGAACTTTTGTGAGTTTGTTTCGATACACTAATTTTTGTTTGTTTTAGGTGTCCAGCAACTAATCCCGACTTTGTAGAGTAACCATCTTTGTATCAGATTGTAAGTATTGAAATTCTATATTATTTTTATAAATAATATTTATAATTAACTAGCGGGAAACCCACGAAAATTATATTTTTGTATTTCGAGTCACTAATTTTTGTTTGTTTTGGGGGTCTAGCAACTGAACCCGACCTTGTATGCTAACCATTCCACCAGATGGTAAATATTAAATTTCACTATCATTTTCCTAAATAAAATTTGTGATTATCTCATGAATTAATGCTTAAAATTGCATTTTTGTGTTGCGGAGGACTAATTTTTGATTGTTTTAGGGATTTTTCTCCTGAACCTGATATCGTAGAAGAACCATTCTTTCAGCACATGGTAAGTATTAAATTTCTCTATCATTTTCCTATACATTTTGTGATTATCTCACGAATTAACCTTTAAAATTGCAATTTTGTGTTGCGGAGGACTAATTTTTGATTGTTTTAGGGATTTTTCTCCTAAGCCCGATATCGTAAAAGAACCATTCTTTCAGCATATGGTAAGTATTAAATTTTTCTATCATTTTCCTAAATAAATTTTGTGATTATCTCATGAATTAACCTTTAAAATTGCATTTTTGTGTTGCGGACGACTAATTTTTGATTGTTTTAGGGATTTTTCTTCTGAGCCCGATATCGTAGAAGAACCATTCTTTCAGGACATGGTAAGTATTAAATTTCTCCATCATTTTCCTAAATAAATTTTGTGATTATCCCACGAATTAACCTTTAAAATTGCATTTTTGTGTTGTGGAGGACTATTTTTTGATTGTTTTAGGGATTTTTCTCTTGTGTCCGATATCGTAGAAGAACCATTCTTTCAGCAGATGGTAAGTATTAAATTTCTCTATTGTTTTCATTAATAAATTTCGTGATTATCTCACGAATTAACTCTTAAAATCGCATTTTTGTGTTGCGGAGGACTAATTTTTGATTGTTTCAGGGATTTTGCACCTGAGTCTAATATCGTAGAAGGACAATTTTGCACCAGATGGTAAGTATTAAATTTCTCTACCGTTTTCAACAATACATTTCGTGATTATCTCAGCAATTAACCCTTAAAATTGCATTTTTGTGTTGCGGAGGACTAATTTTTGATTGTTTTAGGGATTTTGCACCTGAGTTTGATATCGTAGAAGGACCATTCTTGCATCAGATTGTAAGTATTAAATTTTTTTATTATTTTCCAAAATAACTTTTGCTATTATCTTACAAATTAACCACCAAAATTGCATTGTTCGAAGGACTAATTTTTGCTGGTTTTAGGGATTTCACTTTTATTTAGGATTTTTGGAACACAAGCAGAGCGTTACTCAAATCAAATTGAATGAATCAAAAGAAATACTACCCTGATGTTTTTAATTTTGTTTTGTGTCTCATATGTTGCTTGTGCCGGCGCAGCGCGTCAGTTTTCTTGCTTATTTAGATAGTACTGCTCGGGTCTATCTGCTTTGTTTACGCCTGATATCAATTCTCTTTATACTTTAGTCGATCGCGCGCTGTGCTACGGTTAGCACGTGTTTTGTTCGTCAGTCGATCTTCGTAGCGACTTTTCGCGTTTCTTACTTTAATTCTGTAATTGCCTTCATCGGCCTTTCGTAACAGGCTAATGTGACGCAACCTCAATTAATCATCGTTTCGCCTGTGTGCTTGGGATGTTCGTTCGGCCGGCCGTCGCTAGACATTATTCGCTTGTGGAATTATCTGCAACCGTGTTGGTCTTTATGTGCGCCGCGTGCGTGTTCATCGGCAGTCGTATATCTTCTCGAATATTGACCAAACTTGGATTTAATATTAATTCCTGCTGATAGACAACGTTGGTGCCAAGTTTTTGAGTATGGGAGTCATGGAATCTGCAATATCCATGAAAGAAATATTGAAGATGCGCACATTTTAAGGTAAGTCTTTACTGCTACGAGATTTGTGATTCGTCAATGTTTTTTTTATTTGAATGATATGTATTTTAAATGTTGTCAATAAAACACATTGTAATTGTAATTCTTATTTCTTTGTGGTATCCTCTTTGTCGTTTTCAGTTTTAAATAATATGGCATATAAGTCTTATGTGTGAGCAGCGGGTATAAGATAACTAACTGTTGCTTAAATTGTGTTGTTTTTAAAAACATGATAAAAGTAGAAACATAAATAGAAGAATCAAATATTAACGATAAAAACACTCGGTGGTCGAGTGGAGACATGCACCTGCTGGCATGCTAGCAGACACGGATCGAATCTCAGGTATAAAAGGCATTTTTCTCAAATATAAAAATATCAGGTGTAATTTGGGTTGCATATATGAATTGCAACTAAATATATGAGAAATAGAAATACAAGTGAAGGCAATATGAGAAATAAGAAAGAGCAAGTGGAGAATCGGAGAACAGAGAAGAAGAAGAAGAAGTAGTAGAGAAGAGGAGTAGGAAGAGGAAGGAGTAGAATAGAAGAAAAAGAACAGGAGAGGATCAGATTTTTAAATTTTTTGGCACGTGTCGTTATAAGACAGTCCACTGCTTCGATACGTCCATTGCTCCCGGCCCATCCTACAGCTGCGATGTCTCTGCGCTTCATCCCCGAAATACTCAGGCATATCAACAATTTTTATGGTGGGGGATCACCCCCAGAGAGAGGGAAGGAACTCCTTATAAGGACTTGTTCAAATATTTCTAAGTTTTAAGTCGAGGGGACACTTAAAAATATTCTTACAAGTTCTGACCTGTAGCAATGAAAGATGGAGTACACAAATCATACAGGATACCTTAACAATTTTTATAACGGGGATCATCCCCTGAGAGAGGGAACTCTCTTAGAGACCTGTACCTGAAAAGATAGAAGGGGTACATTCAAAGTATAAGACATAATATTTCTTAACATTTCTTTATTAATAAATACAATGTAAAATAATACAAGTTTAGATTTTACAAGCCAACAGAATTCATGCCGCAATATTGAAATCGGACTTTCGACCTGCTTAGCCGCGCAAACAACCGCGTACCACTAAGTGAAGTTCTAGCGGGATAAAGCAATTAGCAAAGTCAATTTTCATCGTGATTGAAAATGGAAACATATATACAGGGTGTTACAGAAAAGTACAGACAGGAATACATCTAAACACTCAAATATCGCTGGTTTTTCACGGTTACTCGGGGAAACAAATATACAGGGCGATACAAAAAGAAAATTCAAAGTGCAAAAAGTTAAATTCTAATAACAGTCAAAGCAAAATTTTCAGGAATGCGAAGGATAACGATTATACAAGGTGTCACAAATAGAAAATTCAACCGTCAAAGAGGAAAACATCTAAACACTATAAATATTGCTCGTTGTCACCCAATGTTCCGGGAAACTAATAAACAGGGTGTTACAACAAAAATGAGAGTGCCAAAAGAAAGCCCTAAAATCAAAGATAAAGGAAAATTTTCACGGACACAAAGAAAAGCAAATATACAGGGTGTTCCAGAAGGAAAATCCCAAGTTTAAAACAAAGAACACTCAAAACTCACAAATAAAGGCGATTTACTACGTACTGTTAGGGAAACTAATATACAGGGTGTTACAAAAGGAAGATTTAAAAAACTACAAATATGATCAACATTCACATCATGACGAGAGAAATTTATACCGGAACAACTATATTTTAACCTAAATTCAAAGATTTCACCCGAAAATCATCGGTAAGGTGAGAAAAAAAGGTGCTACAAAAATAAAACACCTATATTTTAATATATTGTGTATATATTTATCATTTGATCATAGCATCAACTGCATAAGGTAACCGACGGTTGAAGCATCATCATTAATTGGTAGAAAACATCCAAATCAGCAGACGGCAAGCGACGGCGCGTGGTAATACAGTAGGTAAATACGATAAAAATAACTAGTTACTTGTAAATATTAAGATATATGGAGACTATGATAGCAAAAAACTTTTCAACGTACAAGATTTTATTAGATCAACAAGAAACTTTTAAATTGAATGATGCTAAGGAGTATAAATCGATTAAAAACGCGTTAAGCGAAAAGAAGAACGAGCCGACGGTCGACGGCAAAGTGAGTGTGATCGACCACATGAATATTGTCATTTTAATAATCCTTAGATACTTTTATATAACAATGCTTGTAATAAATAAATCGTGCATGTTATTTTCGGAAACAGGGCTATGAATTCACATAAATAGTGCTACCACGTGTTTGTAATTTTCAAAATTAATATGTCTCAATTGGAATAATCAATTTAATAGATACCGTCTTAACTTTCCGGGAAAAAAATTAATTACACACCTACCAGTGCAATGATGAAAAGATTTTAGATCCAGGAGTATATCTTATGTGAACCGAAAACTCGTGCAGGAATTAGCAGACACTTATTTCTTACTTAAGAACACTCTAACCGTCACAACTCAAACAAAACAGCCACACATTCTCGTTACGAATATTTTGCTGATGACAAAAAGAATAGACGACGATTAATTGAATAATTGAAGTCTGAAAACGCGTGGCTAGTAGTGAGACGCGCGCGCGAACCACGCGGTGAAACACGACTGCCGTGTGCGCTGCGCGTTGCCAGGTACAAGGCAAGTGCGTCGCGATAATACCCGTCAGCCGAACGAAAAAGTTGTTTTTAAACAAACGTAGTGGTAAACACGTACTTGAGAAGACGAAAGTAAAAATTCACAACATTGAAATAACCAACATACACGAAATCTACTTTTACTTTCAATATTTCTTGGCATAAGAAAAGAATATATTGGTTTTGGGATGCCATAAGAATAAAGATAAGGAAATACAGACATTTGTAATTTACCAATACAAATATATGATTTATTGTCTTCGTATAACTTTACTGTATACCTTAGTTAATTAAATAATTGATGTTTACAACACCGCGACTAATTTAAATATTCTCTAAAAAATAGTGTATTAAAATCGGAAAAATAAGAAGTAAAAAAAATCATAACAAAAAATACATGAGGCGGTACGGCCCCTTTTTCCCAGTTTTTTTTTTCAATTCCGAATTGCACAAATTATATTTTATATTTTTTTTATTTATTTTTTCGTACGGTGCCCTGAACACGAGTCACTTTTACCGCTACCTTCGTAGGGTGCCTTGAATACGAGTAACTTCGCCACGAACCTTATACGGTTCCCAACGGCACTTGTCGGACAAGAACGGACTTCAAATTTTTAATATACGTAAAATCCCCAATAAGACAAGCTTGCTAAAATAAAAATCTGATTGTAGATTTCGAAAGATTGGATAAATCTCGATTAGATAAAAATTTAAAATTATTTAATTTCATAGAGTCCAAAATTTCACTTTTGAGCAGTTTTAATCATCTTTTAATGCAAATTTTCATAAAATATCATTTTTTTTTTCAATAAATTTGCAATAAATTCTGCATCTCTTGACATTGCGCTCAAATTTGTGTGAGGCCCCGTTCGCCCACAATAATGAAAAAAACGCACCTACTCGTAATTAACTCATGGACTCAAAAACCGGATAAAATTTCATTTTCTTGTAATAACTCACGTTGCAGACAAATCTTCTTTAACAAAATAATATAGCTTTATAGAGAATTAAATTCTGCATCTCTAGACATAGCGCTAAAAATTGTGTGCGGCCCCGTTCGTCCACAAAAATGAAAAAACGCACCTAATTAACTCAAAGACGCAAAAACCGGATAAAATATCATTTTTATGCAAAAATGGTTGTTTGTAAAGTAGGTTTACGATCGAGATGTTTACATGATAACGTCTTATTGGAGATATAAGTTTTTTTTGTTGCAATTGTTGTAACACTTCACTTGCACTTCACATTTTGTTTCACTGTTTTGTTTTCTCCATTCGTTTATATGCCGCTAGAGTGAGAGAGACGGAAGATCGGTCCACTCACTCGAACGCTATGCCTGCCTCCGCTCGTGTGGATTCCGCGTGACAAGTTTCACGGAATGACTGGCAGCGCTCGAGATGAGACGGGAGATCGGTCCGTCTCTCTCTGGTTATAGCGATCGGCCTCGTGACACAAGTTTCTGAACATGTCACCCGACTAAAACGATTTTAAAGACGTTATCACGTCAATAACTCACGTTGCAGACAAATCTCCTTTAACAAAATAATATAGCTTTATAGAGAATTAAATTCTGCATCTCTAGACATCGCGCTCAAAATTGTGTGCAGCCCCGTTCGTCCACAAAAATGAAAAAACGCACCTAATTAACTCAAAGACGCAAAAACTGGATAAAATATAATTTTTTTGCCATAACTCACGTTGCAGACAAATCTCCTTTAACAAAATAATATAGCTTTATAGAGAATTAAATTCTGCATCTCTAGACATCTCGCTCAAATTTGTGTGTAAAATTTGTGTGAAGCCCCGTTCGCCCACAATAATGAAAAAAACTATATTAATTAACATAGGTCGAAAATATAATTTTTTTGCCATAACTCACGTTGCAAACACATTTCCTCCAACAAATTCATATAGCCTTGTAGAGAATTAAATTTGGCATATCTAGACTTCACGCTCAAATTTGTGTGAAGCCCCGTTCGCCCACAATAATGAAAAAACTAACCTAATTAACAAATGTCGAAAAAACCGGATAAAACATAATTTTCTTTTGCAATAACTCACGTTGCAGACAAATCTCCTTCAACAAATTAATATAGCCTTATAGAGAATTAAATTCTGCATTAAAACGCCACTGAAAGTGTTAAAAAATGCAAATTTTCAATTCTTGACGACATATTTCAATTGCGAATATTTCATAAACCAAAAGAGATAGAAAGGAACGAATTGCAGGGTCTTAATCTACATACAATACTTTATAAAATAAGCGACTTAAATTGGAAGTTTAAAAGATGAAATTTTTCATTCATAAGAAAAAATGGGCTATACAATCATCCACGTACGGTGCCCTGAACAAGAGTCACTTCTACCACTGCCCTCTTCTAAACTAAAATCGCAAGCTACCAACGGATCAAAGAATATGAAAGATTGGAAAATTCTCTATCAGGTAAATATTAAAAATTATTTTGTTCCGTGGGGGTATATGCGATCAAACCTAAAATAAAATATACTGCATGCGATATGCGCAGATGGCAACGCGACACAAAAATTGTTGTTTATACACATACGTTGATAAATCAGCAATTTTTGGTGGATGCAAGTTCCATCTATGAATTTACTGTAAATATACACAAACAAATTTTCCACGTTCTTCAAAAAATGAAAATGAAAAACCTATCAGTGAGATGAAACAAGAATTGTCCTTAGCAAATTTTTATTTATAAATTACCTATTCTCGATCTCTCTTATATTCCCAATTTGAATACCTTATCTTATAGAGAATTTTACCAAGATTTAGAATCTTCATTCCGAAATAATTGGAATTAAAAAAGCGAGATAAAAAGGGGATAAGGATGGTTAAGATGGAATTCCGCTGAATTGCATCTTCAAGTAAAACTCTTACGCGTTTGTAAGCGAAGGAAAAACTAAACAGTTATTTTTGAGATGTATCAGCCGAGTACGCGACTATCTTATATATTTGCAAATACAAACTAATAGAGGACGCAGGAATTAAAACGAAAAAATATAATTGAATTTAAACATACCATTGCACAACTTATGGACTCCATGGCACGGCAAATACTGAAAATAAACAAAGAAAACAAGTTAAAACAAAAACATTTAATACAATTTAGTAATATTATAATCACACAACGGAGAAAAACAAACAATCTGTGCTGTTTAGTTAAAAGTATCGAGTACTTGCACCAGCACAATTGGTCCTCCTAATGATAATATCAAATCAACATGGGAGTAGATATCCGCACAAACAATACGAGTCGCGTAAAATAGTGGATCAACCAGATACCGGCACAAAACTGGCTGCAACATGTGCAAGGAACGACGCGACAGTTTATGATAAGAAAGCAATAGATGCGCATAGCCAGTGCGTCGATGGCACGCGACCCTGTGCGAGAATCGCTTTGGCACGTTACCCGCGATCAAAACTAAACTACGATGTGCCAACATGCGACGTGAGGGGATCTCATGCGTTGAATTCTCGCGGCGAATGCGATAAGAAAGTGTAAGTTGTGTTCAAAACAAAACCAATTCTCGTGTCGAATGCTCGCGCTTGCTGATAGCTATAGAAATAAACAATACTTGTCTATTATACAATTTTTGTTAATCTACGGACAATTCCCTATAAAATAAGCTAGTAAAATTGGAAATCAAAGGGAAGAAAAAAAAAACATCCTCATGTGGTTCCCAAAATACGAGTCACCTGCACCGCTGCCCTGCTACGGTACACCGAATGAGACTGAACTATACAATTGCGATTAATTGCTATATAACTAAATAAACAAAGAAAAACCAACGCTCTTGACATATTGAAGTCAATAAGCTTGAATAGTGCATATCTTTTAAACTAAAAGCGATTGCGACCAACAGATTTAAGAACATGAAAGATTGGAAAATTCTCTATAAGATAAAAATGGAAAATATTTCTATTCTTTGGGGTGAAGGTCCAAAAATATGACTAAAGCGATAAAATGTGCAATTTTCTGATTTTTGTCAAAAGATAAGAAATAAGAATACAACTGCATCGCTTGAAGTGACAACACATGCCATGCAATGTTAAGCACATGTTAAGCAATGTTAAGCCCATTAAGCATGAATATAACAATCTATAAAACACTACGAAAATATGATAATAAAGAAAAACAAACGGCGGAAACATAATCAATGTGGTTGAGAATATTATTTAATTTTCTTACTGGTTAGTAAACTTCCATCGTAAACGGCATCCGTCGGCACCCCGCTCACGAACAAATAAACAATATTTGCATTTCGCGAACATTTTATAAGCGATAAATCATTAACGAGACGCAATAATCAGTAGTATTTATTAAGAACACCGAAAGTAATACGAGTTACCGAATTAAATCCGAAGAAAGGAGAATCGCGACGACCGCGTGCGAATCGTTCGTCGGATACGGCGAAACTAATTTTATTCCTGCAGCGTGAGCAAACGATACACGCGGCGTCATCACACGGTCGCGTATATAGTACAAAACTATACACGAATATCGTACGCGAATCACCTGACAATAAGAGATAAGAACGAACCGGTCGAATTCCAGTGCGACGTGAGATCACAAGACTGTTGAGACACCACATCCAAACATTAGTTGTGTATTTACGCCAACACATATAAATTTGTGTTTACCTTTCTTTTCATTGTAGTTACTTCGAAACGCGCCAAATAAATCTTAATTCTGAAAACGTTAAGCTAAACATTGGAATATAATTGATCAATATGAATTTCCTTAGTCGTTTAAACCTGTTGCAATTTTATATCATTAAATGTATTAAATTTAAATTTGTCGAAGAATAATCGAAAGTTAATACAAAATACGCATCATTCCTACGCGTAAATCCACGCGACGATTCATAAAGTTCTTTAGGTGAATAGTGGCATTTTCAAATATGAGACAACTTACAGACAGTTAAAAATACATAATTGAACATTCAAATAACTGAAGAGATACGGAAATTTCTTCTCGCAAGGGAACGCACGCAAAGTAGGTACGGCATAAACGAGGCACTATAGAGGAATTGAAAATGAATGCAATAAGTGTTTCACTATCTCGCAAAGCTCATAGCAGCGCCATCTAGGCGTTGTAGATCTAAACATTTGCCAACATATTTAAAATTTGTACATCACTAGCGCTATCTAGTTGTGACGGTAACAACTAGATAAGATAGAAAACTGCAACATCACTAGTAACACTTGGATACTCAATCTGTTATAAATAATTTTAGAAAACATCCCACTTACACTTACAAAATAATGCAAAATCAGTACCTCCAGTTTTTTAAGTCATTAATCATGTTCAACATGCACTAAATAGTGAAATTAATCATCATGCATTAAGAACAAAAATGTGATTTCAAAGTTCAATATTGACTCAATGATGACAATCATTGCTTTATATGCATATATGTAGAAACTTCCTGCATTGGATTTAGAAATGGACTTAAAACTGGTACCATACTTTACAATTGATGCTTCTGGAATATGCTAATTAATTTAATGTTAAAGTTGAACATAGAATTTTATACATAGTATCTGCAATCAAGAACATATTAAGAATAAAGCAAGTATGTTCATAGTAACAAGAATAGAATATGTGGCAATCATAAGTACTACTATAAGAAGTTAATTAACTTCTCAGATAATTAATTTCACTTACTTTTATTGTACGATTGTGTAGTAGCAACGACAAGACGTGTTCATCCTTTCTGCATCATCGTAGAACTTGGCAATATGTCCGCCGCAGCGTAGGCCCACAGCCTCAGCTGGATTGCTGTAATGTTAGTTGCATACGTTAAAATGACTATAACCCAAAAGGCAAGATCAGAATTATTAGAAAAGTTTAATATTTTTTCAAAATGTTGATACGACGTGTGTTTGTTCAACTTAAACAACGTAAAACTGATTTCCATCGATTCATTGCAACATCGTCAGTACCAAAGCAATCAACAATCGAAACTGATGAAAGTGAACATGATGCTGAGTTAAATGAGAAATTACTCAGGGTTGCAATAGTTGGAAGTCCAAATGCAGGAAAAAGCACGTTAATCAATGCGTTGATGGATAGAAAAGTAAGTTGTTGTTAATTCTCTATACATTTCATGTATAAACTCTATGATTTACAGGTTTGCGCAGCTAGTAACAAGGTTCACACAACTAGAAACAAAGCTAGAGCTATTTTCACTGAAGGAGATTCTCAAATTGTATTCATAGACACACCAGGATTAGTACACTTTAAAGAAGTAAACAAGTATGTACCGGACATAAATAAACAACAAGTACCTAATTTTCTTCTCATGTTTAGGTATAATTTGGAAAAATCTTTCATCAGAGATACCAGATCCACACTTTTGGAAGCAGATATCATTGGTGTCATCCATGATGTCAGTAACACATACACCAGAGAGAGTCTGGACACTAAAGTCATCAATCTATTGGAGCATAAACAGAAGAAACCTAGTTTTTTAGTGTTGAACAAAGTAAATAACAAAGCCACTATACCAGCCCCTGATATTTAATAATATGAAAATAATTTCAGATTGATTTATTGAAATCCAAACGAAAACTGCTCGATATAACCCGAGTAGTCACCGAAGGAAGATTAAAAGGCGTCTTAATGCCGAATGCAAAACCGGAAGAGAACAAAAACGTGCGTGGTTGGCCGAATTTTTCCGAGATTTTTATGATTTCCGCGCTTACCACTAATGGATTAGACGATCTTCGCGCTTATCTCGTGTCGCAGGCAAAACCGCGCAAGTGGATGTTCCCTGACAATGTGTGGTCCGACCAAACACCAGAATTAATCATCACGAACACCGTGAAGGCGCAACTTTTAAACTACCTGCAGCAGGAAATTCCCTATCAATGCAAAGTACAGATGGAGTTTTTCGATATCAGCGAAACCGGCAGTATCAAAAGCGTTGTACTTGTAAAATGTCCGACGGATCGAATTGCGAAGTTGATTGCTGGTACTAGCAATGGTCGATTGAGGCAAATCAACGAGAATGTCCAGAGGGACTTGCAATCTGCGTTTCAGAACTTTGTTATGATTAGTATTGTGCTTCAAGGACCAAATGAAAATTATAATATGTAGTTGGTGAATTTTTAAAATATGTTGTTTCGATATATGCAACCAGCAATACGATTAGTTCTCATTTTGACAGTTGTTTGACATTCGACACTCGTCTAAAAAACAAGTCATTTTCCCCGTCATATTCAGTCCCCGATTCATTGTTGAGCGGTGCAAGTGTTTTTTCTTATACTTTGGTTTATAAATTTTTCTGCAAAATTCTGTAAGTACAAATGCAAGAAAAGATTTATGATTGCTATTATAACGAATTATTCGTCTAAAAATTGCAAAAATGCCGATTTTTATGTAGATCTAACCTCTAACGCGTCGATTTTCTAAGCCGCTGTTTGTTTGTGCAGAATCATGGAGTCCATCGCCACCGATTCTGGCAAAATTGTGAAGATGGAAGTCGATTATACGTCGACTTGCGACGAGAAAATTCCCGAGTGTAAAAAACTCGCCAGGTCCGGTAGACTACATGATGCAATTGATTGCTTACTCGCATTTGAGAAACTTACAAGAACAGGGGCTGATATGGTCTCCACAGGTCGTGTTCTTGTTGCAATCTGCCAAATATGCAGAGAAGCAAATAATTGGCCTGCACTTAATGAACACATCTCTTTGCTGTCAAAAAGAAGGTCACAGCTCAAGCAGGCTGTGGTGAAAATGGTCCAAGAGTGCTGTTCCTATGTGGATCAAACCCCAAATCAAGACATTCAAATTAAGCTCATTGATACTTTGAGGCAGGTGACTGAAGGCAAAATTTACGTGGAGGTCGAGCGTGCAAGATTGACGCATAAGCTCGCAAAGCTTCGTGAAAACGCAGGCAAAATCAACGAGGCGGCGAATATCATTCAGGAATTGCAAGTGGAGACGTACGGCTCAATGGAGAAACGCGAGAAAATCGAATTGATCCTGGAGCAGATGCGATTGTGTCTCGCGAAGCAAGATTATATCCGCACGCAGATTATTTCGAAGAAGATCAACACCAAATTCTTCGAGGACGAAGCCGCGCAGGATTTGAAGCTGAAGTACTACAGGTTAATGATGGAGCTCGATCAGCACGAGGGTTCGTACTTGGCGACGTGCAAGCATTACCGTGCTGTGCTGAACACTGCTTCGATTCAGGCGGTGCCAGCTGACAGACATGCCGCAGCGCAGGCTGTCGTCTTGTATCTTATTCTCGCGCCCCACGACAACGAGCAGTCTGATTTGATGCATCGCGTTCTCGCGAATGATAAGATCCTAGACGAGATCCCGCTGTTCAAGTCGTTGCTCAGACTGTTCACCACACCGGAACTTATTAAGTGGAATGGTCTATGCGAGACCTACCAGCAGGAGTTGAAGAGTACTCCCGTTTTCGGCAATGATGAACAATCGCGCAAGAGATGGAAGGATCTCAGGTACGTAATACAAATTAAATAAAAAATTCACTCACCTATTATGCGTAAATATAACATCCATGATTTGAATGTTGCAGGAATCGTTGTGTTGAGCATAATATTCGTGTAATGGCCAAGTATTACACACGGCTGCGCATCGCCCGAATGGCAGAGCTCTTGGACCTCACCACCGCTGAGACCGAGGACTTTCTCTCACAGATGGTTGTCTCGAAGTCCGTGCGGGCGAAGAGCGATCGGCTTTCTGGTGTAATCCACTTCCAGCAGTCAAAGGACCCCAGCGACATCCTCAACGACTGGTCGCGCGATCTTACTTCAATGATGTCGCTCGTCAACAAGACGACGCACTTGATCAACAAGGAGGAGTGCATTCACAAGCACCTGGCGTCCGTGTCGTTTCAACGGGACCTAGACATTAGATATCTCACGACTGTTATCATTGACCAGGAGCAAATTTAAGTGCAACTTGCGTCGCATCCGGTTACGCCGGCATTTTGATTACTGCTTATGTACGCCCTTTAAAATTAAGATGTAATAATGTCATGAAAACTATTGATGTAACTGAGCAAATAAAAATTTTCGTGGTACACTAAAAGTTTTATGTTTTTGTCCCGGAAATTTACAGTAAGCTTGCAAAATGGCGGCGTTTGTGAAGACAACTTTTAAAATTACACATTAAACTTGTTTAATCATCATTTTAAATGGAACATATAATGATACACATAAAAAACACAAACCTGAGTGTTAGTAGACACAATATTTGGACATACACTTTGTATTTTAAAGAAACACCGTTAGCGAATATGATTAAACCATTGTTTCACTCTGGCTAATTTTTAACTGATACGCCATCTTGTTAATTCGCTGCCAACATAAATTGTAAAAAGGTGAGTAATATGATTATGATCTAAAACTAATTTTGATAACAATCAAAATTGATTAGATCACTTTGTTGTAACCCACATTTTGAGATAAACACTTCAAAACTATAATAGAAACATGTTTTTTTTTATTAATAATAAGAGATATTTTGAACATTTCAAGTAGATTTTCAAGTGGAAGGCAACCAACTATGCACCGCAACAACGGAGCGGTCCAATTCAAAAATGAAACCCGAGATTCTCGTGGTTACTACAGTATTAAATATAAATAATCAATGGAATGAAGTTGTCGAATAAACAAACTCCCCGAAATGCCGCCGGCTAAAAATAGCGTGCGCACTCTTTATAAAACGCGCGCACGCTGGAATTCTTTGAACAGTAGTTACAGAAAACCGCTTACGATTCAAAAGTACCCGGCAAGCAATTGATATTTAAGCGATTTGTTTTTGTGCCACTCAGTAACGCCAAATACACGCACAAGAACGCGTCCCGCTCATTATTAAACAGATCAAAGGTTAACGACTACAGATAATCATTGCGCAGCTATCGATCAGGCTTCGCATGACAATGAATTTATTAAAAAAATCAAGACATGACGACTGTGATTGATCGACATTGACACAGTCTACGTCATTAGTTCGTTCTCGTCCGGTTTCATAATTAGATAATTGCGTATTCCAGGAGCGAGTCGGCGAAGATAGTGCGCGCGCTCATCGCAGAATAATTAAATTCACGAGTTCGGGGCTATAACCTAGAAATTTTGAAAAATCGTTAGAAAACACGCGGCAACACACTTTCGCACGGAATGTGGGTGTTTTTCACGAGTGAATTTAGTGTTCGATAATGGCAAACGCTTTCCATTAAACTGGTGCACGAACCGCGCGTTTTGATTCATTATTATTATATAATACGAGTGTCCAAACAGCGGAACATCTAAGGCGCACACTGAATAACACACAATGTCGGACTTAGAGGGTTATCACGTGAATAAATCCGAGCGGGTAAGTTCTCAGCATGATTAGAAACTTAATTAATTTTGAATTTAGTTCTTATCAATGCCTGTAGAGGGCTAGATTTGAAAAATTAAACTTATTGTTTTAATGCGCCATTTTGTTGCATTCGCCATCTTGAAATCTGATGAAATTCTAGGGAAAATGCATCAGGGTACGAAAATTATTCTCCCTGATCACTGTCGAACCCACGATGATTTTGTACATGATGGCATTCATGACCACATCGGTGGTGGAACAAGCTCTCTTCGTTGATAAAGCCTGCCGGGTGAATCATAACTACACCAAAGAGATTTGCGACGACATTGCTAATCCCAAGTACAAAGATATTAACAAAGAAGTACAAGTAAGTGCCTCCTAGCAAAGTTAAAAACTTTGTTTCATGCACATTTTTGTTTGCACTAGGTGACAGTCTCCGAATTTCATCAATGGAACGATATTGCTGGGCATGTAATTCCCATTATCTTAGCATTTTTCGTCGGAGCGTGGTCTGACAAGCGCGGGCGGAAAATTCCACTATTACTCGGCCTGATTGGAAAGTTCTACTACTCAGTAATGATCGTCGTCAATACACTACAGCCCACCTGGCCAGTGGAATACATAATCTACACCGCCACGTTTCCATCAACACTCACCGGTGCTGATGTTGCCATTTTCGCCGCTGCGTTCACGTATCTCTTCGATGTATCCTCACCCACCAATCGTACCCTGCGTGTAACAATTCTTGAAGTTTGTTATCTCGCTACAATGCCCACTGGTATCGCCCTCGGCAAATACCTCTTCAGCAATGTCACCGCGCGTTCATTCACCACCATGTTCATCATAAACGCCTCGCTGCTCTTGGCTAGTTTAATATACTCGATGATTTTCCTAAAATGGCGCACGTCGGAGATGCAGCGGCCATTACGCGAAGCCAACTGTATTCTCACAGACTTTTTCGATTACAAACACGTCGTGTCGACGTTCCAAACGCTCGGAAAGAAGCGCGCCATGGGTAGACGCACTTATCTACTGCTGATGATTGTCGCCATGGGTTTCTACAGTTTCCAGAGGGACGAAAAAGGCATGAGCTATTTATTCTTCCAACTGGAGCACAAGTGGTCGTTCGATCAGAACAGCAACTTTCGGACGTTCATCAGTGCCGTGCAGGATGTCATCCTTTTGCTGGCGATGCCACTGATGACAAAAGTCTTCGGCTGGCGCGATACGTTCATCATGATGATCGGTGCAGCGTGTCACAGCATTGCGCGCTTGTTCTATGCATTCGCTGATGTAACATGGTTAATATACATTGGTAAGTTGAATGAACGACGTTTTTTTTATGCTGATTATGAAACTTATTACAAATATTATGACATGGCACTAAACATATAGTAAACATGCTTATCAGCATATTTGCTTTATGCGCATTACGTATGCAACTATAAGTTTTGTTCTTCTAACAACAAAAAAACAGGGGGTGCATTCGCTGCATGTGGACCAATTGTTGCGCCGGTTCTGCGGTCAATTACCTCCAAACTAGTGCCAGTGAGCGAACGCGGAAAAGCGTTTTCCATGCTCTCCGTAACCGACAATGCAATCACACTCTTTTCGGGTATTGTGTACAATCAAGTGTACAAACTCTCCATCCACACCAATCCCGAGGCGATTTTTTATGTGACAATCGCCACGCAGATGGCTGTCTTCCTCATCGCATTGTAAGTAAAAATTAAATGTTTAAACTTCAAAATTTCAATTTCAATAAACTTTGTAATTGTTTCAGTTACATTCACTGTCATGCCAATGATACTCAACTCTGCCATAAGGACGATTACGACACAGAAGAAAGTAATCCATTCCCAACGTAATTCATACAAATATTTTTGTATCCATTTTGTAACGCTATACGTACTTTCCTTCGGGTTTTCTAACTTTTATACTCCACATAAATCATACGTAATGAAGCGTAGCGAGGGAATTCAGGTTCAGCTGCGTTTGTTTATGTTTTCATTTTATTTTACTTAACAATAAACTCTTTGATGTAATCAATTTAATATAACAGAATTAATAACCACCGGTTATAATATATTACTCTATCATGATCTTATAGAAAATTTATAAAATGCTAGGCAAACATCACTTGCGCTTAATTAATTTAACTTTAATTGTAGTGTGGTGTTGTGTGTGTGTGTGCATTTAATTTAAATTTAAAGCATTTACCATGCGTGCGACTGTTGTACGCTGGCAATGAATACCTCAAACAGTTTGCAAACAAAAGTGTAAACACTCCGGCATCACTCCGATAAGCTCGGTATAAAACTCGACGAAAATATAAAGTACGACACAATTTTTTTAGCAGGCATATCACAGTGGTTAATTTCTTAGGTCTAGGAATAAAAGTTGCACTCACCTTTCGAAGAACGCCTCAACGAGGATAAAACAAACTCAATTGTCGGGGTTGTTTGGCGGTAGGAGCCAGACGGGCGATGCGGCTTCAGATTTCTCTTCTTTCTTGTTGCTGTTCTTTCTGTAGCCTTGCCCGCGTCGGCGGTTAGGATTGTAGCGGTTGGCGTTTGTACTATCACGTTTTTGAGGTGAGAGGCGATACAGACCGATTGCTTCACCTTGAAATCACAAAAGGACACAATTTGTGAAACAATTTGACACCTGTATAAAACTCGCGGTGTTTTTAAAATATGAATACCGTACCATTTTGTGTTGTATCACTTGTATTGCTTGTTTTCCAAGCGTCAACATTTTCAAATTTGAACTTTTCAGCGTCCTCAGCGCCTAGTTGGTAATCGACGCTACTGTTAGGAAATATAAAATCAAAGTAATACTGCTTGAAATTATCCTCGTCGCAAATCATCTGCATTGCGACCCAGGTGTGGACAAGCAAAAGAGGAAAACGCGTTGTCCAGTACATCGTGAACTTTTCCGGTATCTCACCGAGCAGGACTTGCGATTCACGTGTTAGTTCATGATAGTGATGTTTCTGTAGAAACAAGAGATAAGATGCTATAAATTAAACGAAAAATTGCTTTTCAGTTACATACTTTGTTCCTTAATGCCCGTAAAAGATCCCTAAGAGAATTCCCTCTATAATTTCGATATTTTCTGAGATCCGAGGAAACTTCCTGATCGATGTGATGCTTCCAATCACCGCGAACAACAAACTGCGAATTTGCTTCCAGCGCCAACAGGACAGGATCGGTCGCGTCTGACTTCTCAACGCGATCGCTCACGTCTTGAAAGAACGCCAGCACCGTCTGATTGCTCCAAAACATTGGATGGCCACAAATCACACGACAATCTGGTCGTTCATTAGGCCGGTTACTAATCAGACTCGTCAGTAACAGTTTATATAGTTGAATCTTATCAATGGAGTCAACAAACTCGTCCATTGACCAACAATTCTCAAGAATATTCGCCTGGCGATGCAGACTATCCCCAAACGGATGGCCGCCATCGCTCAGAACGTAATAAAACAAACACCCGAACGAAAACAGATCAACTGCGCACGTGATGCTTTCACCCTCGCGAAGCATCTCGGGTGCTATCCACCCTTCAGTACCTGTGAGTCCCGAGCGTTTCGAAAAACTAGCTTTACCTAGTTGTAGTTTTTTGCTAAGGCCAAAATCGGAAATCATCGCGCGCACACGCCCGTTTGGTCCAGTCACCGACAACAAAACATTCTGCGGTTTAATGTCACGATGCACAATGTCTAACGAATGCAGATGCGCAAGACCGGCAGTCGCCTGTTGCAAAATCTCTAATTTACCAATCGGCACACTCACGCCATTGCTAATGTACTCGTTGAGAGTCGCCTGACACAATTCCAACGCAATGTAACGAAACTGCTGGTCTTGTTCAGTGCAAAAATAGCGCACAACGTTCGGATGCGCGTCGCTTTCGCGCAAAAGCGCTACTTCTCTATCAGCAAAGTCAAAACACTCCGGCAATAATCGCTTTACAGCCACTCTGCGTCCCTCAAACTCACCGCGGTACACAAATGTCCCTTCACAGCCCTTGCCGAGCAATTGACACTTGTTGAAACTGATCTTACCAATCCGCACACAACCGTCTGGAGTTTCAACTGAGACTTTTTCCGTGATTTCGCGACTGCTATACTTCAAACACGCCTGCATCGTAAGCACCGTCACTAAAATAGTGGTGAGAAAACTGAATGCCATTTGTAACCAAGGGAAACGCGCATCGTAGATGGGTTTCGCCCTTGGTAGATTAATTTTACTCTCGTCTGTGAGCAATTTTCCGTTGATAGGCTGCCCGGGAAGTAAAAACTTCTCATTGGCGTACTTTGGCAGGTCATAATGACCGAGGTAGATGATGCTGAACGATTTCGAATGTGTAGGCACGCTTTGGAATGTCATTGTGTCCATTATTGCGTCATGAGGTAGAGGATAATCTTGTCCAGGCAGAGGATAATCAATAATAACACCAGACGGCCTGTGCTCACCGTCCGGACCTTCAAGAAGCAACGGACGTCCGTCGGCGTTTGTTATCGTCACCATGTTTTGATCCACAAACGACGGCAACGCATATAAACCCTCCGGGTGTTCGCCAATGTATAAAGTTGGACTACAAATGTAAAACCACACAAAACATAAATATCTACTACGTAAAATGTGAAAAATCACAACTTACTAGAGTTTCATTTGTTGCGCATTCATATTACCGCGTTCTTCTTCCAGTAGATTATTAGCAAAGTTCAACAGTGTTTGATTCGATAACGATGTAAACGGCAGAGATATCAACCCATCAGGGTCAAGGATATAGGCACCGATGACAGGACTATCAAAGTTTTTCTCCCATACAATCGAACCACGTCGACGATCAAGTGTTAAAACCACTCCGGTGCTGCTGCTAGTAAAATGCAGAAAATCATACAATGCTGCGGTGTCTTTATCCATTGGGACAGCCGCATATTCGTAGAATGTGACATTCCATCGACGATTCGACTGTTTTGAGTCGACCATACGTAAACTGTACTCGGTGCGACCGATGTAAATCGCGTCGGGGGTCTGCACGGGGCATGTTGGACCGTGTAGGATGTCCCAGCCGAGAATTTGTTGGCGATTGCCCGTTTTGGGGTCCAACATAAACCATGTGTCTTTTTTCTTGCCAGTGTATAGGATACCGTCGGAACTTCGACATGGTGAACTCGTTACTAGTTCCGGAATGGTGAAACCAAGCTTTTTGATGCGTTCTTTGGTGTTGGTGATAACATAAAGCGATCCATCTTTTGGATCCGGTAAAAACACGGAGTTTAAGGCATCGACACCGTCTTTTGGAACGGTTATTATTGGTCCTAAAGAAACAAACAAACTTAACTTTCCAATATATGTTTTTTCCGTGATAACTATTTAACCACTTGTTGAATTTTAAAAATTCTTTTTGCTAAACATCCATTGTATCAATATTGACTATTTAAATAGCAAATAACATGCATTTACTTGTGATATGCTTAGAAACATGAGATTTTTATCATTTTGTCAAACATTCCTTCAGTTATATGTCAAAAACTGAGATCCACTGGTCAAAATACATTCAAAACTACCCTAAATTCAGTATAAAACAAATGCAGCCTTACTATCTCTAATTTTCCACTTTACACTTCCAGTTTCCTGGTCAATAGCATACAGATTGCCATTGAGTGTGCTGAATAACAACAATCTAGCATCAGTCTCCTTGGCAATGTCTGTGATTCCAACATCCAGATTACCCTGAAACAAAACCCGGTTCAGGTCGTATGTTGGCGCCGAGTGAAAACATACTTACATCAGGTGCTACAGTTGTTATTGATATTTCATCAGCCGCTATGAGCGTGTGTATGATGCAAAGGAGCGCGAGCGAGCGAAATATCCAACGACACATGCCGGCGAGCCGTGGTGCGCCAAGTATAGCACATTTAAACAATCACAAAAAGTCACTCGCGTCGAAACAATTATTATTGGCGTTTGTTGATTCGGATTTAAGCGTTTCGGAGGCGGTTGCGAAGGCAATATGGTCTGTTGCGGCCGTCCTGCTGTACGTCATATCTAAACTGATCTAAACAAAACATTCCTGCAATGACACGTAAGTTTATGTATGTTGGGTTGCATAGCACTGAGGATAAATGAACATTTTGTTTACTCGCAGAACAAATAAGAAAAGCTAATAAAGGTATTGCAAAGATAATAAATTATTATTACGGGCAATTATTACGATAATTTTAATTAATTTTATTACCGTCTGGCAGGGCTTCCCGACTGTGTGCAGGACTGCCAGTCAGACCGCCAATACTGTCCGCCAGACTGCGTGTGCTGACCGCCTGACTGCCGCAATCAGTAACTGAACGTAACGTATATGTAAAAAAACGCTAATTTTGTTTCTTTTCATGAGTAGCAAAGTGTGTATAGTATTGTTAATGCGTAATAAACATTGTGCAAAACAATAGAATTCTTAACGACAGATAAAATATGGAATTTAGTATTCAATGACGAAAACAACTCACGAGTTGTATGCGCTACACGCACTAAACTTGAAATAAATGCTCCAAACACAAATTAAAATGGAAAAGAGTTCAGTATTATCTACAAATACTGCAAATTTAATTCAACGCAAATTGCTAATCCGTCCGAATGACTTGCGGAACAACTTTTACAACAATCCAAATCCTCGGAGTTCGTACAAAAAACCAGTCCTCCATCTGTACCGCATCGAAAATTCAACGCAGAATAAACGGCATCTTCTTATGCCTTCAACCTCGCCGACTTTTTGCAAGCTCGCGCGTTGATTTGTTTATGAAGCCTTTCTTTTCGCAACACAAATAAATTCCTATCCTGTTGCGATCGCACTCATTAGCCAGTTGATAATTGTCGCTCGTTCCAAACTCGTCTTGCCGTATTCGGTATTCATTATTGTCGTCGATGCGATCGGCTATTAGATAGCGCTTAATAAAACTCAACCCAAGGTGTGATTGATTGGTGCGTGGATCAAGCACGAAGTACAGTTAGCTTAATATCATTTTCGGCTGCATTCGGGGCATTTCTTCAAAGGTAACGGTTTTGTTTTAATTGTTCGCTAAAAATTCCATCGGCCCCCATTTGCCACCTATCGCCGATATTCATTAATTCATCGCGCATTTGTCCGCTAACGGAATATATGTAGGTATTTAAAATGATATTAAATATTAATACGGATATTATTAATCTGCAATAATTATGAGTTAAGTGTTGAATCGCAGGAAAATGGCGTTTTCCTTTTTTGCTGAGTGCTTCTCGGGATCGCAATTAAATTCGAATAATTTTGCAACCTTGAACTTAACGCGAGTGCACTTAAATATATACTAGATATACCTACATATATGGAAGAGATTAGCATCACGTAACACACGCGGCGGTACTTCTGATCAATCGATCACGCTGTGAAAATGACTGGGTTGCAAATTTACTGTTCATTTATGGCAATTAATCACGGTTTATACAGGATTTGTTTTAATTCACTGAATGAATCGTGAAAATTAAACTGAAATCGGTCTATTTCCATTTTTAAAGAAAATTAAAATCAAAAATTAAAAAAATTATGCAAAAATTATAAACAACAATAAGAAAAACTATTAAAAATACTTAAATTCTTAATCATCTTTAATATTTTTTAAAACTAAGTAAAAAACAAATAAGATTATGGCCAAATGCCATTTACACGCGTCCGTAATTAAAGAATTGATTTTTATTTTCGTTAAAGATGCGCATTTCAAAGTTGTTTTTGCGCATTCAAGTCCCCGTCGGTGCAATATCTCTTTGCACGTGCGCTCGGCCGGCATTTATAAATAATAAACGATCGGACGATCATGATGGCACCTCTCGCATTTATCCGTGGGGCACAATTGTTTAATAAATGTTTAATTGGCGGTACACGCTTTCATTCCAATAGTTACAGCACGATCTAAACGCGAAACACTTCGCAAGACTTTGAACTTCGCTTTACTAAGTTTTACTAATGTTAAAATAAACGTTTTTTTGTTGAATTATACTAATTAATAATAAATTACTGGCATTTATCTATTGATTTACTACCTAATGGTCGAGTGCTTGATGCAGAAGTAGTGACACTCAGTGGGAATCGCACCAGCATCTAATTAAAATGGAATTGTAACATTTTATAACATTGACACATTGCCTCGGTCGCATTATCTGCAATTGCGGAATTGCGGGCCATCGTCACCATCGCAAAGAATAAACTCGTTTCCAAACAGGTTCAATTAGCGCGGCTGATAACGCGTTACAAATTCGTTAATGAAATGAACGCGCGAAGAATGCGCCCAATTGGCGGCGCGTACACGCAGCATTAATAATCGACCGGCATTCATACCGCAAGTCGTTATCAGCGCTCGAAATTTCGCCACATTCTTGTAATCGACGCCTTTTCGTTGTCAAACAATTTGCGGACGAGCGCGCGCGGGAGCTACTACCGCGAAGTGGGCGCACCACGCGGACGAAAAAATTGTATAAATTCATCGGCGTTTGTAAATCCGAATTAGTTCAATAATTTGCGTTGTTCGGTAAGTATCAGCAAAGAACGCACCAGCAAAGAAATCGTTGTTAAACGTTGTGTTTTTCCGTAAACAGTTGCGTTCAGAATGCAACTATTGACAACAATCGTTTTGGTGGCGATTGCCGTTGGGGTTGCGAGCGCCCGGCCGGAAAAATACAAACGCATTGGTGGAAAACCACCGCGCCAACGCCATGACGAAGCTACGAAGAATAAACAAGTCAAGACTATCCCACCATCGTGCGAAAGTAAAATTTACTGCCAGGGAAATTTACTGCACACCATTCAAATGGCAGCGCTTTTCAATGACTCGAAGCATTTCGTTGATATGTCGATGAACGCTGACGAAGATGTCATTTTGAAGAATTTCGACGTGTTCATGAAGGAAAATAACCAGGAACCCACCAAAGAACAAGTAAATATACAGTTTACACTAATCCCACGAGATTAGTAGATTTCCGTAAAAACTTTAGATAAGAAATTATGCACGTGATAAAACTTAAACTTAAATTAGTTTTTTTTTTCGCACAGATTAAGTATTTACATCCGTTTTGATACTTCATAATTTTAATTTAAGTTAAGTTGGGAAAAACAAATTACTAGAGATAATCGCGATTAAAGTGTGTGTGACATATTTTTAAACGGCTGTTATTCAACATTTTTGAAAGAAACTTAACAAAAAGTCAACGCGGAGGTAATTGAACACGTTTTGCAGTTATGCTCAGATGAGTATCATAATTATTTTATTACGTCACAAAACAAGTTATTCGTTTTTATAATCGTTTTTTGTTTTGTATTTGCCTAGTCAAGTCATTAGAGAATTTGAGCGTTTATTATTCAAGATAATTGAATGAATATGAAATTTTAGGTGGAACAATTCGTCAATGACAACTTTAGTTTTGCGGATGAACTTGAGGATTGGATGCCTGAAGATTTCGAAGAGGAACCCCCCTTTTTGGAAACAGTACAACCGGAGGAAATTCGTAGTTATGCGAAAAAAATCGTAGCGATTTGGCCGAATCTCGGAAGGAAAATCAGCAATGAAACTCTGGAAAATATTCAACGTCATTCATTGCTACCTTTATCTAAGGGTTTCATTGTTCCTGGAGGCCGATTCAGAGAGACTTACTACTGGGACACTTACTGGATCATCAAAGGATTGCTGATCTCTGACATGAAGCAAACCGCACGCGGTATGCTTGACAACTTCGTCACGCTGGTCAAGCAACACGGTTTTATTCCGAATGGCGCGCGCGTGTACTACTTACAGAGATCTCAACCTCCTTTGTTCGCTCCGATGGTCTTGGATTACTTCAGGGCCAGCGGTGACCGTGAGTGGCTGACTGAAAACATTGCTTTCGTCGAACAAGAAGTAAAATTCTGGTTGGAAAATCGTATGATAACCGTGGAGATCGATGGTAAGAAGTATCACGTTGCCAGGTACTACCCGGAGTCTCTGGGACCTAGACCAGAATCATACAAAGAAGATTTCCTAACTGCTTCAAATCTTCCCAATGATGATGCTAAACAGAAGTTGTATACCAATCTGAAAGCTGGTGCTGAAAGTGGGTGGGACTTTTCATCAAGGTGGTTCTATGACACCAAAGGAGGAAACAACGCTAACTTATCCAGTGTTGATACTGGTAGGACTCTTCCTGTTGACCTCAATGCTTTCCTCTACAAAGCATGCCATGCATTGAACATGTTGTATTCTGGTCTACATCAACTGGACAAAGCTTCCTATTGGTTAAACAAAGCCATTGAGTTCAAACGTGTCCTTAAAGATGTGTTCTTCAATAAAGATGACGGCATATGGTATGATTTCGATAAAACACTCAAGAAACATAGAAAGGAATTCTATGTATCCAACTTGAGTCCACTGTGGGTTCACGCAGAACACCTAGACTTCAACCCAGACAAACTCATTAAGAAACTGCATGATGATGGAGTATTTGAGTATGAAGGTGGTACGCCTGCTTCTTTGAAGCGAACTGGTGAGCAATGGGATTTGCCGAATGCTTGGCCACCTCTACAAGCCATTGCAGTTCAGGCTATTGCTAATACAGAAACTGAGGAAGGGAAAACAATCGCCGAGAAACTGGCTAAACAATGGGTGACTGCCAATATGATCGGCTATGAACGTACGGGTACCATGTTTGAAAAGTACGACGCTGAGGAACAGGGTAATTATGGAGGTGGCGGAGAGTACAAAGTACAAGCTGGTTTTGGTTGGGCAAATGGTGTCGTGTTGGAATTCATCCGAGATTATTACTCTGAGGCGGAGCCATGGAGATTCTAAGATGTATGCTTCTTTAACTTAGGCTAGGATAAGCTACCAGCTGTGGTTTCACGAAGCACAAAGTGACTTAATTTGTATTATTTATCGGCTTTCAATCGAAATAAATGAATCATTTTAATAAATGTTATTAGAAAATATTTCTGCTATTATTTGACTACACGTGCTTGTGCAAATTTCCAAAATTATGCACGGGCATGCATGAACGAGCCTATTCCAGAATATAAGTGTCATTCTATTATCTCAATAGATAATGCTCGAGCATCACGCGGGTTCACAACTCCACTAAAAAACAGGTATATATTTCCAATGTTGTTTGTAAATCGTAATTAGTTCAATAATTGGCGTTGTTCGGTAAGTGCAAAAACCTACCTACATATTTCAGTAAAATTAACTTTTTACTCAATTTTAAGTTAATTTCAAAGGAGCTGCGTTTAAAATGCAACTCTTTAAAACTATTATATTCGTGGTGGTTACCGTTGAGTTGCCAAAGCGGAACTAAAAAGAATCAAAGAGGAAAGGTGACTCTAAGTCGCTTCCACCATCATGCGACAGCAAAATTTATTGCCAAGGAGAGTTGTTGCACACTGTGCAAATGGCCGCTCTCTTCAATGATTCGAAGCATTTCGTAGACATGACAATGCTCGACGACGAAGAGAATATTCTTCAAAATTTTGAAACTTTCATGGCGAGAACCGGCCGAAAACCCAACAAAAAACAAGTAAGCACCAACAAATACGCCATTATTATCAGACTAGACACTTGAAATTCCTATCCAATTATACAAAATAACAGTTTGTGATAAGTGATAATTATGCACAAGGTAACTGTTTCGTATTTTAAACAACGTTTGATAAATTTTGCAATAAATCTAATCAGAACTGATAAAAATTTAATGAGAGAATCATTTCAGATTGAAGATTTCGTGAATGAAAACTTCGAGTTTGCGGATGAACTTGATAAATGGACACCGGAAGATTTCAACGAGGAACCCGCGTTCCTGGAGACCATCCAAGATGAAGAAATTCGCAGTTTTGCGAAGAAGATTGTAGCAATTTGGCCCACACTTGGTAGGAAGATAAGCAGCGATACCCTGCAGAACATTCATCGTCATTCGTTATTCCCATTGACAAAGGGTTTCGTTGTACCTGGGGGACGATTCAGGGAGACTTACTACTGGGACACTTATTGGATCATCAAGGGATTGCTGATCTCAGATATGAAAGATACCGCTCGCGATATGCTGGACAACTTCGTCACGTTGATCAAACAACACGGTTTTATTCCGAATGGCGCACGCGTATACTACTCTCAAAGGAGCCAACCTCCTTTGTTCGCTCAGATGGTCATGGAATATTATGCAGCTACAGGTGATGTTTCGTGGTTAAGAGAAAACATTGCATACGTTGAACAGGAAGTTAATTTCTTCCTGCAAAACCGTGTGATAACTATAGAGGTGAACGGCGAGGAATATCAAGTCGCCAGGTATTACCCTGAGTCCCTGGGACCTAGACCAGAGTCGTACAAAGAAGATTTTCTAACAGCTTCCAAGCTTACTACTGAGGAAGCCAAACAGAATCTGTATACTAACTTGAAGGCAGGAGCTGAAAGTGGATGGGACTTTAGTTCAAGGTGGTTCTATGATGCTGATGGTGGTACCAATGCTAATTTAAGCACTATTGATACTGGTAGAACCATCCCGGTTGACCTTAATGCTTTCCTATACCAAGCTACAGGATCTGTGGCTCTTCTATATAATGCTCTGAACAACCCTGGCAAAATGACTGAGTGGCTTCTGAAAAACATGAAGTTCCAGAGTGCTCTTCAGAAAGTCTTCTTTAATGAAGAAGATAGTATCTGGTATGATTACGATACTACCCTCAAACAACACAGAAAGGAATTCTATGTGTCCAACTTAAGTCCACTTTGGGTCAAAGCACAAGGCATCAACTTCAATCCCGACAAACTTATTCAGAAACTGCGTGATGATGGCGTATTGGACTTTGAAGGTGGCACTCCTTCATCTTTAAAACGAAGTGGTGAACAATGGGACCTACCAAATGCTTGGCCACCACTACAGGCAATAATTGTTCAAGCATTAGCGAACACCGGCACTGAGGAAGGCAAAGAGATAGCGGAGCAGTTGGCAAAGCAATGGGTGACTGCAAATATGATTGGATACGAACGCACTGGATACATGTTCGAAAAGTACGATGCGGAAAGTTTGGGTAACTATGGAGGTGGTGGAGAGTACGAAGTACAAGCTGGGTTTGGATGGTCCAATGGTGTAGCATTGGAATTCATCCGAGATTATTACTCAGAGAATGACTTGTAAAATGTACGCTTAGTTGCCTAAAGTGTATAATAGATATTAATTAATTGATTGAAATTTATTCGCAATCAGACTATTTTTATTATCTTTGCATAATTTATGACGCATAATAGGTGATTGTTTATATCTACTGATCAATTTTTTTTTAACTGTAAGCACCAGTTTAAAAATAATATTGATGCGCAAGTGGCACTCAACGAAAAGATAAACGCCATTCGAAATGAACAATGACTCAAACGCGCTTGAAGCGTTCCAGAAGTAGTTCGAAGTAGATGTGGCCGAGCGTTTTCCGAGTGATTTTTCTCGTAGGCGCTGATGATTTATGCCGTGGTTCGCATGCATGGTCGAGCTGGGCAGTGTTTACGCATCACGCACCGAACCGCTATTAGATCCGAAAAGATCCACTAATACAGCGTCGATTTATGAAAGGTCCTGGCCGCCGGCCAGGAAAATCGGCAAGGCGATTGTTGCTCGCTGCCGACGTCGTCGCACGACGTCCGACGCGCGATAGTTGCAGATAGGGCGTCGCGACGTCCGCATCGACATTCACGCCCCGACTTTTTTTTCATTTTTGAGTTGACCACTTTTCTTTTCTCCACTTCGCGAGTCTTTGCACATCGCACACGCCCCGAGAGAGCGACGCTAGTAAACGGCTAGGGTCGCGGCGCAGATCGTTTCTCGCAGCACGGGCACCAGGACGACGTCGGTTAGTTCGCCGTTCGGTTGGAAAGTTTTCGGCGGCGCGTTTTGAGTGATTAAACTTGTGCACAATGGCGGAAGCACCTTGGAGGTAAGTGCGACTTTGTTGCTGGTGGTGAATAAAATTCGTTGCGGTCAGGCGGTTTTCCGGCGATTGTGTCGCCGGTGGCCCGAAATAGCAATGCGAATTGGGTTACTGGGGAAACTGCAAATTCTGTAAATGAGTCAGGCGGCTATTTCGGGCCGAATTGCATATGAATTTGGTAAAAATACGGCGCTTGCGGCGCGGACGCGTGCGCGCGCGCGCCTCTGAGCGAATGTGCGTGAGCGTGTGATTCCTAATATAACGCGACGCTCGTCGTCGTTCACTGGAAATTCGTGCCAAATATACGGACTGGCTAATTTTAGCCGCCTTCGAGCGCGTCCAATTTCTGTAATTTTGGTCGTGTATTAACAAGATCTCTACGAAGCGAGACGATTTTCGGGCGAAAAACAACGCCCGACGCTCACAAACACAAAATGACCAACTAAGAAATATTGCGTCATAAAAAAAAGCAGCAACAGCCCACGAATAAAATACTGCAGATATAATGCCGACGGCGCGAAAAACGCGCTGAGCGCACGGCCAGCAAAATATTGTGAAAGTAGTGCAAAAACATTCGAATATTTTGAGGACAGTGTGTCTACAATCCTGGCTGTATGAGACGCGGACCAATTTACGTTTGCTGGCGACGTGGCGGGCGCAACTTGTACCGGAAGAGTTCACAGGCGATAAGAATAGCCCACCTCGTAAAATGAGGCACAACTTTCAACGCGCAAATTGCTATCATATAAAATTCACATTGTGCCGAAAACTTATAACTACTTAACTTCTCAGCTCTCAGGCAGCTACAACTTTTACATTTACTTTTCTGATAAGGCAATAGTTATATAAGATATCCACAAATAAATAAATTTATCAGTCAGTAGAGCAACGTTATTTAATTTTCTAGGAATTCTCCGATTTCTAGATATACTCGACTTATCACAAGCTTATAATCATTTAAAAGTTAAATTGGTTAATCATATGCTGTTGAATACGTGCAACAAAGCATTTGATTGTATAGAATTATAATTCAAAAAAGTTAATCTTTGAATGCAGAATGCAATATGCACCGTGAGTGTGGAGCAGCAAAGTGGGTTAAGACGATTTTTTCGTTTCATTCCCGCTTTGTGTCGAGTTTATAACGTAGAGGTACTCGCATGCTGGTGGGTGTGTCGCTCTTATGAGTGTCTTTGAGTTAAGCACATTTCGGTTCGGGCGCTATCGGCGGTCGCGTATTGGAATTTGATTTTTTTTTTAAATAAGAGATGCTTGAGCGGGAGCAACCCAACCCAAAATTCCAGCCGAGCGTTTTTGTTCGCGAGTACAAAGCGACCACAGCGCACCGATCAGGAGATGACTGCTGACTACTGACTGATGCGATACGAGAGCAGGCGACTTAAGTTTCATTCTCGCTTTTCGTCTCTTCTTGGCCTTTCTGCGGCGAGCTGCGGTTGGTTTCGATTTCAATGCGCGAAGGTTTCACGCGCTTCGAATTCCCCACGTGTTGCGTCATCATCATTAGCATTACACACCGAATCAACATCGGTGTGCGTTTATCGGAATTCCCTTCCGATTTCTTCGTTATTAATCATCTTCAATGGATATTCGATCGCTTCATAATGTGTCACATGGATAGCGATATAGCGAAATGCTATATCCATGAGCACGCATTAGCCTATCAGTCAAATATCTTCACTTTGATGAATAACACACAATAAAAGTATCATATCAAATCATATCAACTGATTCACAGAAATTATTCAGCTTTCGTGCACCTGTCCGAAAAATAAGCTTTTTCAGTCTGATTTGGTGTTGACACAACACTCCACTTTGTTGATTCGTTGCTATATTGATTTGTAATGTGAAAATGATAACGCGCAGTATGTGGAAATGTGTGTACTTTGGGAGATGTGTTAGTAACATAATATTTTATCATAAATCGCACAGTCTGCATGACGGAAACAATAGTATGAATCACGATTACGCGCCACCAGTGTACTAATTGAACGATAGCGATGCATCGTCAAACAAAGCGCGAAGCATGATATGTTTGCTCAGAACTTTAATACGTACCTCTCTACACTAGTTCGCGTATCTCTGCGCGCGCGACTCAGCCGCTGCATAAGTCACTCACGCAGGCGTGCGCAGCGGCACAGCGGCGAATTCAAGCTTGAGAGCCGGAGTTATTAAAGCAGCGCGCCGAAGCCGGTTGACTTAAAAGTAATTCAAACCTTGAATGAAACTGAACGCATTACCATAGAGCGCCGATCCGCGAAGCTGCAAGATTCTCAGCGCACAGACCCGCATTCCGAACGTATTTATTTCCGACGTGTTTCAAAGTTTCAAACAAAAACGAAAAGTGTGGTAAAAGTGCCCAAAATGCGCGATATTGTGACGAAGGTAAGTGTGAATCGTCCGGTGGACAGAAAACCGCCAACCCCGTATATTCCCACCTGTGAGCTGGTTGCTGCTGCCCCAACGAAGACCAACCATGCGGATCAAGATCAAGAATCAAAATCTATCACTTCGCAAGACAATCGACGACCATCACTTAACACAAATGGAAAATCGGATATTCCATCATATCAATCCTTCCAAAAGTATCTGGATAGTTATACTGGGCTCAAGTTTAAACCGGTGAAGCCCGGCAAAGTTGTGGAAAGTTCCCAGCAGGAACCGGAACAAACATCGACGCACGTTGTGGACGGCGAAGGAAAACCACACGCCGGAATCACCGTAAATAAAGATGACGCGCGCACCCACAAGGCCGAAATAATGATTCAAATCAAATCGAATCAGGAATATCAACAACAAGTGCCAAAGCATGAGAATGAGCAACCTCGAGAAGTAGCCGTGTTTGATAAACAGGCATTGAGCGTGACGGAGGTCGGCGCACCTCCGCCACCGCCGCCGCCAATGGCGCACGTGTTTCCAGCGAAAAGCGCGCAAATCAAGAGCATCGTCTCGCACAACACCCGCGTGGTGAAGAATGGCGGCGTGCAACGTGTGCAACCCACAAACAAACTGCAATCGTGTGTTATGGACGAGTTGAAAGCAAAACACCAGCCCAAAGAGTACAAGGAAGTCACGCGCGGCACGTACCCACGAAGGACGAGCGAGCCGATAAATATGCAGCACGTGCATACTCTTCCTCGATTCAATCCCGACAAAACCAACCAGCTGAAACAACCAGTTTCGCCACAATTCAAGAAAGCTCCAGGTGCCAATCAAGCGCTGATATTTGGTTCGTTACCACGACGCTTGAGCGAACAGCATACGATCCCGATTATGTTGGCCAACCCCGAGGCGCAGGTCGTGACGCGGGTACCAGCGGCTCGACCGGATGCCCCTGTGGACCGCGACGATCCAAGCGTGAAGAAGCTGGTGTATGCAACGCTGAGAAACTACGTTGGGGCGTACAACAACCGCGCGAATCTGCTCGCCGCGCAACATGATGGGCACGTTATCCAGGACAAAGGTGTCACCGAACAGATTAAAAGCATTACGTAAGTGACATCAACCTCAGGTTATCTTTTAATTGGCATGCAATTACATGCTCATTGGGAAAGATTCGCGAAGTTCACAACGGTTCACATTTCGAAAATTTAATATATTGAATAAAACAAAACAAAACAAATCGTTGACTTGGCAGAAACCCATTAGTAAATACTTTTGAGTTTACACGCGTCGCCATTACATAAACAGCGTCACGCGTGAGTCATCAATCGATCGTTTGCGAAACCTCGAGATGTTTTCGTCATTTTTTCATAGAATTTTATTATTTAAACGACTGCCGATGACTCAGCCGTCACAACAACTGGGCTGCTGTGTAGAGTGGCTAAGCCCTAACTTAAGTCACTGCAGTCTGGAACTATGAATATGTCATTTGCATTGCAACACTTTGCTAATATGGTTAATTAATTTATTAATGTAATTTTAGTGCATCTGGCAACTTGGCTTCTTTGAACGGACGTGTCAATCCCAAGGCAAGCGAATAATTTCCAGGATTACTCTCTGACTGATACTCCACATGCTTCATTCCTATAAATATATGCCGGGACGTAATATTTTCCATGCTTCAATTATATTGTTCAATTGTGATACTATACACAGTAATGATATTTACTGTTAGAATTAAGCTTTGTTTCAGTTGACTTTTTCGTCATCTGAGTATTTATATATCTTTGGAAATATTTGTTATATTCATTTCTATGATAAGTAAAATAAATTATATCTTTTTGATCATACAGCGCCATCTTTAAGTTGAAAGTTACTAAACTTTCATATCACGAATTATTCTTCAATTTATTTTTATTTGCCATAATCAAACTTTTCAAAGTAAAGCCGAAAGCGACAAATCGCTTATCACTTTTGCTGATTGCGCGTGCAGATAACAAGCGAATATGTATTATGAAGTGGGTGCAATTCGCATTCAGTGCGCGAATCGCCTCTCGTCTAAGCACAATGGCGTCGAGCAACGACGGTGTTTCCAAAATGGGCGGTAACTACCGCGACTACAAAGAGTACCTCGACGCCCTGCAGGAGAAAAAAAGCGAGGCACCGCCGGAATCCGCCGCGAAGAAAGAACTGCGCCGGCTGGTTGAGAAGAACATCGCCGTGAGGAACCGCATCGAGGCGTTCTCCGTGAAGAAAATCGATGCGCTCAAAGGGGACACGCCGAAAGTGCAGAGGACGGTGTCCTGCAAGATCAGCGAGCGAGTGAGCGCCATCGAAAACGTCGAGAAGCAGCAAGTACCGAAAGTGCAAGTTGCCAAATCAGCGGTGGCCCCGCGGGCGATGATGTTTGGGGCTGTAAGTGCCTATAAGCAAAAGGTCAACAGGTCTGCCTCACAGGTGGAGGAATCAGTTGACGAAACAGACTGCAAAGCTATGCAATTCAAGATGGCAGAAGCTATGGAAGAAATGACACAGAAAACAGATTCGGATACGGAAGAAAATGAGAAGATGACTGATGAGAAAGATTCTGATTCTGCGGTTCATGTATGTTTTGCAGAGGATATCGATGGAGCTGGTCGCAAAGACAGCATCGGAAAATACGCACTTACACCAATGCCCAGCATGGAGGAGCCTTTTAAAGACGTTAAAGAAGAAGAAGATGAAGAAGAAGTCCCACAACAACAAAAAGAAGAAAGCGAAGATGAAGGCGAGTATAAAAAAATGTCCCAGGAACTTGCCGGCGAGATTCAAGGTGACAAGACGCCAAAATCACCCGAAACTTATCCTGAAATCGACGATAAAGACGAAGATAAGAGTGGTATCAAAGTATTAAGTATTGATATTCCGTCCGATGATGAAGCGGAGAAGAAGGAAGTGGCCGAGACGTTGAAAGAGTTCGATGAGAAACTAAGCCTGCAGGATGCTTAAATCCCCGCACTATCAATTAATTCCAGGTATACATTAAGGTAGAAACTAAATTCAGAAGCAAAGTTCAAGTTGCGATAACACCTGAGACTTATTATTATAAATAATCTTGTTGTGTGCTATTTATCTGATTAAAATGTCTAAACAGTAGATTATTGCGTTTGGCGCATTGTGAACCTTTGACATGCGTGGAATATTTAGATTGTGCGTGTGAGCAGATCTCAGATCTTCATGGAAATATTTCGCAGTACAAACAAATCTATTCCTGGCATTTGGTGCAATTGCGTGGTCGGCGCGCAAAAATACAATGTGATGCGCGTGCGGTGCTGCATTCTCGTTTTTTTGCGGACACGTTTTGCTTGAAAAGTTCGCCACTTTTCACGACCGAAAATAGATCAAATGTAAATCGACATTCAAAATTCACGATTGGGCGTTGAACGATTTGAGTGTGGTTTTTACGAGTTGATGATGTGATTTTTGTGTGGGCTTTAAGCGCTGAAACGGTCTTAAGCGCTTGTTAAAGCACTTTTTTATGTAATAAGTATCGTGTGGTAATAGATAGATCCATCTGCTGAGATCGCTCGGGCTCGTGTTACACACACCGGCAAGTCGAAAATAAAATCGCGATAATTGATGGTTTGGCGTCAAGTTGGCAAAGAGTGTGCGCGCGTGGCAGCGCCCGTCCGATACGCGACCGATTCGCACACATCTTTTCCGAATCGCGGGGCAGGTTAAAGAACTTGCCGCAATAAAATTCACGGCTGCGCGAAAATAAAAAAGCGCCGCTCGCCCCGCGCTCCTGCTTTTTTTTCGCGCTGCCTGCTTTTAATATCTCGCATCCGCGAATCCCGCGATTTGCGAAATGTTTATAACACTGACGCAGAAATACACTTCCTCGTCGCACGATTCCGCTTTTCATTATTCTTCATGCGGCGACTATTTTTAGACGAGTTTGCACACCGCGTTGTTTTTTCGCGCCGGCGAACATTTATCCAATGCGAAGATGTGCGGCGATAAATCGAGGCTAATTAATGGTCAACAGGGCCGGGCTTGAGCAAAAGTTTTTTGTTAATTGTTCGCGGCGGTGTGTGAAAAACACGCCGCCGGTTTTCGTTGGCAGGAGTTTCAAGTTCACCGGCGATTTAAAATAAAATAGAAAAAAGAGCCATACGCGCAACAGAGGACTGAATGGAAATCCTTGCGGTGTGATTTATCGACAATCGCTCACGGCTCATATTCGGCGCGATGCGAGCGTGACATTCGCGCGGCCAAATACGGCAGGACCAAAAAAGGAGCGTTCCGCCGCAGCTTCCAACTTCCAAGTCGCCGGGCGCCGGCCGGAGTGCGGTGATCTCAATCACCAAGGTCCGATCAACATTCGAGAATTCGAGTATTGCACATGTTCGCGATGCTGTGCAGTTGCGCGCCGATTACGGACCAGTAAGCAGTTTGAGTAACATAAGTGCGTGATTATCCTAGGATTAAGGACTTTATACAGCTCACATTCGTACAGGTATGATTTACTATCAAAACAATCTATAAACATTCAAATTTAAAATGAGAATATTGCGTTGCACGAGCAAAAAAAAAAAAAACAGAAAATTAACAAAAGCTTAATTCTCGCCGTCCAGAGATGTCGACGGTATGAAATTTACGGCGAGAAATATTTCTACTTCCACCTGCGTTGAAGAAGCAAAGAACACGCCTGTTACTTTGCTTCTTCAGCGATGTACACACTCGATCGCGAGCTGTTCTAGGTGCAAGTAGGAGTTCTCTCATCAAGTGCATCACATCACCCCAGGAACTAAACGTGTGAAGACCAGCGAAGAAAGAAGAATTCATGCATGCCTTTCATATAAATCAAATATATAATCAGAAAACCGTAGATTCTTGCGCAATTAACACCATCAGTGATGAATTGCACGCAATAAATGCCCGAATTTGATTCATTTGAGCATATTTCGCTCGTTACTGGTCATGTGGCGTAATGATTTAATGTCTTGATAAGCTTGAACTAACATTGCTTTCATTCCTTACATTCCTTATATTGGTAAGTGCAACGCATTATTCTCTCTTTGTGGTAGTGAGCTCGAAACATTCGCGCAACATGTTGATGATGCGCCAACTTGACGTGTTATTATGTCGCGGTATGAATGAATAATGCATATTGAAATGAATGTGGGCAACTTTTGTGGCGACAATGCAACATTTAATTGACAATAAGTTTGCCGATGCATGGTGCTTATCGCGCAGATCTCGGCATGCGAATAAAAGTGCGGCGCGGTGCAAAAAGCGTTTTATTTCGAGACATCAAACACCAGGGAAAGTTAATTTATTTACGCCGGCAAGTGTGATAATAAGTCTAAATAAAACATAATTTGCAATTGGAATTTTAGATTAGTTCTGCGCGGCTTTGTGCCGTGAACTTTTCTCTCGCTCATCAGATTTTAATGTAATTCTATCGCGGTGGAAAGTTTCAAATGTTATGAAGGCTGAAATATTGACGATGTAAAAATATGAAATATTATGTTAGACAGCGTCTACGTCCGGATCTTAGATCGAATATTGTGGTTTGATATTAAAAATAGTGGGTATTTTTGGCGCGCTGAAGGTTTTCGCACGCTCGACCTTCAACTCTCTTCGGTGTCGCGCGTTTTCCGCCGACCGCGAAAATCCTTGGCAGAATATATATTTTTTGCGAATAGAACGTTTTTCGCACACTAACCCAGATCGAGCTTTCCTCGATCTAGAAATCGAAATTTGCGACGACGTTTTCGGGCCGTGGTCGCCACCTTGAGAGATAAATAAATAAAATAAGCCAATGCGTGTAACGTCAACAACAATTTATTTAAAAAAACAAAATACACAATATACAGCTAGCGGAACCATCGCATACGTCACCATTTTTTTTTCGGATTTTCGTGTTTGCTTGTAACAAATAACAATAAGATAACGATTTACAAATTAAAATGCACTTAACACCACCCACGAGTGAGGCGGATTGAGGAAACCCCCATCGGCTGGATATGATAATAGTATGACTATTGCAATGAGTATCGTTCCCACGCCTTTTTGGTTTCGGATGCGGTCGCCGAACGAATGAGTCGCTCTAATGTTTCGAGTGATGATGGGAATGCTTGTGTCCGTGCTTGTGTTCCTCCTTGTGACCATGCTTATGACCGTGTTTGTGGCCATGATGATGGTCGTGTTTGTGACCATGGTCTTCGTGGTGTTTGTGGTCCTCATGATGATCGTGTTTGTGTCCGTGGTGGTGGTCCTCTTTGTGTCCATGGTCCTCGTGGTGTTTGTGCTCGCTGTGGTGTTTGTGGCCGTGGTGATGGTCGTGTTTGTGGTCCTGGTGATGTTTGTGATGGTGTCCGTGCTTGTGGGACGCGTGGTGGCCGTGTTTGTGTTCTTCCTTATGCTCATGTCCATGCTTGTGGCCCTCGTGGTGGCCGTGCTTGTGTTCGGACTTGTGCTCGTGGCCGTGCTTGTGGTCCTCGTGATGGTCATGCTTGTGCTCCTGTTTATGCTCGTGACCGTGCTTATGATGCTCCTCATGGGCGTGCTTGTGCTCTTGTTTGTGCTGATGCACGTGCTCTTGCTTGTGTTCGTGCTTGTGCATGTGTTTGTGCTGGTGGTAGTGTACCTCCTTGGACTTGCCATGATGCTTGGGCATATCGTGCGTGCGGAAGTTAGTGACGTCGTATTTGGGCACCTCCTTGTGGAAGCTCTTCGTCTCGATCTCCTCGATTTGATGGGGGCCTTCAAAGGCAACGTTCGACGAGGTCTTATAATGGGTGTAACCCTCCTCGTTGCGCAGGAATTGCTCCTCATCGTCGAACTCATCGTCGTTCTGATACTCGGCGGTTTTGTAACTGGGCGCATGCTCAGCCTCGTACTCAGCCAGGCGTTCGTACTGACTGTAATCGTTGAGGGATGTTGGGCTGCCGATGCCGTCCTGCGCCGTGAATCGGTGCAGCTGCGGCGTGGAGTAGTCGTAGACGAGGGGCGAATAGGCGCTATGTGCGGCGCTGTCTTCGGCGGCGGGTGCACCGGGTGCGCCAGCTGATGGTACCGCATCGGTACGTGGTAAAGCCGCCTGTTTCTTGTAGATCTTTGATTGCACGGTGTCCTGATCAGGTACGGGTACGCTGATCTTAAAACCTTCCACCGCTAGCAACAGCGCCAACAAACTCGCAGATGCCTGTGAGGAATATCAACCTGATTAGCACCCTGCGTGGTTGCCACTTGAACCACAGCTCTTGCTACTCACCAAGACTCCCATGTTGGAAAACTAAATGTTACTACCAACAAAGCTGAGCTCTGAATGCTTGCTGTCTGAATGCATCTTCGCGTATTTATATTGTAAGAACCCTACTTTCGCCATAATTTTCTGCTTCAGTTTATCCGTTGCGTTCCGCATACAACGCGAACCATCATCACCGTACCATATGTACCGAGCTAACACCACAAATCGAGCATTAGCATATCGCATCATTACCACCGATCCACAACCAAATCACCAGTAATTTTAAATCAACTCTTTCAATCATCAAATTACACTTAGCGCCAAACAATCACATTAAAAATCCACTCAATTTGGATAATTTTCATATTAATGGAATTTCCAATTATTAACATCTTTTATCTCACAGCACATCAAACCACCTATCAATCAAAAACTTTCTACACTAGATTTTATCATAAATATCTCTCCATAAAAGAAGAAATATTATATCTTATAAAAATAATTCATTTCTATAAAAGTAAACAAGCTACTTATGACCGAATGTCGTGTTGCACACGGTACGAGACATGAAACATTCCGGTATGCGCCCATTGTTTAGATAGCAGTAAAGATTAATTAGAAATAAAAACGCATTTTATAAATAATAATTGCACGCAAATCCTCTCATTAACCTGGCCGTTCGTGGTTGCAGTAGACCCGCTCACTATCAAGCGGTATTATCTGCTAATAATGCAATTAAAAATGCGCCGACGTTCGGCAAATTAATTCCTATCGCCTATTTGACCAGCCACTTGCATCGTCTGCACCACGCTGCACCATGCATCTCATTGGATATGCAGCACCGACGTAAAAGTTTATTAATAAGTTTATTAATGGCGAACACCATTTCTTTCTGCTTTCCCGCAAGTGCGGATATTTAGGTAACAGCGTGAAATTATAGCTGTGGAAAGAAATGATAATAGGAAGTTCGGGCGCAATTAGTAAAGCAGAGCGAATTGTAACTACTTCCCAAATCATCGAATCGAGATTAGAGAAATGCGTTACGCGTTAGAATTTCCGATGTTTCATTCGATTGATCGAAATAATTTCGGCGGAAATTTGGAGAAATACAGAAAGTCGTGATTAGCGATTAGATACGATCCGATTTTATAAAAATAACATGCACCAAGAAAGTAGTACTAAAAAGAAATTCTTTATTAAGAAGAAATTAATATTATAATGAATGGTTGAATGAAAATAAAGAGAACACACTTGCATGAAAATTGACTTTTTGTTCATCGACGACGAACTTTAATTGACTTTATTGTCGTCTCAATGATGAACAGTTTGAAGAAATTGACTTTGAATATGATTGAGAGTTCAAAAAACAACAAAGAAAGTAAGATTTAATGGAAAACAAGTTTATTTCTATAAAAACACAATAACCAATAAACAAAAATACAAATTCAACAATTTAAGGCTAACAGTGAGTATTCAACTAGAATTTAATGCTTGGAGTGTTTGTGTCCGTGCTTGTGATGATGACCGTGCTTGTGTCCATGGTGGTGGTCCTCCTTATGATCATGTTTAGCGGAATGATGATGACCATGCTTGTGGTGCGACTTGTGATCGTGTTTGCCCGAATGATGATGGTCCTCTTTGTGATCGTGGTGAGCGTCATGATGATGCTTGGAATGATGTTCGTGCTTGGCGTGTGATTTGTGGTCGTGTTTGTGATCATGATGATGCTTTCCATGGTGATCATGTTTGTGGTCTTCTTTGTGGTCCTCTTTGTGGTCATGCTTGTGTTCGCCATGGTGTTTGTGTCCGTGTTTATGATCGGACTTGTGGTCGTGTTTGTGGGCCTCCTTGTGGTCATGACCATGTTTGTGTGAGCCCTTATGTTCGTGCTTATGTTCTCCGAGGTGTTTGTGATCGTGACCGTGCTTGGAATCGTGCATGTGTTTGTGATCACCCTGGTGCTTGTGTACGTGTTCTTGTTTATGGGTGTGTTTGTGCATGTGGGTATGTTTGTGGTAGTGCACCTCGGCGTGCTCTTCTTCCTCCTTGTGACCATGGTGTTGCGATTCGGAATGCTCATGATCATCATGGGAACGAGGTGAGGCTTGCGGGGTTTGGACACGTGGAGCTGCGCGGGTATCAGCGTAATCTTCATCTTGTCCCTGGGTAGCTCCCTCGGGACTTACAGGTCGATGTTCATCATAATCTGATTCGGCGTATTGCTCTGGGGCATAGGCCCCTTCCTGACCATAGTTAACATCAGAATCTTTGGGATCAAAACGAGTCTCGAATTTGGAATACAGCCTATCGAACTTGACAGGATCATTTAGTGAGACACCTGATTGGGTGAACCCTCCGCCGGTCAATGCGCTATGAGCTCCCACGTCCGATCCGAATTCGTTGTTACCGCCGATAACGTAATCGATCCGATAGGAGTCGATCCATGTTACCATCAGTAGCAATTCCAGCAACGTGATCAGCTTCAAACTCGCCATCGTTTGCTCTGGAAAGTGAAAATTGTTTGTCGCTCAGATTCTTTCACCAGCAGGCAAACGTCGCCTTTGTGTCGTTTGAATGCGAATTGTAAAAGAAATGAAACTCACTATTGTTGACTCCCTTGCTGTTGAGATGCTCGCGCTGTTCTCCAATCTACACTTCGGCAACAAGCTGAGCACACTGCGCTCTTCACCGAAGAGGCAAACTTATTTATACTTTGGCAATAAGTGCGCGGACTTAAGCCAATCTTGTCCGTATCTCCAGCGACCATATCGACCAATCTTAACACTTGCACTTTTCATACCGATCTCCCACTTCCACGCATAGCACGCGCTGAAAGAACAATAAATGAAACGAATCGACTCATGACGATATGGAAACAAAAAAGTGAGAAGCGAAAAGAAATTGAAAAGAAGAAAAAAGCCGCCGATGCTAGTAACACGATGAGTACGATGCGCCTATCGGTTCAACCTGCTTTAATTATGCGTAAACTAATTGCCTGTCTAATTCTCCATTGGAGTATCACTAATTGTGATCGGTCGCGCGTGAAATATAATTTTAAAAACTGCAATGTTTTTTTTATGCGATCTCCATATGTTGCTGTGAGAAAGGAAGAAAAGAAATTTAGCAAACTTTTTTTACAATACAATTGTTGAGAGCGGAAGAAAGTGCATAAATCGGTTGTGTGCATTGCTAGATCACTAGTTTTGAGACAGCTTAATGTTTGATAATTAAAATAGTTCGTTGATTTGTTGCAGAGCTCAAGGACCACCACCACCGCCGCCGATTTTGTCCGGAAATATTCCGGCAGCAAGACTAAAAAGTGAAGTGCGTAACACTTTTATGGGTTTATCTAATATTTCTTCGTTTATAATCACAGTCATTATCATTATGAACGGATTGTTGCAAATTGTTATAATTGTGTTCATTGGCGTTCGCATACTGATATTTCCTAGCTTGCACGCATTTAAAAGAATTCCGTATTGCTAGCCAAATAAAATTAAATCAGCGTAGCGTTATGTTTTTAATGTGGTTTATTATTTAGATCGGTGAACGAAGAAACGAACCACCAGCGTGCGTGCAAAATGCAATGATGACTAAAGACAAGAAACCCTTCACGTACACGCCGGGCGGTATTGACCTATCCGAAATCAAGTCGCCGCGAATGGCACGACGAATCGAACGCAACGCAGCCGCCCCCGGCGTTGGTGAACTACCGCAACAGCCGCAATATCCGCAAGGCAATCGACAGTTGCCGCCCTCTGCGCTCGCCGCCATGCAACCTCAACTGCAAGTACAGGTCTTCCCATCTGGGGCGCCTCCGCCTCCACCACCCCCACCAGCTAATGCGCCACCTCCACCACCGCCGATGCAACCTTTGCCAATGAAACCTGTGGCTAATAATGACGGAATATTTGAACGCCCTGATATGACTCGGATCATCCCCGAAAATCCAATGGCGATGTTACGTAAAACCCCCAAAGTGGAACGCAGGACTTTCTTGGATGAACTTGCTGAAATGGAGCACAAAAACAATATGCAGCAGAATCATCAGCCGCAACAATATACTCCACCAGTGAATAATGTGCCTCCACCCAGAAGTCCACAACCTCAGTACAATCAACAACCGCAGTACTCTCCGCAACCTCAGTACTCTCCGCAACCTCAGTACTCCCCTCAACCACAATCACCTCAACAGCACTATTCTCCACTACCACAGCAGCAGCAACAATCGCCGCAGTACAATAGACAACCCTCTTATACAACACAACCCCAGCCGTACTCCCCGCAACCCCAGTACTACCCGCAAGCAAATTCGCATCCAATAGCACAGATGGTTCACCAACCATCCGTGGAAAACAACGGTCCTCCATCGCCACCAACCAAAACGAGCAATGTCAGCATTGGTTCCTTGTACATACCTCCAATCAATCAACAGCAACAAGTTCCACAGCAGATGCAATACCAACAGCAATCGCCCAAACCTCAATCTCCACCGACTCCTCCTCAACGTCAACCGCAATCACCTCAGACCCCACAGTCACCGATAGCTAAGCTCAATGCGGGTCCCAAACCATGGCAGAATCAGCAACGTAGAGAACCGGAACTACCTGAATGGGCACAACGTCCTCAACAGTCTCCACCCAAGGAAGAAATTGTGCAACCAGCGCGAGTGGCTGTTCAACCACCAAGAGTAACACCAGTGCAAATGCAACCTCCGCCGTCACGCCCTGGCGTTGAGGTTGTATACGTAACTCAACCGGAGGTTTATCAACATCCTGGTCCTATGGGAGGACAACGTTGGGTTCCACCACAGGTCCAGCCACATATGCAGCACCCGCAACAACATCAGCAGATGCAGATGCAGATGCAACGTCAGCAACAACACATGCAACAGGAAATGAAAGGCACCAGGATTATCCCTATCCAAATTGAAGGGCAAAATTCTGGTCCAAATACACCAGCTACTCCAGATAGGTAAGTGTATCATTACATTTGATCAACTTAAGTCATAATTCACATTTTTGGGTCACAGGAATCTAAATAGGCAGCAAAGCTGGACTCCCACACAATCGACCTCGTTTAAGGTCATACAAAAAATGACGAACACCGAGAACCCTAACGAGGAAGTCGACCAGCAACAGGTCGAATATGGTCCGCGGACAGCGCAGCAGTTCCCAGCGGACCAGATGCGTAAAATGAATCAAAACGACAGCGATCGGGAGTTTATGAACCGCGTGAAGCAAGGTAAGCACTTGTAACCGTCAACCAACAAACCGGAAGTCGACTGCTAACATGTGTGCATTCATTTGTGTCGTGTTGTTTTGTGTTACTTTTTCTAGACTACATTAACAAACGCGATGAGGAAAACCCGAGGTATCGCGGAGGACACATCCCCTCGAGGGTTTTTCGATACATTGATCAAAGTGGTATGGAAACCTCTTTATTGTCACAGCACCACACAATATTGATCCACTACATTATACAAATCAGATTCGTGCTTCGATTAATTGATCATTCACTGCTTGAATAACACCCTGGGAGCGTTGTATCTAACCAATTTGAACCTGTAGGCGTTGATCAAGAGACGTACCTGCATAATGAACCCGATCCGCGCTACCGTGGTGCGGCGATTCCGTCCAAAGCTTTCAGAATGCTTCAACACTTGACAGACACACCGGATCACCCGATACACGGCACACCAATTGGTAGGAGGATGTGGGATGAAGTGCTTGCGCCTAACTTTGACATAATGCTTTAAGCCGCCCAAACTGTAATTGATAGTATAGACTGCATAGATTGTGGGACAAAGTAGTATTTGTAGCTTCGACGCTAATCAAACCAAATTGCATTGCAGTGCCGCAAGGTCCGAATCAACCGAGGGCCAGCAACGTTCGTACGATACCCATACAACTTGAAGGTAAACTTAATAAGTTGTACATTATTTTTGTTCACACAGTTTACGTATTTTAGTATTTAAAGAACACTTTCTATAACACAATCTTTATCTATTACCGCTTCAACTTTTGAACGTTCATAAGTTTGCGCTAATTTCCTGGCAAAATTTCTAGGTGAACCTCAACTACCGTATGTCCACCCCAGCCAGCAAACTGTTGAAGAACCCAGGAAGTACATGGGCAGTGCCATCCCTTCGAAGGCCTTCCAAATGTTGCAGGCAATGACGAGTTCGCCCGGTAAGTTGTCGCTCCGCGACATCTCCCGCATTGTCGTCAACGGTCACGGACCAGCCCGCCAAAAGCCCTAATAAGTCATAAGCCGATCAAGCCAATTGTCTTAAGTCATCAAATAATTTATTATTTTTAATACCCTCAGACCTCATTATTCAGTCTCGATGATAACCCCCTGATTTTATTCATTGCTCTTAAATTTCACAATAATGCCGTACAAATCGTACAGTACAATGACATTTAAACGAAAAGAGAGCAACTTCTCTATAAAAAGCACCTATTTTTGAGATTTTTGTAGTAGCTGATTTTATGCGAACCAAATTACTGATTTTTCCCAAAGAAACAAAATTATGATTCAGTTTATTACTTCAGTTTGTAAATTTGTTGTAGCGGTCGGCCACATTGACAAGCAATCTAGCGAAATTTCCGATAAAAACGTTACCGAAATTAACGAAACATCTCCTTCGACCCAACCCAGCCAACCACCCCAAACACCAGTTAACCAAACTGCCCCCAGTCCTTATCCCATGTACGGGCCCAATTACTACGACCCTTATTGGTATGATTATTACTCGTATTACTATCCGAACTATCCGCAAAATGACGCGCAGACAAACGGCGAGAGTGGCAATCAAAACTGGGGATATAATTATCATTCTGGTGCCCCAACACCCACACAGGAGTTAGAGAATGAAGCGCCAATGTGTAGCAGTTGTCGGAATACGCCAGTACCCTTTTGGAATTACTACCCTAATTACTACAACCAGGGATACGAAAGTGATACCGGCAAATCTGAAACAAGCAGTTACAGAAATACTCCAGCTAATTTTGACTATCAGTACTATTGGGATCCATATTACTATTCGTATTATCCACCTCCACCACCTCCGGGGTATGCATATCCCTATCCGTATTCAACAGATGGATATGATGGATATTGCTCCATGGATGAAATGAACCAAATTGAACAACAAGGAAATACTAATTCTAATGCACAAAATAAGGAACCTGTTCAAAACATTGAGGCTAATGAAAGTACTACTACAACTCCTATAATAGAAACTAAACCCACTCCAGTTGAAACTACGCCCATTGAAGAATTTTGTGATGACAGATCGGAAACAACTATTATTGATGACCGTGATCATGATATGGATGCCGATAGTGAATCGTCAAGTGATGAGGAGGATGGGGAGGTGGAGGAAATTTACAAAAAGAGCACTTCTAATGTTCCGTTGATGCATCAATTGGAACAAGCGCCACAAATCCCATTACCAAGCAAGACTCCCATTCACATGTCAGATGCGGACGTAGACACTGATACTGAAGTTGAGGAAGAAGAAGAAGAAGAAGAAGAAGAGGGAGAAATTGAGGAAGTAGAGGAGGAAGAAGACGAAGAAGAAGAAGTCTCTGTTGATAATAATGAAGGTGATCAAGGAGATGTTGAAAGCAATTCAGAAGATGAAGAAGAACAAGAATCAATTGCTTCAGTCTATATTGATGAGGATCAAATGCCCCACGTCTTGAGCGTGATTTATGAAGAAAGCGAAAGGAGCTTCTCTTCTCGCATGGACAGAGAATCCAGTGTGGTAAGTCAAAGTACAATCGTTGCTGATGAAGATGAAGATGAAATTGTGGACGATGACGAATTATATGAAAAGGAAGTAATTGCCAAACTGCCTTTGATGTTAACTGAGACTAATGGAAGAGTGGAAATGGTGGTAGGAGATTTAAACGTAGAGGAAACCGTTCTAGTTTACGATACTGATGTTGATCAGAGAGTAGAAGAGGCCGAGGAGTATAGATTAAACTATGAGAGTGATGCAACTGTGATTGAAAATGAAATGGTGGCTGTAGAACCTGAAACTAATTTAGTCCCAGAAAACGGAACGGATCATCAACTGATCCGATCAAGATCTAACTCATCCCACGTTGAAAGTGAGATTGAAATTCACATGGATGATGATAAAGATAGTGTAAAAAGCGCAGACAGTGAGATAAAACCAGATATCACCAGTTTAACGCATTTACCAGACGTAGAAATCGAAAAGAACCAGGAACCAGAAGGTGACGAGGTGGATTTTTGGAGTCAAATCAATACCGAAGAAGATATCTTACCAAAGAGGCAAGTATTCGTCAACAAATACCGTGATTCTATGTATTCTGTTGATGAGGATGAGGATGGTCAAGAGACCAAAGTCTGTGAGCAGGAAGTCGACACCAGAACAACATTGGAAAAAGACGAAAACTCATCTAGGGCCTTGATTGAAAGTACAAAAAACACTAATTCTATTACTACCTGGTTAGAGAATAATTGTATTACTAATCATATTGTAAACAAACACGAAGAAGAAATTGTGGCAGTTTGCGAGGAGGAAAGTGATGAAGAAATTAGAGCTTCAACTGAAAAAGTGAAGAATACTATGGAACATACAATAGTAGCTCAAAAAGCTGATAATGTTGAGGTGATTGTAGATGTGGTCAGTGACACCCTGCAGAAGGAAACTACCACTGTCGGTATTACAATGAACGATGAACAAATTGAAAAAGTACAAGTAGATGAGTGCAATATTTCAAATGTTATTTTTACCAAAGAAGAAATTCGTGAAACTTTACAAGCTCCTATGTTTGATCTTGGTTTAGATGAGTGCTTTAAAAATATACAGAATCATTTAAAACTTACTTTAGATAATCTTAAATTTAACAATATTAAAGAAACCAAAGAAGAAGACATGATACATATTGCAGTTCAAGAAGAACAGGTTGAAGAATCAGAGGAAACTCCGGAGGAGTTACAACTTGAGAAAGTTGCAGATTCCGAAGAAATCGTTTGTATTTCTGTGGTGCAAGATGAAAAGCTTGAAATACAGAAAGAAGAAGCTGACAAATGCTCTGCTATTTCTAGAAGCAGAAGTTTAAGCAGAAGCAAGTCAAAGGATGCTTCCCCAATGCAAACAGACATCAACGATGAATGTGACGATGCTGAAGTGAGTGATCTGAACAACAACACACAGGACTTTTACGTTCCCACAATCAAGGAACGAATCAGAGCGCTGCAAAACGCAAGTAGAAACTCGACTCCAATCAAAAGCAAACCATCAATTGAACTGCCAACTTTGGAGGTGCAAGACAAAGACTATCTCACACCTGATTTAATTGTTCCAAAATCTCCGAAAACGTCGACTAAGTCAAGTATTAAATCGGTAGAAGACAACAGTGAAGATGAGATTGATTCTGGTGTAACTTCAGACATGAGCCGACATATTTCAGACACAGAAAGCGAGAGTATTCAGGATATTCGTAAAATCATTAAATATCAGCGAGCTGCTACACATTCGCGCCTTTTTAAACTCCTGCAGGATGAGTGCGATGAAGAAGAAGAACAGGAACTGCTTCAAAAGAAACGTGATTCTCTCACGCGTAAAGAAAGCCTGTCACTGCCATTGAGGAATGTAGTAAATCCAAATATGGGTTTTACTGCAGGTGATGAGAGTGGATTTAACTCTCCTGCTTCACCTATAACTGATAAACAAGTCAATGAATTGGTCACGAATCTTCTAAAGAATAAAAATGTTGAATTGAAGAATGTGCCAATGGAGATGTTGCAAGCGGCTGCTTTCAAAATCCTACAGGAAGACCGCGACTGCAAAGATTTAAGTTCCTCAGACGAATTTAACACATTTCTCTCGCCACTTTTGCTGGACGGTAGCGCGACTGCGGCGCAAACCCCGCAAGAGTTCTATACAAACAATGAATACGCTCAGTATTACGAGACCTGGGAGAGCGCCCAGCAGACGGACATACCAGCATCTAAATCATTCAAACTACTACAAGATGCAAACTCGCAAAAGATTCCGAATTTCACTGCCAGGTGCCCGGTGGTCGCCGACAAGCGTAAAGAAAACAGACGCCTGTCGAGCGCCACCCCAACGCCGACATTCGTCTCAAATTCCTGCACACCCGTACCCGATCCCTCGCTCGAAACGCAAGAGGTCGCATCGGCCTCTTGATCCCTTGCCCGCTCACACGAGGAGGTGGAAATTTACGCGCGAAATTTCCACGTACCGATTTTATAAGACTGTTGTCCCAAGAAGCCGAACGCGGCTTACCTTACGAGGTACTTGAAATTAATGTTTTTTTATTAATCTACTTTTTGATTTAATTTACTTCGTTTTCTCTAGAATTGGTTTTCGGTGTTTTATTATTTATTTTTGTAGCATCTGTTTTTTTCTTTTTCTTTTGGTAGGCTTAAAAAGTGCAAACAGCAGCAGTACGCTGCGAAACAAATCGACAGACTTAATAAGAAATAAAACGATGACACACAATTCGCATCATTTCATCTGTTAACTGAAACTCTCAGGAGTAAACTCCACCTTAATTGTTGTTGTTCACGATTGGTTGAGTGAATCGGAAACGCACATGCATTTGATATCTATGTGACAACCTTTGACCAGTACTTGAAATTAACAGCTTTTTGCCAAACCGCCCGTGTTTGATGCTTCCAAAATCTCCCACTCCGCGCCTCCACCATATCCAATTGATGATCGCCGAAACCTCAAATCTCTCCGCCGTGAAATCTCAAATGGGAACTAACACCACATATACGCAAATAAAAACGTTTACAATAAAAGCCAACAAATAAATATCTACCGTTTGTACTAAAAATCTATCAAATAAAAAACGAAAGGTGTAGTTTGCTTCTAAGAGAATATCGTTATCATTTGATTCTCACGAAATTAATCATTCGCCAAAGTGACACAACTAAACGCACATCTCAGTCTCATCCACATCTCGCTCACTCGTACTAATTCGTTAAAGATGCATATTCTGTTACAGTTCACTTCTTCTATTGAGATCATTCTCGTTTTTTATTTTTGTTGGTGTGTGTTTACTTCTTTTGTTCAGCTAAAAACCGTTCGTATACTAATCACGCCAAAGGACTAAGACTAAGCTCACGTTACTGAATTAACCAATGCATGTTGTCATATCGTATCAAATGCAAGTACTTTTCCGTAACATTATAATCTTCTAAAGTAATCATTGAAAGGTGTGTGATGTTTGCTCGTGAGTTACAGTTCGATCACATCCACGTCGGCGGCACGCCAACACCACGCTAATTGATACGTTTGCGTTTTAGTTCCGGGACAATCCGATATGTAAGAGATTGCCGCCAACTCGAGCCACTGCGATTGGATAGTAACCGAAAATCCGATCGCCCAAGAAACCACACAGCGAAAATTACAGCAAATTATTTCACATCGACACCACGGCACCACGTTGGATCGAAACGCGGTTCGAGGGAATTCGAACACTAGAGAAAAAAAGTATTTCGAACTTAGCTGTTACCGTAAAAAACTGACGTGCAATTACACTAAATTCTAGAAAGCAACGAGTTTCTAACGCTTACAGTAATAATCACACTTGAGAAATGAGAGATTTTTGGAACCGAGCCCACGACTGACAGAGTTCAGTATTTTACGGTAGCGTAGGAATGGCAAAACTTATTCATAATTACAATCATTTATTGCTCGCCGAGTGTGCGCACAAGCTTGACACATATTTATGGTTGTTGCATTTTTTTAATTAATTTTTATTTTACGTTTACTCGTTTGTATTTCATTTGTAATCTCTATCACGAAACGAACCGGAAGCGCAGCTTGCTGCTTTGCAATATTGCTGGGTGACTACTACTTTAGGCAGATGTTCAATTTGAAGATATTTGTGCAATGATAATATATAAAATTATTAACGTTAGGATTGTTGTTGCGATTTTTGTTATGGTCTTTTTTCGACGACGACCCATTCTTTTTTCAATAATGGATGATACAATACAATGAAAGTGTACACAATTTTTTTGACGATTTATGTGAAGTTTGTTCTTAAAATATAAATGCACGTTACTGTTTATTACACATATTAAAACCTATGATATGGGATATGAGAATGCTGCAAATGTAATTTTTAAATAAAGATTAAAAACTATCGGGGGCGTTTGGAGTTTTTTGCTGATTAGAGCATTGCGTCAGGTTTCAATCCACAGAAAACCACTGGTAAGCAAAAAAATTGCAACAGTCGACCCACTTAATCTACATGGGGTGACAGTAATGCGTGAAACTGTCCACAAACAATGCTCTTTTTATTTTGCCCAACTTGGTGTTGTGCTTGCGTCTGTAACAATTTCCAGGTACGTCCAAATCAAACCGCCAAACAAGCACAATTAAATGTATTAATTGCTAGATCAAAAGTAATAATTAATTTAATCGTTACACGTTGGTTTGGTGAGTTGGAGTTCCTACCTTTGGATTAAAAATGATATCGGTCAAAGTGAGTACTTAATAATATTTAATATAATCAAGTTTTTACTTTCAATCATGCGCTATTACTTTTAGATTGCTTGTTTTTGTCTCTTTGTGACTTTGTCAACTTGTCAACGGCCACCTGGATCACCTGAAGGGAGATGGGACCGACTTAATCATGAAATGTCCCAACACCAACCACATCCCCAGCCACAACCTTTAGCGCGTAACTTTGAACATCCTGATTTTGCTCTCGAAGGTCCAGAAGCCCCCGAAGGTCCAAATAGTGCAGAAAATGCCGAAAATGGAATTGCAGGTAATGATGAGTATAACCCGGTTGTTGGTTTTGGTTTACCTGGGGTTCCCATTCTCGGAGCAGCCGCCCTTGATGCAAAACTCAAAGGTGCTGCAGCCGTGGCGGCCGCGGAAGTTAAAGCGCTTGCATTGAAGCATAAAGCAGAGCTTGAAAAGGCCCTGATTGACGCTAAATTAGAACATCAGTTAATGGCATCCAAGATGCGTTTGGCTGGTCATAAGATGTTATTCCACTCTGCTATTCTAGGTGTTGATCGCAGCGCTGGGCCGGAAGATACTCCCGAAGCGATTAAAGCCGATGTTGACCGAGATATGCAAGAAGTAAATGCTGGTGATCGTGGACATCCGCAGGTATTCAGTCGTTTAAATGAGTTGTTTGGGAAACCACCAGTAAAACGCGATGTACCACATGACATGAACTTCCGTGGACCTCATATGAGACGTGATGAAGAATTGTTCCTCTGGAATTTGAATAATTTTGGAAGACAGCAGGAATCACTGAGACAGGAAGTACCTCAAGACGCTCAGAATGCTCCCCGTCCACAACCAACTCCCCCAGAACAATCTGGACATTTCGAACCTGATGAAGAGATTCCAGAAGAAGATCCATTTGAAGATACAGAAGCCCTGATACCGCTTGACGAAATTCACGGCAATAAAGTTCCAGAAGAAGCTGGATTTTCGATTCGCACAGCTGAGAATCCAATATTGACCAGACCGCATCCCAGACATTTTGGACACTTTCATCATAAATCTTTAGGTTTCCATTCATCGCATGATGGGTTCAACGCTGGACCGTATGGATCTAGCGCACCTAGTATGGCAGGACATGGCGTGGGAGGCTTGGTAGGACCATTTGGCAAGTTTGGTCGCCCAACAGAGATCACCATCAACAATCAACAGAATACTTTTACGAACGCCGTACCAACATCAGCGGGTAATGCTAATTATCAGATCTCTCAAAGTACAGGACAAGCAGGGTCCAGTCAATCTCATTCCGCTTCTAACAACGGTCAGCATCATGCACATGGAGGGCATGGGCATGGTTTCAGAGCAGCGGAAGAAGAGCAGAGGAATGATAAGTCTAGGTCCAACGGCCCCAGTTCTCGGATGCAGATGATGAGGAGTAATTTAAGAATGACTTCGCAAACTGTAGTTCCAGTAGAACCCGTCTTAGGCCAAGCGCAAGATATGCACCTGGCCGACCATTTTTTAGGCACGCGAGGCCTGATGCCCGCAGCCTCAGGCTCCACCATGATGATTCAACAATCCAATCAGCAGACCCACTAACTGGAAGTATAATAAACGTTCCTAGTTGGAGATCCAGCCATCATCATCATGCAAAACGATCCATTGACAACAATCAACAAAAGACAATAAAAAACAACATAATCCAAGAAACAAAATATTTAAATAAACTTCAGGACGATACTCTAGACAAAAATTTCTTAGAAATGATGCAACATTCCTATCCAACTCAAACAAAAGATAAATCAAAATCAAGACGTAGACGTGCATTACCATTAATTCGCCTAGCAATGGACCCCAACTCCAAACTCAACATGCCTAAAACTCTGGAAAACATCGGAACAATTGCCCGCAACTCTTTTGAAGATAAACACGCACCCATGTATCACGTACGCAACATGATCGGTTCGGTGAAGAACGCATTTATGTCGGGTCTTCGAGTCGCTCCACACGATTTAATCATTCCCTCTCAGTACAGAATCATCGACACCAAAGAAGAAATGGTGATGAAACCATCGGAAATTGAAGAAATCAAAACACGAGCCGCTGCTGACGCAACTGCTGCAGCAGAATCGCGAGCGGCTAGGGATCGTGAACGGGAACGAAGACGAGAAGCACTAACTCCACCGAAACCCTTTGAAATCGTTCAAACTAAACCACAAAATGATTTTATGACCAGATTAGAATCATTGAAAAGTCTCTTTAAGAATCCTCTTATAACTCCAAAACCAAAAACAATTGATGAGTCAGCTCTTAGAAGAAAAGCTTTTGGTTTGGGGACTGAAGGTGCGCCAATTTTGGGTTCTCGAATGAACACCGACGATAATGAGGTGGATCCCTTTGATTTTTTAAAAACTTTCCAAAAAGTTGGTTCAGTCGTACGTGGCAGTATAAAATCCGGACAGGAAACGATTCAACACATTAGTGAAGCAGCTCACAGTGCCCGGAAAGCTTACAATACAGCTCGTTTTGGGGCACCGAGAGTATTACTACCCTATGCTAGAGCACCGGTTGTCGAAAACGATAATAAGTTAATGTTTATTGCCCCAAGATTTCTAGATATTGATAAAGAAGATCCTACAGTTGGAATGGTGGTACAACCAATGGTTGGAATGGGTGAAATTATGAATGCCTTTGGTGTTGCAAATCCAGAAGCTGCAAAGGTACAGAAGCAAAGAATTATCGTTGAGAAAACACACCATCCCCAACCGGGTAAAGTGCCCATTTTTGAAGCTAGATTTGGAGGTGGAGATGAGCACGTTAATTCCATGGCAGCTCGAGACAACGATAATCAATATTTTATCTACGCTGAAGATATTGATGAAGAAGAAGAACCTCCGATAGTTGAGGATACACTTAAATCATTGCAATCATTGAAAGACATCGTTGGGGCTAAAACAATTACAGAGTTTTTGGAAGATATGAAGAAAGATTTTACATCGTTGCATGTCAGCCGCAAAGTAAACGACATTCAAGACTTAAAAAGTCAAATGACCGACGCCCAAGTAAGTTCACGCATTGCTGAAGAAACTGAGGAAGAAGAACAGGAGTTGAAAAGATTTTTAAATGATTTGTTTGCTGATCAAACTGCAAAAATTGATAGAAATTATGAAGAAGCTAAACTGCAACAACAACAACAATCTAATATTCCTGTAACTCCTCCACAAGACGTACACGTGAAACTACAATTGAAAGAACAATCTCCCTCCAAAAGCGATGAAATATTAGGTTCAAAACTATTCCTACCGCAAAACTTGCTGAAGCCTTTCATGAATCAACCAAACACTGAGCAACTCAATGATTATTTCCGAGAAAATGGCGATGTAGAGGAAATCAAAGATAATCCCAACGAAAATTTTAACAACTTTTTAAGAATGCATGCTTTGGTAGCCGCAATTAATCCGCAGATGTACAAAGAGCTATTTAATCAAACTTTAAAGATCAATCCAAATTCCACTGTGCTGCATCCAGAAGATTTATTTAATAACACAAAACTTGGAACGGCTCGCAATATAGAACAGATGGGTAGAGAACCTGAAAGTGATTTAATTCAAATGAGATCACAGTTTTGTCCTGAACAGAACAAAAATGAAAATTTGGCCAGCCCAGATCAGGCTCATCCAATAACTCCGGAAAACCAACAACCCCAACAGGACGATGAAGAGAAAAAACGAATTAGCATGCATTTTCATAAAAAGTTAACAAAACCATTCATGGGCAAAGTAAAACCCAAGACAGAATATTATTACGATTACGGTTACGATGATAATTATTAATTTGGTTTATAATTTTGTACTTTCATAATATACTTCGCATTTAAACTCATAAATTTTGTAATTAATTTTCCTGTTTTCAGATTTCTGTTGAAGAAAATCAAATATTCTCATGATCTGAACTACAATTTCCCGTAGGTTCAGAAGATATTCTATACCAAAAATACAAGTTGTCCATTTACAAACCCTCTTATTTTCTCGAGTCGAATATTTTATCTTATAGAAAATTTCTCGCATTTCCGTTTCGCTCAATCACTTTTAGTTTTCAAAATAAACGCAACCAAAGATATCTCTTCGCAATACGACAATTTTGTGAGAAAAATATATATTTGAAAAGACACATATTTATGTATGCATTTGCAAACACTACCTAACAAAACATCAAAACAACTGAAGAGGTGTAAAACAAACCTAACACTAAATAAATATAAAAATATAAAGTATAAATATTTCAATTGCACGTATTAATCGTTAGTAAAAAGATCTTCATCCGGCGACCGCAAATAACATCGATCCTGCGTGATAACATTCACAGCAGCAAACAGTGACTTTTCTTGTGCAAGGTGCAGAACCGTCTTTCCCGCTTTGTTCTGTATATGAGCATCAGCCCCCTTGGTCAAGAGTAAATCCAAAATCCGCACATCGTTTTTGCGGCAAGCATAATGCAGTGCGGTATTTCCTTTTCCATCTTTAAGATCAAGTTTACACGATCCACTAAGTAACAGCTCCTTTACCACATGCACCCTTTGATTTATTACTGCAAGATGCAATGGAGTGTAGAGAGCTTGATAGGTCTGCAGGTTACAATTTGCGCTGGCGTCCAAAAGAAGTCGAAGCATCTCACATCGACCAAACTGCGCTGCGACATGCAGTGGTGTGAATCCTTCGGAGTTACATATGTTAACGTTTAATTTTGCTTCCTCCACGCATACTGACTGAATGGGAGCCATAATTCTCACACAACGTGGACAGTCGCATAAAGGATGACATGTTGGCGGTGAGTAGTGAACGCGAATCACGTTATCTTGCGGTATCTCAGTGGGTTTATTGGGATTGTTGATGTGTGGTGACACAGGGATACCAAGGTAAAAACAACTAAGGGGAAGATCGTTGTTTTGTATGGCTTTTAAGAGTTTATCAGTCTTCTTAAACTGTTCGAAGTTCGTCGGGCGGACACCCTGATACCACGAATTTTCAGTGTCGCAAATCAGCTCGTTTATTTCAGGCGTGTGAAATCTAACAGATTCCACGATGCTTTCCAGCCCGTTCGCTTTAATAAACGACAAAATAAGTTTACTAATGTTTTCATTTTGGGCCACGTCCATCGCAGTCTCATTCCGTTTGTTCCGAATGGAAAAATCTATTTTGTACTGTAGGAGCATTTGCACAATCTTAGCGTAGCCCCATTTCGATGCCAAATGCAGGGCTGTTTCACCCCAGTTATTACAAGCGTTTAAATCCAGCGCGTTTTCACGAAGTTGAGAATGACACAGTAATCCTTTGATGCAATTCTCGTGGCCATTGTTGGCGGCCAAGTGCAGTGCAGAGTTACCAGACGCATTCATTGCATTCACGTTTGCACCAACATTAAGCAGCAGCAAAAGTGGATCAATGCGACCATGGCGAGCGGCATGATGAAGCGGATACGATCCCGAATAATCAGCAACATGGCACGGAATACCTTTATGCAATAAAAAATCGACGATTTCCGAGAATCCAAACATACACGCAATATGCAAACAGTTTCGACCTTTATCGTCTGTATACCCGTAACAAGTAAGCGTGTTTAATCTCGTCTCAATTAATATCTGCTCGCATTTGTCGCAGGCGCAGAGTGGATGACATAAATTTGGATTGTGATCGGGATTCTCGCCGCAAAAGTCAAGCGTTTCTTCGGGAAACAAACGTTTTAGGTTTTCTAAGTTACAATTGGCAACCTCGACTATAACACGATTCTGACTAGTGTTTGCATCACTGTACAGCTCCTCGAATAACGATGGGCCGTTTATATAATTTATCGCTGCCTCCAAGGTAGTAACAAGATACGCTGCCTCATCCTGCGTTTCCGTACGACAAAACATGAAGTGTTTGAGAAACGTTAGATTTGCAATCCAATTGTTCACGTTGAGTTTAATGATGAGGAAGGCAAACAGCGCGATCAAATCGTCCGCGTCAACCAAAACCTCCTCGTTGTGTTGGTCAGTCGCATCCGCCAAAATTTGGAATGTGGTTTTCAAGCAATGCATCTTACCTAGTGTTGTACTGTATTGATTTATCTTTTTAAGCGCGCATTTCGCTGAAGTAATGACATCCTGAAAGTCCTGCAGGTCGAGGTGCTTCATTTGTATATCTTGCAAGTTTCGTGTTCGTTTGTTAAGATTACCGTCATCATACGACGTGATCGAAGTGATTGTTGGAAAAAGATATTCTTTTAGTACATGCTGCATGTATGTTTCAGTCGCTAATGTCAAATTGAAGTATAGTAAATCATCGGTCTTGATATTATCTCTGAGAACGTTACATTCTAATGTGACGTCCAAGCAGAAATGGAAGAGATCTCGCATGCGTTCTATGGTATCCTCCAAGGTGGGACTAGTGTCGGCATTATCTGATTCGTACCTAGCGATAGAAGAATGGCAAACTTGCGTGATCTTGTCGAAAACAACCCTGCCATACGTCTCGATCCACAGGAAATCTATGCAGTCTCTTAAATTTATTATCACCTTGATTGGACTGGTTGCAGCGTAATTTCCGCAGATTGGAAAATCAATGCAGTAGACTTTGTACTTCATGCGCTCGTGATAGAATGTCTCATCGAACAAAATCTCAATAGAATTCATGTAATCAACACGATCTTCAACATCCAGCTTTCCGTTTTTTATATTAACAATAATATTGTTTAGAGTTCGGAATCTGTTCGGAATTTCGTCGTTAGGGACTAGAATATGTGAGAGTATGTCGTCAAGCGTGATCGGTTCCATCACCGTGCCCCTTCGAGGAACGCAAATGATCCAGTCATTGTTGGACACATCCTCCAGACTCAAAGGATAATCCAGGAGCCTCTGGTAGAACGCATTCTCTTTCAAGTTTTCGTCATAACGATTCATCTAAATAATAACAGAATGATTTTATATGGTTATGAATTGTCTGGTTTGGCGTGATTGCTTATTACTGTGTGTGTTTAAGATGTTTTTCACATTATTGCGATGACGAAGCGGTGTGGTCACTATCGTGTGCGGCTGGATGTCGAGACGCAATTTGATAACATGCACCCAAAGAAGATAAACACTGGATTCTTACATTGTTTATTTACGTGCACGACCTTGCGGAACATTGAAATGTCAGCCAGTGTAAGCAGCGTTGTCAGATTGAGCGTGAATTTAAAAAAAAAAACATGAAATCAAAACGTAAACAAACATAACAAAACCAAACGCAAGATAAAAAAACACAATAACATTTTAATTCGGAGTAAGAAAGTATGCGGATGTGTGCGTGTATGTATGCTGTAGTTATAAGAAGATGTTGTAAACCAAAGCAATTTGAAATGAATTCAAATATGAATGATAAAGTAATGTGATATGTATAGGAAATATTATACATATCAGTGATAGAAATGTCCAAGCCGGCTGTGAAAACAAAAGCGAAAATAAACAAATGACGTAGCGAATAAAATGAAAAGTAGCCCCGATTGGGGCCTTTAACTGCCTTTCACCCATGCGAAGCATTATTTTTGCGCCAGTATATCAACAACCACACATATGTAATTGGAAATACTCTTTCTCATATGTAAAACAGCGAAGTGCGTGCGGTGTGATCATGTGAAATATTTCGTGTTTGCGTCAATAACAAAAAAATGATAACATGCAGATATTTTTTAATTAAACCTACCGCTACGATTTTCAATTCGGGAAGTGGCACAGGTTCACCATTGTTCACTGGTATCTTCGATTGGCACGATGCAAGCACATATTCAAAATATTCGTCCATGTGAGCACGATTAAATTTCGTGCGTTTCACTCGCGGCGATCACAATTCGAATGATACAGAGCGCTATGCCGACCGCAATGTCACATTGTATCATACAACAGCGCCATTCGAATGCTGCGGAGATTCTACGAACTACAATCTTAATTTTCAAACAAAAACTTTGATAAACAAATATTCAACAATTTTAAATGCATACAAGTATAAAATCTCATTCTGGTGGTCTTTTATACATTAGAAAATACTATGTATATTATATAATGTGCTCACCATCTTCTTCATAATGAAATAATAAATATTTTATTTACAAACTGTAAGAATATTTACAAAATAGACCTATGAACAAAAAAATGTTACCAACGTCTAATGCCGCCAGCAACGCGTGAACTTAGTATTCCAAAACAATCACCTGCATTCCCGCAGGATGATGTTAACAACTTAATCAAAAATCATTACAAATTCCTTAAAAAAATTAACTTAAATTCCGTCTTAATCTATGACTGAGTATAATATCAATTACTTAAGTCTTCGCTCGTGTAGTCTCCTGCCTACAAATCCTACATCCCACCGTAAATATAGCTGCATCTAAACATTCTTCCGTCATTTGTACTCTTACTAATGAGTGTTCATTAATATTGGTATCAGTAGGCGATAAATCACATTTCAGTTAAGTTTGGCACATGAATCATTCAGGACGACAGTTCAAAAACATCTTTATCGCACCAGCGCTGCAAGAGCAAGAGTTCCGTCCTTACAAGTCCTACGAAAGGATTGTGTTGCAGTGACTATAAGGATTTACTCGTCCTTTTTCTTGCGCAGTTTGCCTTCGCGTTGTATCGTCCGACTGACGTTCTCAACACTCTCTGCAACGTCGGGAGAATCCTCCAGGAGATTCGAGAGAGTCATGATGTAGCTGCAGGCGATTCGCAGCACGCTTAATTTGGACAATTTTTGCGAATGCGAATATGCTGGCACGGCGTGTCGCAGTGTGTCGAACGCAGCGCTGATTGTGTGAACTCTTGTGCGCTCCCTGGCGTTTGCTTCAATTCGCCGCTCCCGAGTCATATTTTTATAGTTGCGCTGCTCTTTACGCTGATTATCCTTGGATGTAGCATACGCATCATCCAACATATGATCATCTTCACCTTCCAGGTCCTGTGAAGGCTTGACGGCTTTCTCCTTCTTAATATCCTTAATGGTACTTTTTGAAACTGGCACTTTTAACTTTGGGAACTGGACTCCGGAGGCGCTCAACGCCTCGTCCGTCTCACCGGAGGTTGCGGAGTGTTTGGGATGAATAGGAATCCGGATTGTTTGCGGGGGTGAAATTGGTTGAGGTGGCGCGAGAATACGCGCTTCTTGCGGAGGCGGTGATGGTGGACGAAAATACTGTCTTGGTGGAGGCGCCGACACCTCGGGTGAAGGCATTAGGGACACCGTTGCTGATGGTGAAAGCGATGTGGATGAAGAAGTTGATTTGGGTGGCGATAAACTCCATGGTCGGAAAGGTGCGGTGTCTTCGGCGCGAATGCATGCGCGTTTTTTCAGGGGACCGTCATGGAGGCGGCGCGGCTCAGTCAACTTCCGCTTGGAGCGGAATGCAATCGCCTCAACTTTCACCTCCACCGAATCCTCGCTGCTATCAGTCGGGGAGTGCGGATTGTTATCAATTAAATCCATTGCGATTCCAGCTAAAAATTAATTGATTTAGCTATGGAAATTTAAATAATAAATAAAAATATTGTGATTATTTAAAACATGCATGATTATTTTGTTAATACAAAAGCGTATTTTGAATTTTTTTTATGCATGCAATAATAGTTTGGGAACAAAATGAGAGCAAAACTGACTGTTTATAGTTTGAATTAGTTTTTAAATAATTGTAAATAATTACTTACCTAGAAAAGTGTTTCTGTTATTTCCATTCGTCATAATAATCCACTTCTTCGTTTAGAACTAATCGTGGTTGTTAAAGTCACAGGTGAACGTGTAAGCACACAGCACTGAGGATAAGTGTATCCTGCGCAAAAGTTAGCGAACTCTTCGAAGCGCCCCCGATGCGTGCGGCTCGCGATGCGGATGCGTTCTGCGGCCGTAGTCGACGACTCCTTGAGTCCGAAGCGCGACTGGCAGCGGCGTCCGCCGGCAGCGGGGCAACAATACGCGGCCGCCGTACGGGCGGTCGGTCGCAGTTGTCGCGCCGTCCTGGCCGTGCGAGAGCCGTTCAACTTCTCAGCCGCACGAGGAGGCGAAGCAGGCGCGCGGCAAGTGCTGCGAGCGAGACGGAAGACAATGCGGGCTCTGGTAGCCGACGCGCACACACAGAGGCGGAGAGACGAGTCGGTGGCGCCGAGTCGGACTGGCGCCTGTCTAGTCGCCGCGCCGGACGATGCGACCGCCGCCGCACCCCGCGCCCACCCGACCAGCCCGCCCGTCGTGGTGTGAAGAATGCGGCCAGCGCCGCGGCCGCGCGGCACAGGTGCCATACAATACGCCACCCGCCGACACCACTCCGACACTCCGTGCCATCTCAACGCGCGCGCTCATCTGCATTTCGACAGCGCTCCGACACTTCCCACTGGCGCGCAAGCTGATCCGAAACACGTAAGACGGCTTAACGTGCCTGGGGTGTCCGCCTAAGCCGGGCCCGCTTAACTTTTGTCCGGCAATTGTCATCTCAAGTGCCTCGCCGAGGGGTGCCCTCTGCCAACACAATGCGCTCTCGAGTGGCTCGCACCCAAAGACACAATCGAGGTCCGTGCGGCGCATAAAATGCAAATTGACTTTCGATTCGTATTAATAACCGGCCACTTGAGAATATGCGTAAATACGCCTGCTTATGTCACCGACGGAGTCTAGCTGGAACTGTTCCCCGAACTAGCAAATAATTGTAATTATCGCCGCGTGCACCGCCCGCAACTTTTTCAAGTACCTCGCCACTTCTGCGAAGATTCGCACAAGAAAAGCCATTTCAAGTACCTACTTACTTACTTATCCTAACTAATACCACTCGAATTGAAATTTACGATTCATAAAAATTTCTTCATCGCGAAATCTTTGATTTGCAAAGAAAAATAAATGCTTAGGTACACACATCGGACAACATCTGGCGCATGTTGCGGCGCGTTTGAATTCGTCGTAATTATTTCATACCTCGACTCGCGCGCTGATTTCGTAATATTCAGCGGCGGCGCGACATGTGATTGAGATGCGCCGGCCGCTGGCCGACGACGGTGCGCCACATGGTCGCGTAACAAGTGCGAGCAATAAGGTATAATAATCGCGATAAATCAATGCGCGCGATCCGCGGCACGCCGATGCGATCGATGCATGCGCGAGATGCGATCAGAGTCCGGCCGCGCTACCGCTCGCCGCGCGCTGGTAAATCAGTGACCGTGTCCGTATGGCGCCAGAGTCACGCCATAAATAATACCGCACACACGCGCAGCCTGTGCGGACGCAGCAGCACGCAGGCAGGAATGCCAAACGGACCAAGTGTGCGAGAGTGGAAAACGCTACCAAAACCATTCGTTTCTGGAAGCCGCAGAAACTTCGCCAAACTGCAACAATTCACGGAGAAGGTTTGGAAACGAAACAATTTTCACTCAAATTTATTGATTTTGCGCTGAAAACTTGAAAAAAATCGATGTAAATTCACTCAACAAGTTCACACAAACAAAAAATTATATTTCCGGTTATTTATTTATTTATTTTTTAAGTTGTTGTTGTTTGAAAAGTTTGGTTAGGTATGGTGTACGGTGTGTTGACTTGCGGTACAAGTACCGAACATAGCATTTCCTTGTATTTTCGTTATTTTTGAAAACGTGAAAAACACGCAATTAATTGAACGATAAGCAGCGATTATGAAGGCGCGTTTGGTGCGGGGACAGGTGCTTCCCCAAACCCGACGGTGTCTTCATCAAACCGACAAACAGATCTCTCGGCGGGCGCAGAAAACAAAGAGTCGCGCGCGGCTGTTCGGGTGTTCGATTCACGCACAAAAGTCAGCGGACGAAATTATTGCGGGCATCCACCTGTTATGCGAACACATGCACCACGCGCGCGGCCGGTGGTTGGCGCGCAGGTAGGCATCTCATCGGGCCGCTGGTCGGGCCCGGTGGAAATGTGGAACAATAATCGGTTCGGGCGGGCCGCGGGCGCGCATCGCCGATCGCTTAACGCTTATCTAAATTGTTTCGCTTCCCATCGAATGAATGAAACCGACTCCGGCTGCGCCGCGGAATGAGGAGTGCTACCAGATGTTTCTGCGCGAGTTGCAAGTGCCTTGCATCCCAGAAGCAAGGTGCATATATTTATACACGCGGGCGCGCACATGGCGAAGAGAAGATGCGCGCAATTGTTGCCGGCGCGCGACCGCGCGCCCAGATGCAACGCGATGCGTAATTCATTAAATAATATTGACCTATTTATAGGCGCGCAGCTCGGATGCCTGCACGCCGCGTGTTGCTTCCTATTTAAATATTTATATATAGATAATTTGGAGTCGCGCTCACAGCAGCCAGACCGCGTCGGCCAGGTGGACGGACCACCAACGCTACGACGGTAAACCCGCGACGTGTTGCTCGGAATAATTTAATGGCTTTCGAACAAATAAAGAACGACATCCGTGTGTTTCCCACTAATTTAAAATAACATCAACTCCACTCACAATTGTTTCTTTTTGTAGTCTTAGAATTCAATTCTTTTTCGCTAAATTCTTTCTAATCTTCTTCGCCAGCCGAAAACTAAACGTTTTTTTCCCAAATAACATAATAGTTTTCCGTTGAAACACTTGTTTCGCATTGCATCTGTTTGCCTAGTTGGCGCGTTTTGGCAAGCATCGGGGCTTGAAGGGTCGTTGGTTGGAAAGTCGAGGCGTCGCGCCACCTGAACCTCAAGCACCTGTCAGCAGATGATACAGGTGCGAAAGCGCGCCGCGCAGAAGGACGAGACCCCCGAATATCGGCGCGCCGGACTCGGCCAAGATGCCATCATGTCCAAGTTAAGACCTACTCGTTCAGTCTCCAGACGTAGACACCTGTTTACGAAAAAATACGGGTAGAGACATGGCAGACACTAGCATTACACCGGGCCAATTCTCTCAACTCCGTGGAATGCGCAAGATTTTCGGGCCACGACTCCACCAACAACAATGGAACATTTGTGCGCACATGGAGCGCACAACCGGATGTCGGATATATTGGCTCCTCGTTCATTCGAGGAAATCCGAACACGAGTAACGTAAACTTCTGTGCGCTGCGGCCGAGAAAAAAAACAACAACACATTAAGGAAACTTCAAACGGAACTAAACAGTCGGTGGCCGGTGGCTCTCGTAAAAACCGCCCACGTTTTTCGGGTCTCTTGAGTCGTACCAAACTGACGTTCGAGATTGTTGCGTCGCCAGTGACACCAGACGGACCAGATGTAGGTACTTGTTAATGTTTCAGATGCGAGCGCACACATGCGACTTACACAATCTTGGCCAGAGCCAAGCACAAAAAATATACAAATGCAGAATCAATTGACTTATGTCAGGACGCATTGCATTCGGCAGTCAGTAGTCACCATCTGGATGTGTACGAAACAAGTTCTGAAAATGAAAAAAACAAGCTTCACTTAAGTAGGCATCTTATAAAATCTGCCACGTCAAAAGTTATGAGCTTGTAAGCTTATCACGCGACGATTTTCATTCGGTTGCGAGTGAAAGAGAAGGCGGGTCACATATCAAACTTCGCATGAGTTGATATGCGCTGACGTTCCTGTATGTAATTTCAGAAAGCGGGCGATAAACCTCGGCGCGAGAAATAAAAAAAAAAAACTATATTGACAGTATGCAGGGATGGAAACTGCTCAACCGCACCCTATAGCTTCAAATCACAGCGATGATTCCAAAGAAGAAGTGTTCACTTCAAAAGCGGTTAATTAGCAGGCGGGTACAGGGGCACTGGGGGCGAAGTTAACACGTCGCTCATTTCTGCGTCGATGGTTGTTTTTTTTCTTCTTCTCTCTGGTTTCGTGTGTGCGCTTTTTGCTCTCGGCTGGTGCGCGCGAGGAGAGAATGGGAGAGAATCTATCGATGCCGATGCGGCGCGGTCGCTGGCGCTGGTCGTGTCGGTGTTAAATCGTCGTCGTCTTGACGCGCGCGCCGCCGGTAGAATGCATTCGGATGCATTACATTCCCAACGCATCGCCCGTCCGCGCCGCCTGACCATATAAGCGAGCCGGGTCGGCTGGCGCCAGATGTTGATTTGCGTTGCGCCTTCGCCTCTGCCTCCGTGTCTCTCGGCGAGCGCGCATCGACGACCAGACTCCCGGAGCGCGCTTTATCGCTCTCCGAGCGCGTGCATACGCATTGACAATCTGATCTAGGCGCGCTGTGCCCCTGCCTCTGCCCGCTAATGCGGATGTTGGGAAGAATTTCACGTGACGCCGGCGACCGATCCGCACCGGCATTCCAACTCGCGCGAGCTTCCCATCGTAAACCATAATAGGCGGCCGGGCACTTGAATCTTCTTCGCTCTCCGGCGCTGCGTCTTATCACTTTTGCAACTTTTCACAGCGTTATCATCGACAAACATCGTCAAAGCGCGTGTTTACCTACTACTTCAGAGAACCACTCAAATGCAGTGCTGTCAGTTATGACCAATTTGCTTAAAAATCGCATTGCGTAGTCTAAAATAGAATAAACTGTGATTAAGACATTTTTTAAATTCAATTGCATACGACAGTCATTTTATTTTGTCTTTGAACTCAATGTGCGCCAACCTTGTTATTATTTTCTAAGTAAAACTCATAACATACAGGTTTAAACATTATCAAATGATAAGATATTAAAGCAAATAGTTGTCACAAGTAGTCACTATGTTGAATGTTGAATGTTGAATGTTTACGACTACATAATATTTATAGACTCATACCTGACTGAAAACGTTCAACGTTCTTCTGGAGAAATGTTGTTTGTTTTCGATTCGGATTCGATTCCCAGAAAGCAAATGTAACCACGCTAACTTTTATATTTAATACTTTTCCTATCGCCGTGCACCGATTAAATACTAATCGCTTAACTGCACACGAACGTATCACTCCGCGAACGATGACACGCATTTAATATCACACACAAAACCTAACAAAACACGGACTGAACCAAGGCCAGTGAATGAATTCTGTTTTGTTTCGGATTTTTTAAATTCTAGCACGATCACATTGTGTGATGTGTGGTACCTACCGAGAGATAGACACAACTCTGTAAACAAATTATCATTATCATAACCGCTAGAAGTGAATTTTTCGTTTCGCATTGGAATATTACTACGATTGCCGCGATTTCCACACCGCGGTGATATCTTATCGAGTTCTCACGCCGCAAACTGGTTGGAATAAATAGTTGAAATCGTCGCATGTTGTCGCGATTAGCACGGTCATTGCAAACAGGAGTCAAGATGCCGTTCAAGGTGTTGGTCACGCATTACGACGTCCCCGAACGCGGGTTGGAGATTCTAAGGCAGAAGTAAGTCACGATATTAATTTATGCACATGTCATTAATATACGGGTTGGTTTTCACCAAAAAAGTGGCTGTGAGTTGATAATTAACGAGGAAAAGCCATCGGCAAGTTACGATGAGATTAAAAAGAAGATTCCGGGAGTTGATGCAGTTTTTCTTGTGACTAAACACAAAGTTGATGCGGCATTAATTGCAGCTGCGGGTGAGAAAATCTAAAATTTTATGAATAGATTTGATATTTTGTCTTTTAAAGGACCACAGTTGAAAGTTTTGGGTACCATGTCCGCGGGTTTCAATCACATTGATGTTGCTGAACTGAAGAGGAGGAAGGTGCTGGTTTCAAATACCCCGGACGTTGTCAGCGCACCCACAGCGAATTGTGCTATTTTATTAGCGCTTGCTGCTGGCAGGCGAATGTTAGAAGCACGTGAACAAATTTTCAAGTAAGTGAATTATTTATTTTTTGTTTTTTATTATACCTAAAGATTAGGACTGCTCCATGAACACATTATTCAATCGAGAGTCAAGTGTGATTTGAAGTGTTTGGTATCGAACTTAACGTGAAACCTGTTTTCTCGTGAGGGCAGCACCGTACAGACTGCTTTGGTCCCACGTATAGGAAACTTTATACTTTGCTAAAGTTTTTTTTAAGGTAGTAGTAAAGTAGTTTTACATGAGATTTTTTCTTTAAAGGGAAAATTGGACCTATGGTCCCCAATGGCTCCTTGGCTATGACCTTACTGGATCAACCATCGGGATAGTAGGTTTCGGTGGCATTGGCCAAGCTATTGCTAAACGTCTGAAGTCCTTTGACATCAAAGAACTTTTATATTCCGGTCCCCGCGAGAAACCAGAAGCGGCCGCCCTTGACGCAAAGTTTGCATCCCTTGATGATTTGGTCTCTAAATCAGATTTCGTCTTCATTGCTGCTCCGCTCACGGAGAAAACAAAATATATGTTCAACAAAACCCTCTTTGCCAAAATGAAACGCACCAGTATTTTAGTTAATATCGCTAGAGGTGAATTGGTTAACCAGGATGATCTGATAGAAGCCTTGCAGACGAAGCAAATCTTTGCGGCTGGGTTAGATGTGATGTACCCGGAACCCCTACCAAAGGATCACATGCTTTTAAAGCTTCCAAATTGCGGTAGGTTAAAATATTTAAGATAGTTTAGGTAATAATACAATAAAAAAGGTTTTCATGACTATTCTTCATCTTACAGTGGTCATACCACACATTGGGACAGCGACGTACGCGGCCCGTACGTCGATGGCGGAGTTGTGTGCTAATAATATTATCGAAGGTTTGAAGGGCAAACCGTTGTTAACTCCACTTTAATTGCAACCGGGAACCATTGTGGACAGCTTTTACGACAAGTCTAATTGCTGCAAATAATGGGCTTTGTGTGTTGCCACTGGACCAAAATAAACTAATATCAAACAATGCGCTATTGTTTTCTTCACCAATATGTTTCCCAAGTATTTTTATTTCCAGGGAGAGTTACTTGAAGATTCGCCTTTAGAGCAGTACGACATATTTACTTCAAAAATGCATCTTCCTGCAATTCTTGGAGTGTTTCTTATTGGAATTTCTGCAATTAGCTGTGCAGTAAGTCCTGCTTTCTGTAAGAAATGTTAATTACATGGTATTCTATATATATATTTGATTATTGCAGCCAAAATCGCTTCGAAACGACTTGGGATTTTCCACAGGACATCTTGTGAAAGCTCTCGTGAAAGCAAATTATGTTTTACAGAAGATTATCAAGGAGGAAATCAAATCTGCGCACATATATGCCGGTGCCATCATCTTGAAACGACTGAAGAACGCTGACAAAGGTAAAAGTGTGGATGATATAAAGGCCAAAATCAAGGAGGAGTTTACATCCATGGTGGACATCGACGTCGATTGCACATCGTCTGAAGGAGTCGTCTGGTTAGCCAATAACGCCCTGCGCGTGGCAGAGAAATACCGCGAGTTGTACGCCCGCGCCGATGTTATGGATATCTGCGGCTTGCGGAACAATGAGGTGCTGAATAAGACCTGCGCTGATATCATTGCTCGTTACGAACGTGCCGTCCGTGATATTGAACTCCGCGTCCGCACCACCATCGAACGTTTATCATCGATCTACGAAGGTACCGCCACATGTCTCCGCAGTAGGTACGACACCTTCCTGAAAGGTCTGGAGACGAAGTCGTTCTAGCCAGATATCTCTTCTGAAATGTCGCCAATAAAATCTGCACTCTGCAAACAGAAATAATTAAGAAAAATCTACGTGTTTATTTCATTTCCACATGTTCCATAAAAACATTCTTAAGTCATAAATACTTAACTCTAAAATAATCTCTATGCACGCCCTTAGCTTAGAAATTAAGTTATTACAGTAGTTTTACTTTTTATATTGTCAGTCATGATTCCTTCCGGCCCTCGCCCGTTCCTACCGCTTGATTATGATCCAGTGATAAACCATTGTCCATCGCGTTTTTCAGTTAATGAATCCTTATTGATTTGAACCAGCAAGAACGGAAATAATTGTCTTCGAAAATTTGTAAAGGCATTCATTACAACTTCGGAGCAATAATGTGCCAGCAAATCACATCACCTCGTATATGGCACCCCTATTGACGCCGGCTCACATTTCAGTATATAGAAATCAGATATCCTAATCAGGTATAATATCCTAGATTTATGCTCTTGGTAACAAAATGAAGTTTTAAAAGTTTTTGTCAGTATGTGTATGTGTATGCATGTGTACCTAACTGTTGGGAATGGCTGAAATGATAGTTTAGTATAGTTTGCAAACTTGTTAACGTCATTTACTACTTACTCTTCCCCGAACCTGTACCGTTACACCTTTGTACTTGACTTGAAACGCTTACGAATTTAGCATCTTAATCTTAGACATATTTCTTACTTATCATGATTAATCATCCTTAAATACATTTCGGATATTGAATGAGGATATATACTTCTTAGTCAGTAAAGTATTTGATTGTACAAATGCGCCTCGATTTGTATGTTCTCATCATGGAATTACTTTGAGCGTTAATGTGGAAATCCGCGCACACGTTGAGCGAATGAGCCTACAGTTCTCCCTAACCAAACCGATCTCAACTGAAAAAATACAATTCTTACCCAGCTACGACTTAGAACTAGGCTCCTGTCTGTCCTTTCACATGGTAATCACAATCACGTCGCAGCCCCGCCGCCCCCTGATATTTCCACGCCACGCCTAGAAAAGGGAAATGCGCGTGCTGCACATAGCCGCGCGATAGCACTAACAATAGCCGCTCTTGAATTCAAGGAACGTGTGCTCCGTAACCGACACTATCACGTCCTTTTGTTCGCGCCGCCGATGTCGCCAGAAGCATAGCGACGCGCCCGACGCTAGAATGATGACGGTGAGCGCGCCGATCAGCATCAGACCGGCGGTGAGCACCGTCAGTGGCAGACCGGCGTGCATGGAACAATTCACTTCCTGCTCGTCGCTGCCGGAAGGACAATGCCGCAGCCCGTCGCACCACAGTTCCGGGCTTATGCAGGCGCCCAATTCAGGACAACTGCGAAACAAGCAAACATTACACGGCTTAGTACACGAAGTTTTCCCGCAACATAACTACGACCAACTACGAAATGAACAAATCGGATCGGGTTGCGTACCTATGAGGACAATTTGGTGGTGTGAACGTGAATAGTGTAGTCTGCAAGGACAACGCGGGGTTCTTCGACACCTCGATCCAGTTAACAGCGAAATTGCCCGGCTCCCTTTGAAGGAATTCAATGATGAAACTCCTCACGTGTTTGGCTTGCAGGTGTTTGTAACTGTAGACTGCCCAACCCTCTGAGAAGAGCTCCACGACATTGCCGACAAAGACATCCGGACATATAATCCTCATTGAGGTGGTCCTTCCTGGTGCATGCACCAGAATACGATTACGTGTCCCACAATAACTGTCGTTTTTCATTTCGAAGCCCTTGATCTTCAAGTACAAGAAATTCGTGAATGGGTTTTCCGGTTCTATAAGCCACGGTTGGCTTGTGCAGTATACAACGGTTTGATTGGAGCTATCACTGTTTCTCAGCGTGATCTCCCCGCTGGATCCCTTCAACTGACGAGTTTTCCATGGATCGACACATCCGTGCTCGGCCTGCGCCTGAAACTCATACGTGGCGTCGAAGTAGTAATCCCTGTAGTCCTCCGTGATGTTCATATCGCTGATCACAAATTCCACCACAACCTTGCGTCCAGTTTTCGTTAGAACGTGCAATGTATCACTGACATTTCCACAGAGACAGTCGCGTTTGATTTCGACGCCTTGCCATGGATACTCGGAGACGTGAATCTGCGCTATGCCATCTATATGATCATCATTCGAGCACTTCCAGCGGTCACTCTCGGGATCAAAATATGAGTGACATTGCTTATGGCCAAGGCCTACCCGCTCGAAATTAATCAGTAGGCGTTTCCGTTCTCCACCTTCAAAGTGATACGCGCAATTCAGCGCTTTTTGCCCACCACGTCCATAGAGGAACGTAATCCTTGGCGAATAGAATTTCCCGGAAGCACTGGTAAAGATCCGATCGCAGGGATTCAACGTCAGCTGGGCACCCTCTTGTGACAGATCGACAAATTCGTACCGCAGCACAAAACTCACCGGGTACATCACGTTTCCGTAGCGGATGGTCTGCGCCACGGTCAGATCAGAACCGGACGACACGTAGCTCTCCTTGAGGCCGCAGGGACGTGTCTTGCGCGAGGAGTTGCTCAGCAGGGAGTGGTCGCACAGCTTCGGCTTGTCGTCCTTGCAGAATTGCCCCATCAGCGGGACATTCGTCTTGGTTTTGATGTCCCCGTCCCAGAGCTGCAGCTGGACGTCGCAGTCGCCGTCGTACTCGCTAATGCGGTCGGCTGTGACGTGGTATTTGATGAAGGAGATCCAGACAATCTCCTTGGGATGCCCGCGGAAGTGGTAGTGGCAGGTGGTGTTCGGCGGCAGGGAATGCATTGGACTTTCGAGAATTCCCGATGGATTCTCAAAGGTGGAAACGAGGAATTCGCATTTTTTGCCTTGCTCGATGTAGGTAGGCGAGGCTTTGTTCACGTAGAATACCTAAAATATTGAAGAAAAACCTTTAACAATCTCGTATCGGTAAATATTTATTAGGGTTTAAATTTAAACCAAAATTTAAATTTTGGTAAAAATCGCAATGTAGTCATTGGATTATAAATTTTGAAAATAGTACACAAATTGTGTAGGGGAGAGTAGGGTAATGGGAGTCACCCATATATCCACGAAACAATAGATACGAGTAACGCGTAAACGGCGTTCCTACCTCCGTTCTGGCCCCCCAGTGCCACCCCCGACAAATCATGCAAATCGGTGCGTGTATCATTGAGATACGCCAATATTTTATTTTTGAGCTCCGCTGATCTAATTTTACGTCCACGCAAATTAGAAGATAAGTGTCGAATATCTTGCAATATTCGAATGAAACTTTTATATAGTCTTAGTTAAACATTCAAAATCGTGATGTGCAGTTCAGATTACATTAATGTTTTGAAGAAATATTTTTTTTGTTTTTTTTTTTTCACAATAGTGCAATTGTGGGCAATGGGAGTCATGCGACTCCCAATGGACGTTTTTGTCTTTAGTCCGCTCTAAATGGCCTATAGAAAGCAATGTGACTTATTTTTCAATAGCCTTCTTGCAGAAACGATACTGCAGGAAAGTAACAAAACTTATGATTCCAATATTGGCACTGATGACTTATGCCAGGGTGATGAGGATGAAGATTTGGAAAACTGATGTCAAATGTGCAACGATTTAAAAAAAAAACAATTAAATGTGGTTCAGATGCACTTCATGTGGGCTATGGGCTCATATGAAATGCACTGGGTGGGACTTTGCGGAATATTATGTCTGCGATATCTGCTAGATTTCGTTTGATTCCGATTGTCTCCAGGGTGACCACCATTACCCGCATGTCGGTGTAATGGGAGTCAAATCTGTTTTTTTTTTAAACATTAATAATATCCTAAATTGATTGTCAAAGTGACTGAAAATTATTTCAAATAATAGGTATTTACGTAAACAATGCTTATAAGCGATTGCAATAAGTATTTTGTTTATAATTTAAATTATATTTGAGTTCTCCCTTAAGTGACCCCCATTACCCCCTTTTACCCTACATTCTATAATATATTAAACCAGGGGGCCACAGCTGGAATGCAATCATTGACAAATGACGATAATTCAATATTCAGTTGAATGAAAAATATATTAAACCATTTTGCAGTCATTTTTTATATCGAAAACAATCAATATTCAAGCAGAATTTAGTAAAATGTGCAAGCGCATTTATAAATATAAACAACAGCGGATGTTAAAACCATCTGCGAGTGTTTGCATTTGAGAGCGGCACAATGTAGAGGCACTTGAAGTAATTTCGAAAATAACGCACAGCAGTCACAGCACCAACTCGTGTAAACAATTTACACACGCACAGGCTTTCTATACGTCATGTACACCCTTATACAAGGGTGCCAAGCAATGTAAATTGAAACGATGACAAATTACAAAATAGTCAATATTTGTTCCAATTCAGAAGTTATTAAACGGCGTGCAATAACAATTTTTTTCCTGACTGAATTATGTGCTTTCAATAAATATTACAACAAAATCATGAAGGCAATGCGGAAAAGCTTTTTTTTTGCACTGTTAAAAGTGAAAAATGCGCCGGAGTCAATTTGAGACCAATTAAAAATGGTTTATGTTTGATGGGAAGTTGAACACAATGAAAGCAAACGCGAGAAAAACGCGCAAATCGCAAAAGTTCGATATTTGTCCGGACCGGAAATTATTATTGCAAACCGAAATTGAATATTGCGCGCTATTTACCTGTACTTCCAGCTCGAATCCGGGCAAATAGGAGAGCGGCAGCGGGTGAAAAGGGTTGCCGAAAGGAGACGTATGGAATCTAACCAGCAGCTCGGGTCCGGAACTAATTATTTCCGGCACCGTCTCGCCGCTACATAAATGAGCCAATATCGGGCTGCTCTGCTCGCTGCCGTCCAGAATCTCGATGTAATCTTGCATCACGTTACACTGATCCCATATCCTGCAAATTGAAAATTAGATCGTCGTGAGGAGCGAATCGGGATAATTAAATTCGGCGAATGGCCGACGCAGTTCTGATAATGTACACACAACTGCTATTTGCTGTCGAGTGTGTATGTTTGGAGTAGGTACGTGGAGCGCGCGCGAAACGATTCTAAAGCCTGGCGGGTGCCAGGTGAGTGGCGGGCGGTTAGCGCCGCTATATATTTTTGCTGGTTGCGGCGGCAACGCCGGCTGTGTAAACCGTTGGCGACATTCCGTTCCATTTAATATTAAAACAAACCAATATTTTTCCATTTTCAGGCGCGCCATTCACGCCTGCGAATGAATAACGAATGCCAGCGGCGGCGGCGGCGGGCGAAAAAATCCTCTTTTGTTATTCTTTTCAACGCCGCACCTCCGCTTGAGCCCTCTTAAGCCCCGACGCGCTCTTTGCCAACAAGCGCATGAGCTTTCAAAAGCGCCCGCGCGCTTCGCATTTTGATTCGGCCTGATTCGCCATAAATTCAACTCTAAACGCGTTTCAATGGACCTTTTTTTCTGTTATCGACACTTTTTGTACGGCCCAAAATGAAATACCTCCACGCGTATATCCTGCATTGCGTTTCGTCGATGAATAAAACGTCTCCGCTTTCCTTCCTTCCATTTTCCGCTTTCGCTTTTTCCCTTCCGTTCGCGCGCGCCCAGCATTTGCAATAAGTCATGCTTCAGAACCGGTGTCGCGATTGTCGCGAATGTTTGCGACACTATCCCGCACAACATAAACTTGTTTCGGATCTTGACTTATTTATGAAATTTGCATTTTTAGATTGGATGCGAGGCCCGCCCGCAGGCTGTGGTGACTTGTGGGTTGGTTACTCACCGAAAAACTCGATCGCTGTTATCGAACTTCGTGACCTGATGGTCCTTGTGGTTGTAGTGCGCCTGGCGGACGGCGATAAGCGCGTGTTTTTCCGGCGGCGCCGACTTATCGCGTACGCGGTAGCTGCAGGTCAGGTTCCTGGGGTAGATGCCCGGATAGTTCGGCGACTGGATGCGGCATGGTCGCTTGCTGCAGCCCTCCAGCAGGCGATCACAGTACGATCCGGCGTGAAGTTTTCCACGGTAGGAGCGTTGCGTCGCATTGCCGTAACGAATCCGCGCGTCGCTCAGCCGCAGGAACTTGTAGGACAGCTTGAACTCGAAGCCGTTCTGATGCTGCAACGAGAGTGAGTCGTGTGAGAGCGGTTAATTAAGACACCGAGGCGTCGTAAATCGCCGCGGTCGCCGCCGCCGCCAAGCCTACCTGTTGCGGCAGACGCGCGAGATGCAGCGTGAGGTTGATGCTCGGCGTCTCACTGTAGTAGACGGTGTAGCCCCATGAGCTGCCGCACCACTTGCCGCCCTGCGGCGGGCGATTCCCCTCGGCGATGGAGATGTAGCCGTCGGGACACCCCTCCGACGTGAACGACTCGAACGTGCCCACCGAGAACGACTCGAAACTCAGCTGGAAAGCAACAACATTTTTCTCGAGTGCAGGTTGCAGGTTGCTGGGTCATCCCAGCGTGCAATATTCAAGCGCACTTGGAAATTACATCAAACAAATTTACGAGCGCGCGTGCTCACCGCGATACTCACTTGGACCAGCTCGCCGAGCGACTTGCCCGCCGCCGTGAAGTTCAAGTAGCAGAGAAACGGCAGCTGTAATTCTTCCGGACGTTTGACTTCCAATTCGTATGTGCGTCCGACCTCGCCGAAGTACGTTCGATTGCACACTGAAATTTAATGCGTTTTTACGGTGGAAAAAGCTTTAATAATTCAGGTGGCGCACATGTGCGCGTTCAGTCAATGTCGGCGATTGTTTCGACGCCGGCCGCAGTTAAATATAAAAATGGATACGCCTGCATGCGGATACGGGGCGGCTTCCGCTCGAATCCGAATGAAAAAATAAAATAAACTATCGTGCTTTCGAGTGATTTATGCGTGCTGGTCCGCGTGGGCTTTTCGGAGGGCGAATTTCGGCGAAACGCGCGCATTTATCGTATCTCGTTGAACCTTCCGCAATCGAAGGTTTTCGGTTTTATGTATATGACGACGACAAATCATTCCTGCGGGCGCGCCGCGTGCTCTTTAAACTTTCGGCCGCTCTGTGTTCCCTCCGGCGGCCGAAATGACGACGATTAAATCGTTTAGAGGCGACCGCATTTTCTTTGCGAGGGACTTTTTTTCATAAAGGGGCGAGCGGGTTTCTTTGCGTAGGCTCGTGCACCACAAACGCGGGGCCTGAAGTTTATAAATTTCAAGGTTTCTGACTACATTTCAGTTCATAAATCTCTCTCAACCGAATTAGAAAAGAAAATCTTGTGGGTCAAGACGGGTTTTCTTTGCATTGCGGGGTTTTTTATATTTTTCGACAAGCACCCAAGCCCGTAATATGTAAATTACACTTTTGGTCTCCAATTTCCCTAAAATTTTCTTCCAAATTACAAGTATCATGCACAAAATTTGATAAAAATAGCAAATATTCCCAAATCTTTTTTATCAAGTCCACTAGACTACAACATGACAAAAAAGCCGTAAATTGTTCGATTGATATGGAAAAATTTCATGTTTTAGAAATTTGAGAAAAATTACAAGTTTTTACGAGCATTTTAGGGCACTTCCTGTGGGTTTAGAGGGTGAAAAGTACATCCATGATGTAAAGGATCCTGTAAACTACAACATGACGATACGAAATCCTAAATATGTTTATTGGTAAACAAGATATAGGGTGTTTTATGCAGAAAATTTAAAAATTTAAGAAAAATTGTCATTTTTGATGAGAATTTTTATACGCTTCCTGTGAGTTTAGAGGACACAATGAACACTCTAACACAACGATTAATTTACAATATTTTAATAAGTATTTAACGCAATGCTTGAGAATCCAAATAGATCACAATTTGTAAAAGTTCTCTTAAACTATTATGTGACGCCATAAAACCCCAATTCCGTAGTTGACCGGAAAGTCAATCTGAACCGGATATACCGGATGCTTAGCGGTGGTATTAGATATCCGGATGTCCCCTTTGTCTGGACAAATTAGATTCAAGCGATTCTACATCAACGAAGATAACATATTGCGCCTGTTTTGGTTCAAAAAATCAATTTTAATCCGATTACCACCGACTTCAAAGTGAAACGATGATCTAATTTATCGGCGGCTTGTCCTTGAACTGCCATCACTTGAAAACCGCTCAGCTTTTCAATTTCGCTCACAATCGAAGATTAATGTAAGCGTGAGTCGGTGGCAACAGATTCTTCGCCGACTATAGCCCACACGACAGTGCGGAAGTTTCGAGTTTATAAATTCGGCATTATTAACTTTCGGCGGCGCGCGCCAAAAAGAGAGAGAATCCGGTTAATAATAACCGAGTAAAAACTTTTATTAAGTTAAACATCATAAAGCACGGAAACTCCGGCAGCCGCGGGAAGGTTCAACCGGTCGGAGTCGAGGTTGCCGGGGGTATTAATTGTTTCAGTTTTGAAGTCGCGCAGCAAACTGCTTCGGAGCGGAAAGTTTGCGTTCTTTCTGGCAGGCAGCGCCGCAGCAACGCAGTTAAGACGAAACTTTCTAATTACCTATTTAGTTAGGATTTATTTACTTGCCCGCGTCGCTTTATCGAGTGCCGCCCCCACACGCAGGATATTTATATGTGCGCTCGGCGATATTTTCGAAGCGCGCGTATAAATTATGCGCCCTAATGAAAATCTGCGCGATTTTTACGCGTTCTTTGCGGAGAAGCCACGATGCAACAGTTATTCCACTGGGCACGCAAAACGCTCTTAATTGCTGTTAGTTTATCGCTATCTGCCGGCTATCATCAGCACATCCCATCAGTCATTTTGAACTTAATGTTTTTATTTCGCTCCGCTCGCTTTTGACAACCTGCTGGAATTTGATAAATCCGACGGTGATTTCGAACGTATTCCACACGTCCCGGAACCTGCGCGCAACTACCTTGCTCGCTCAATTAATTAGCCCGTGTACGTGCTAATGAAACTTTTACTAAACTCGCATGAGCGCCGTGCTGAACCGAAGGAAACTCGCCCTTTTGGCGAGGGGAGCGCGCGCCTGACGGCGGATATCACTCTGGCCGCGTTTCGGAGCAGCGCTGGGGAATAATGTGTGTCGCTCGAAAGATGCCAGGATAATCTGTTTAAATTATCATCGAGTCGCAGTCCCAACCTCATCCTGACACCGAGTGTTTAACTAAGAAGCGTTTTATTTTCAGATTTGTCCGGGCGAACGATTTATGCATTAGTTATTTTGTTACAAAGCTACAAAACAATCAAAAAAAAGTCATTATTTCACACTTTGAAACAATTTAAAATCTGTATTTGGATAAAAACCAGTCATAAAAGTACAAGCGCACAAACTGCACTGACTTTTATACTCAATTATTTGCGCATTAGAAAAAAACTCGGCGGGAAATGTTGAAATAATTTCATGGAAGAACAAGCCGAACGCAAACAAATCAAAAGGGAGCGTTTCATAACCAATTATATAGCCATTCGGATGTAATTACCGGCGGTGACACGGCGACACGCCGCTTTTTCATAAATCCACGCGATTAGAAAGTAATTTTCTAAATGAATTCGGAGGATAATTAAGTCCTAACGCTTATAAATGAATACAGCGGTCCACAGTGTTAGCATAAATCGTATATCATCGCAAACAGAAATGTAATAGGATGTAATATGAAGGAGATGGTTTAATCCCCCAGCGAGTCCATCCATAATAGCCCAGCTAGGCCGGATGTTAAGGCGGCGAGCGGTGGCGGGCGGAGGACCCCGCGTCGCCCGAAGGATTCGGCGGCGGCGTCATTGTGCGTTCGGGGCGCGCTCGACGGCCGGGCTTTATTATAAACGTTTAATGGCTTTTGTCGGCCCGTCCTCCCGCCCGTACATCATTAAATATGTATGGCCAGCCTACGCGAATATGTCGCGCCTCATATTTTCCCGAATCTGTCTCGTTAATTTGTTTCACACTCGACACTCGAACAGCGGCCAGACGCACTCTAATTCAATATTCATTTACATTTATTACGAATGAAACAAACAACAAAAAAACGACTTTTTTATTTCTCACATGAATTTAATTAATATTTGAAAAAAAAGACGCAAATTCGCGATGCATGAATTTCAATTATTGCCGCATCGAATATAATTGAATAATTGATGCGTGATGCGTGACTATTTACGCTCGATGAGTTACATAATTAATGAACAAAATTAACGGCGATTTTCGCCCGCTGGCGAGCATTTCGCCGGCGGTTATTGAAAAACGCGCGCGCCGGCGATAAAATACCGGCCGGTCTTTATTACGCCGCGGGACAACGCGTAACGCAATTATCCCGGCCTCGGATTGCACAATTATCCCGCTGTGTGTGCACTTGTGTTTCGGCATGCGGCGGGCGTGCGTTCGATTCGGCTGCGATTATTAATTTATCGATTTTCGGAGAGGACGTGGTGAATGTGTGTGCAGCACGGCGCGACCACAAGGTACGCTCTGAATTTATCAGTGCGGCTCGTCGCGCGCGTTATGAATGCAAATGAAATATTTTAAATTGTGTACGTGCGAGTGCCAAACGTGGGGCGGCGGTGAGGTGGAGACGTGCCGTCAAGCGCCCCCCGCTGCTTGAGGCACCCTCGTGAAATGCTGTTCAGCCTTCGTTAGATGGACTCATCCGAGACGACGGCAAGATTTCATCGTTACTTAATGTTTAAATACGCCGATGGAATATTGAGCGCGATTTTCCGATCAATTTTTGCTGATTTTACTTTGTTTTGTCGTTCGCTACACAAGCGAAACAAGAAAAACACAATTTTTCGTTTAATATTACTGGAAGCATTTATAATGTGACATTCGTTTCACAGTTAGTGAGTTTCTAAGCAAGGCAACAAGTATCTAGAGATTATAATCAACAAATCAAACATATGAATGCAAAATTGAATCATTGACGCATGAAATTCACTACTGTTGCATTGAAATTCTAGTAAAAGCGCAATATGAATAGAATAAATTTTTAATAATCTAGATTCATTATTTAAATGTTTAAATTGAATCGAATGGCCTGCGAGTTATTTTCCCGAGCAAATTGAACAACAATTAAGCGAGTGATTGATAAATTCGATTTGCGTACGATTTGCGCGCGCGAACGTTTCCCGGCTGTTCAGTTTTTGCGCCACGCTTTATTTATTTTTTTCTCCTGCAGCCGCCCCCAACATTTATATGCACTTTTCACCGGCGGGAGCGAATTTATAGCGTTCATTCCGGTTTGATTCCACTCGACGGTCGTGCACACGTCGGCGGAATATCGAACGATCGCCGCGCTCCGCCCGGCATTTTATTGTGCTTCGTGTTTCTTTCATCGTCACTTTACGGATGCGTGCAGCGTGCCGCCGCCGCCTCCGCGCCAGGATGTGCGAAAGCCTTACACGAAGCGCGGCCTGATAAGCAAGGCTTTTCAATTCCCCGCCGAACGGCCGAATAATAATGAAAAGCTTCGCGGCGCACGAACGGCGGAGGCGGGCAGTGAATAATAGTGCGGCATTGATTTATGCTTAGTAATATTAATAAACACGCTAACAAAAGGCGGGCGGCGGGCGGGCCGGCGGGCGATCCCATGTCAGGAGCACACGATGATCATGTCGGGAAAGCTTTCCCGTACACGTCGTACCCATTATGTCGGAAGTCGAACTACATGATGTATGCGCGTTCTCAGCCGCCGCCCACACACTCAAGTTTTTCCTCGCGAGCAAAGCGACTGCATGCATGACTATTTGTTTACGTCGAGTGCGTAAATATTTGACTCGCAATCAATGAACAAGAGTAAGCGTCTTTGCGCAAATCGTGCGGCGGCGGCGGAATGAGACAAAGGCCCACCGCCGAAAATAACGTCGTCACGTTGGGAGGACGTTTCAGCCGTTTGCGGCCGGTTGCGCAAGTTTCGCAAACTACACACGTCCTGGGAATTTCATCTAAATACTTTTCGGTGAAAGTTTCGCCTTTTGTGCGCCGAATGTGTACGCTTGCGGAAAGTGGAGGCGGCGATGGTGGTGGTGGTGGTGGCGTACGTATCGGTCGTTTCGTGCGGTCGCCTCAACGGAAGACGTACAATGCGTTTGTTTAGCATGCTGTGCGGTCGTGTGGCGCAAAGATATCGCCGAGGAGAAAGAAGCGCGCAGAGACGGCGCGGCGGCGGCAGCGGCGGTTAGGAGTCGGGAGCGTAAGCGCGCGCGCTTGCACCGCAGCGGCGGGGGTGGTGTGGCCAACTCACAAACTTTGTTTACGATAAACGCCGCCGTCGAACTTCGCGTCGAAGTCGGGACCCCGGACCTTCGAAAACGCCGGGAACGTTTATGATTATGCGCGTCGTTTTCCCCGAACGCTCATTCGATATTTTATTATTTAATGCGTCGATAAACGCAGCCCCTACGCGTCATATCCACAAAAGTTTCGTGGCATTTTTTTTTAACCAACAAGCGTTTAAATTAAACCAAGAGAAAAGTATTAAAATTTAATTCGTTTTTTCTTTTCGTGTGCGCTTGCACTGCACATTTGTACCAAAGTGATGATTAAATCAAGAATTATGTCGGAACAAGTATGCGCACCGGCCGCCGCCCCCGCGTGCGAGAACGGCGCGCACGTGCTGATGGCGGGCAATAAAACCGCCCGAACGACTTACGTGAGCAGTCCTGCGGCTCGTCCGCATTGTTCTCGCAGTCCTGCACGCCGTTGCAGTACCTATCCGAGCCAACGCACTGTCGGCCGCCGTCGCCGCATTGAAATTCGGATTTTTTGCACGACGTGCTGCTTTTTGGCTGGTGCTGCTGGTCGTGTCGTCGTGCGGCTGGCTTCTGCTCCGGCTCCGGCTCCTGCGGCTCGTCCTCCTGGCGCACCAGCGACGTGCCGACGTACGTGACCAACAGCAGCACTAGCCATCCCTGCCGCATTTTCATGGCCCACCGTGAAACTGCAAAAGAAAATGCGTCAAATGTTAAAAACGCAAAATATAAGTCTTAAAGACTTAAAAATTTAATACACAACACAATATCACTTTTCAGCCTTGTGAAACAATAGACGATTACTGTTAACTAAGCATCATAATTAATCAATTAGATTTTCATTTATATCAAATGTTCAATGCGTGCGATATAGCTACATCTATTGAATTTTCATTATACGAATGGGAATTGATATTTCTGTTCCTTTGTGCGCAGCGCCGACGTCCGGGGCGAAAAAGCGACGAAAGGAAACAAAAAAAAAAGCAGCGGACGCGCCGAGCAAATGACGCGTTTTTATGATTTATTTATTAACGCTCGAAATGATACACGATGCCCGTGTGCTTTTGCACCGCGCGTATTTTTATTTGAATTGTCGAGTTAATGCACGCTAATGAACAAAGCAAGGGGTGCTTTTAATGTCGCTATTAAGGATTACCGCATTAGCGTCGGGCTTGATGGCCCCATCATTTACAAAACATATCGCGCTGCTCCGATTCATAAAAATCCCCCAAACGCTCCGAGATTAAACATTAAATAATGAACTCAAAGCCCAACTCAAAGAGTAATTTAATTTATTTAACGATATATAAATTACATCAATTTTTCGAAAATTCACTGTGATATGCAGCAAAGAATACTTTTATCTTGCGACTTTGTGCATGCGCAACATAAAAATTGTATGCAGATTTCGTTAAAAATATGTGCCATGAAACAACATTTGATTTTACGATCATAAAGTTGCAAGTACGTGCACGTTCACGTGAAATTGTCTCCCGACGACACTGAATAATTCTCGCGCAAACTTTTTCTACGCCTTTGAGCACGATTTTAAAAATTAACGCGTACCCGCGCCGCCGCAAGCCAGAGATATTAATTATATACGAATTTGTGAAGCAGTTCACCACGCCGGCGGCGGTGTTTTTACGTGCGGCTAGAAAAACGAGTGCTGAACTTTAATGCGCTAGTTTGGTTTGCTGGCATCGCGCTGGAAATGAGTATCATTAACATGGCGCAACAAAAAAGCGCCACTCAGACGGTGGCTGCACATATGACACACATGCACTCACTGGCGGCGGTGCATTGATACTGTCGCAGCACAAAGTTTTTCTAAGTCGCTGCCGACTTTATTGACCATCGGCACCGTCATTAGCATGAAAAATGAACGCGCGACGCTGATGAAGTTCGCGCGGCGACGAGTGTAATTTGCCCACATTATATAAAGCCGTGACGGCGACAATACGAACGCAAGTCGTAAGAAAGTAGTGCGCTGCCGCCGCCGCCACCAGCACCGCGAGTTAGTTTAGGAGTTTAGTTATTCGATCGCATGTGCCGCCATAATTTTCTTAATACGTAACATGCAGAACATAAGTTACGAAGGTGTTATACCAATTGTTCGGAAAAGTTGCGGCGCACATGCGACGCCGCCTTCGCAACCGCCCCCACTGGTTGAGGGGTAGGTATGTCATGCACACGATGCGGACTATTTTTAAAATGGATTGCGACGTGCACATGCAGTGACCTCCTGGAATATAGTGCTCGATATGAATGTAAATGTAGGCGGTGGAGGAAGGCGGAAGATGAAGACATGCAGTATGTGGCCCATCATCATCGCCACGTGAAGTTGGAGACGGTTTTGACTGGGTATTTGTTTTGGGGTAGTGTGTGTGTGTGTGTGTGTGTGTGTGTGTGTGTGTGTGTGTGTGTGTGGGAAAATTCCGCTGGCGTCGTTGGCAATTTGCGAGTTTTCCACCAGCGTGTTTCTGACGCTAAGAAGTTTCCACTAGTCGCGTGCATTGTGCATTGTTTCGTAATAAATAGACGAATGTGCGATTCGAAATTGTTCCCAAATTGGAAAGTGCTGTAGCCGCCCGAGTCCTAATGAACGCCGCGCGCGATTTTCCAGCGAAACAACCGAAAGAATGATTTATTCGCGCCGCGCTGCAATTATTCCGATGGGGAACATTATTGCGTATTGTTGTTCCGCCGCACAAAAGCGGCGTCTTCGGCTTCTTTTTGGAGTGTGCTCTTCACTCCGCTGCGAGGCGGGGGATCAAATCAACGCGCGGCGAATCGCCTTCGTTGTCACGAAAATTCCCAGCAATAAAAACCAATCGAAAACTTTTTTCCATCTTCGACAACAATATTGATAAGAACAACGAAAACCATCGTCATTCCAGCGCAAAATTTTACAGTAAATACATTACCACACAGTGAAATACACTAAAACTTATTTTTTAAAGCGTAACATTTTTACGCTTGCATTTTTAAATGTTTTATTAAAAATTCCACTGATAACAAAAATGGGTCGCCATTGCGAAGCGAAATTACTCTCAAAAGATAACGCTATGCGGCCGATGAGAGATTGTTCATAAGACCTTGTGGGAGTCCTAAATCAAAAATGAATTCCATTCCCACATTTTATTTCCACTCTTGCGTAAAATATTCAAATGATTGCAGAACAACCCTTTTTCATGTTGAACACTGTGTTGTGCGTTGTTGATGTTTATTCCTTGTTTCGCCATTGAAACATTATGTATTTGTGTTATGCGCGTTTTTTGCGATTCGCATGCAAATATTTTATGAAAAACAGTAAAAAGCGATTGCTGGCACGCGTACAAGAATCCTTTCGGGCGTTAAAACCACACGCGCGCATTGCAATTAACTACGATGCAAGTGAATTAATATCGAATTAATAACGTGCAAACTTCACCATACTATTTCTTTTTTGTTCAACCAGATAAAATAGTTATTTATTATTAATTAATATGCTGAACTTTTCGTTTCTAAAGAAAATGTTTTCGTGTGTTGGTTGAAATTTTTGGTAGCATATGGTATGGCGTTACATGGAAGATAAAGGAAAAGTTTGCGCACACAAAAGGTTCCTTAAGTTATCCTCTAAAGCACTCTTCGGCGCTGGCACTGGAAGCAGAAGGATCAAATCAACGCAGCGCGAGAGATTCGCGCATCGCGCGAATTCCGCGCAATAAAAACCAATCGAAAACTTCGCGGCGAAGCACCGGCACGCAAAAGATTGATACTTTATTTTATTGAATTCGGCAGCGGGGGCGGTTTATTGGTTTATATTTTAAGTTTCCCCTAGTTTAAGCGCGCGTGCTGAGCGCGGCCGCCCCTCGAGCCGTCCGCCGTGCTTTACATCCGCTCACATGTGTTTGCACAGCGTGCTGCATCTCAACCGCCGGCAGTGCTATAGTACCACTACTGCCGCCCCTCGACGCGCAGCGCTCCACTACCCGCTGCAATATATCTGCACGCTATCAGTTATATCGGTTAAGATTGATTGCCCCATTGTGCGTCGGACTTAAATGATAGCCGCCTTTTTTCTTTCGGCGGCGGCGCTTGGTTTTTTTTTCTCTGGCCGTGCGCGTCCGCCGCTGGCCGTGGCTATTTTCCAAGACATTTGTTATTATATTAGCTCCGGCTTATACGCGTTGAACTCGACGGCGAGGAGGAGATAATTTATGGCGGCCGGGGGGCAGGCCGCGTGTGAGCAACACATTGGCGTCCGCCGGCAATTGCCAAAAACGAAAAGCCTCCTTAATGGGATAATTTATGCATGCCCCCTTTGCCCAAGGAGCGGCCGGCAGCGGCGCTCCACAAGTATTCCTACATGATTTTCACATTAAATGCATTAGCGATTCAACAGCGCCATTCACTTAATCAGCTGGCGATTAAACGCCGGCAATTAATGGCCTGCCTTCTTCCTTTCATCTCGAGCATGTCAACCATAATCAACGTATTGCTATTGTTACTTGGAATTTGTAATGACAAGGCTAACTACAGGATAATCATGATCAGCGTCCGCAATATCTAAAGCAAGATGCTAAACGTAACTTGTTAACTTGATTAAAAATCGGAAAGTTTGCAAAACTTTCAAGCTTTATACCAAAATCCGTGTTTTTTTTTGTGCTTCAAAAACTTCTTAAACGTGGCTAAACAAATTTTGCCTGGCTCTTCATTTTACTTTTCTGCAATCATTAATAATGATGATATTGTGGAATATCTTAACATTTCATTTACGTTCAAGGGATTAGAAAACGATTAGAATTAGAAAAGTTTGCCGAGACTTGCAAGCTGTTACCACGATTCTAATTATAAAATACTAAGACCCCTTGGCGGCTTTGTCTTCAATGGCGATGGGGCACACCGTCAAGCAACCAGGCTGCTCACGGGGTTTTACTCGTGCACCAGGTGAATCAAACCGAAAAAAGGAAAGGGATAAGAAACTAGGGATCTGCTGGACCATTGCTCATTTACACCAAAGGAAAACCCCAAACAAAGTATGGAGCAAGTACACGCAATACGGTAAGTTGTGCGAGCACTCCCGTCGTACCCCCACCACTTTTTGCGGGTCGTCCGCAGGTACTTCTGCTTTACTGCGTGTTTTTTTAAAGGTTCACATTGCAATTTTTACCGATTTATATAAGAATTTGAATAAACTTTTAATAAACCAATGTATAGCTGTTTAATTCATGTCAGTGTAATTCCCTAATCAGTAATCCGAACGGAAAATATTCATCATAATCCTTTTTATTCCATGTCTACTAAAATATTCATTAGCAATAAATATGATACGCTTAACGATAATGCATACTTGATGTACTTATACTTATTCCAATTCGGGCTCCGAATTACGTATTTGTGTTTTTACGCGCACGTTTCACGATTTTCATGCAAATATTTGATGAATACCCAGTGCGCGCGCTGGCACACGTACAAGAAATCTATTCCCTCATCCATAAAGCCCGTAATTAATCCGCTGCGACTGAATTCGGAATTAATAACGAATTAATCGCGTGCCAAGCAGATAGTTTCATTTTTACGATTTTTGACTCGCGCCGAAAATGAAATATTGCGGACAACGCCGCTCGCCTCGTTAGCCGTGCTAAATTAATAGCCAGCACTCATTAACACGATTTATCAAAGTGTGCACATCCCGTAATTATCCGATTGAATCCGCCAAGCGCATAAAATAATCATTTGCATACTAAACACGAATTGCAGCAAACATTGTTAGCGCCGGCGAAGGTAACATCACATAAAACTGTTGTTGACAAAAATTTCAAGAGAATCATTGAATTGAATTTGAAGCCGTGCATGAATGGTTGTTAAGGCATAAAAAACAGCCCAAAGAGTCGTTATCCTTAGGAGGGCATTAGCGGCACACACAAGCATCGCGGACACATTCGAGAGAATAGAAAATTTAAAAGGGTACTGAAAGGGTGCGCGCCGAGAGGCATTGTCGCGCCTCTCGTTAGAGCATCCCAATGAATGTCCCATTCATGTTTATCCGGCATTATCAATGCGTCAGGCAGGCATTATTCGCGCGAATCGCGTGCGAAAGTCGAGCGCATTGTTTCAGCGATAATTCGCGCCGAAACGAAGGCGCGAAAGGCATCGCTACACCCACGTCTGATCATTGAAACGCTCAACTTCCAACATTTAGATGTTTATGTCATAATTAAAAGGCCTTCACGAGATTGAGATGCCACTCCGCCGAATATACTCTACTCGAATTCTTGACGTGCAGCTGCACTCACTACAATCTACAAGCATGACTTCAGATAGAAAAAAAACGAAAAGACAAATGATAAAACAAGAACAAACAAGCAACGAACGCCGAAAGTAAATGATATTGCTGGCGTAAGTAATACACTTTGTAAAATGTATGGAATGATGAGGAATTCTTGCTCAAATTTCGTGCGGCAATCTGCTCGCGACTTTAATGAATCCTCGCGGGTCGTCGGCGGCTCGCAACCGCCGCATAACTCACATTGTTTTGGTCGCTCGCGTCGCCGAATTTTATTCCTTTCTGAATGCCCGCAGGCGTTCGCGCACATTGCGCCAACAACGAACCGCGCTCAACACGTGCCTGGCCGGCGTCGAATGTTTGTAAATATGTGATGGGATAATTACCTGCTCTCCGGGTCTTAATTATCGGCGGGGGCGGCAAGACACGGTGCGGCGTTGGGGGGTGTACGTCTTCGCTCAAGCCGTGAGCGCCTGCAGCCGGTTGGCACTGAACTGACGCCGTCTGGAAGCGCGATGAGCGTGTCGCTCGGCTGACGGTGGCGGGGGCGGTGAGCGCGCACCACAGCGGCGCATAGGATCGAACTCGGGACTCTTCGAGCGTAACCATCCAATCCAACCGAAACAGAGAGGGGTATACGAAAAGAGGCAAGAATACAACCACTCGGCAAACAAAGACCCCCACAAACTACTCACCACCGTGAATGGTAGAAACAGCAGTGTTAATTTGTAATAAAATAACATTTATTGGCATTATAATGTATCAACCACATTTAGTTATTTAGTTATCGCATTAACGCTTTCTTCAGTTTACACCATCAAAAGTTCTTCATTTTTAAATAATTGTCCGCAAAGTTATCCGCCGCAACACAATCCGCAACTTATTCAGCAACCCCCGCAGTCTCAATCATTAACACGCCGACGGTGAGCGCGTTCTACGCCCAGTTCATTTCATTCTCGCGCATAAAACTATGAATTGGAAATTTACAAAACTATTCGAAGCTAACATTGTGAAGGATTTTACTTGATGTAGGCTTCAGGGGGTATAGCACCCTGCTTCGTTGCTTCTGTAAAGGCAAATTGTGCGCGGTCGTAGTCCCAATTTGTTTCTTCTAAACATCTGTAAACACAATAGAAACATATAGGAAATATTCCGTCAAGTGATTTTGCCATAGTATGTGACAATAAATATTAACGTAAAGCCTACTTTTGCGTCCATTCCATGTTCATGCCAGTTGCTTGCATGAGCGCCTGCAACATCTGTTGCTTCGTGAAGTCAACTGGAGGCGCTGACACGGAAGCAACTGGTGATGCTATCGGCATCGCCGGTGCTAGAAATGACGACGACTCGGTCACGTTTGTCTTGAACGAGTTCTGCAATCAAACATTAAAAACAATTTTAACACTGCATAAAGACACTAAAAATATTAAACCTACATCCATTTGGGTCTCGGTGGCGTTGGAGATGTGTAGCATCTCATTGATAATGCAGAATCCTGTTCCAACTGGAGTGATAACAAATGATCTGAAGAAGTGACGTATCGGCGAGTTTTTCTTGCCGGTGCGTGTCTCCTTGAACAGTCCGGTCACGTTCAGTGAAATCATTTGTGGCTGGATAACAGAACAGGTCGATAATTAATTATTCAAAGTTAGTATGAATAATAGGACAAACCGTGTACAAGATTAAATCAACCGTGAAACTATTCAAATCATGTTTGGTCTGCGGCATCTCCTCATGAAAGGCGACAACAGCAAGATGGCCCTGTTTGAGCAGTTTGCGACGGCGTTCCGCATCGGTGATGCGCTCCAGATTACGATTGTCGGTGTTGTACCAATTTAATTGAGGAGAGTTCTTCGGATGTTGATTGTACCCGTATGCCATTGTGCAGGACATTGCCGCGTGCTCATGATACGCATGCAGCAGTGCCTTTCGATTATCGCTGTCCATGATTTCGAAGTACTGGGCGAGAAACTGCCGCACCATCGTTTGCCCTTCCTGACTGCACAGGAAGGTGGGCACCGGAGCGGGCATTTTCACATCATCCACGTCGAAGACAATCGGAGGTGGCAAATCAACGCCATCCTAGAATTTTTCAATCGATAAACAATACATCTTATTACAGAGCATAATAATCACTTACAAGCCTCAAAAGTTTGGGAAAACGCTTGCGAATTTCGCTGCCAACAGAAAATTTACAAGTTTGCAGAGTCAATTAGTAAACACTGTCATTATCTCCGAGTACTTAAGAATAAAACAATTAATACTTGACTCAAATTGTTGTGATAGTCATAATACAGCCTTCATATGATTTAAGCAAAACATCATTTCAATTTCTTATCCACATGATTACAAAATTGAGAAACAAAAAGTTACAATTCATTTTTTTTTTTCACAATATAAACATTTATGACAGATACCTTATTCACTCGAATCATCTTGTTTTTTTTTCGACTTTCTTTCTTTTTTCTTTCAGCATAAAAATGACAATTCTTCAAACTTCATCAAACTTCGCATTAATCCATGCGTATACCTAAATTTTAATTACTTTACAATGCTACTGGCACCAGATAAGAGGCAGTTACTTACAAAAGGTAAGAAATTGGAAATATTAAGGAAAATAATAGCTAGTTTGATCACTAGCAGATCGCCGACTTTCATCGGAAGAAAGACTTGTTGATTATGTTGGCAGTATACTGCGCATTCTCCTCGCAATTCGCTCGCACAACCAAGCTACCCACACGCCGATGCTGTCCGCATTGAGCGGATATCGAGACTCGGCTCGACTGCATCCTATGGCTACGGCAATGCAACGGATGTAGTAGTATACAAACCGAGGCACGTTACTGCTTATCAGTTGTGACGAGACGAAGCGACACCCAACCCTTTTGCAGGTATTGTCAGTATTGACAACTGACTTTGAATGGGAAGACATTCGTGATTACACATAAGCGCACACAGAGGACGGATATTCGAAGAATTCGTTATAGGATGTGCCAGTTTTACAGAGCATAAAGTTGTATGAATTCAAACAAAAAATTTGTCTTTTGAAGTGAAGTTTTGAAGTATTGACATTTTTGCATGCATGAATATTTTGGTGTTTTTTTTTTATTATTATCATTGATTTCGAGCAAAGATGGCATAACTTGTAAACACTAAATTAAAATTGCAACTTTTCTCTTCCCAATCCTGTGTTCAATGCGTTTTTGCCGAAGTTTAGAGTCTATATCATATTAAAACTGTATGCATGACTATCCCGGTTCGTATTTTTGTTCATTTCAGTATTTTTCTATGAAAAACAATATTTGTGTACAGAAATGCACACAAAAACGAACAATTTCCAACAATTATTCGCGTCAATATTGAATGTCTAGGGATAGGGTTATTTCCAACCGCGCCAGCTAAGGATGTTTTTGCCTGGCACGTTGGTTCCTCACCCAAGATCTCCATCTACGCACCCGTCGTCGACGGCCGCCACCTAACTCTAGTGTTACCTGATATAAGACGCCTGATCTTTAAAGTTGTCGCACAATTGGTTTCCATCCAGTATGAGCTCAACTAACGGCAAACCGGTAAAATTGTCTAAATGGTTAATGCTCTTAAGCTGCAATCAACAACGAGAAATTAAATGAAACAAAATCGTTCGATCGCCGGCGCATGGCTGTAAGAAACAAGCCAATCAGAAACAAATAAAAGAGACTAGGAACCTTGTTGTGCGCGAGATGCAATGTGTTAAGGTTGGGCATCTTCTTGTCCAGGTCCTTGAGATGTGTGACCACCTGGATGTTGTTGTCGTTGAGATTGAGCGCTTCCAGCTCGGGAATGTTCTCGGCGATTATGTTGATAGCTGCAACGCTGACCACTGGTTTGAAGAGCGGGCAGAATGTGTCTTGGAGGTCTGGATCGGCGTGGAACTTGCTAAGATCCAGCGCTTTCGTCACCGGATTGAATCGTTTCGACATCACGACCTTCATTTTCTCGCGCAGAACGTCGTTGACGTCCACGCTCGGCGTGTCTGCTTGTACACGTATAACAAGCTTGAAACCATCCGGCATTTCTATACTTTTATTGAGCATATGGAGCTTTTCCGCAACGCGAAAGTCTTCCACATAGAAGCTTGCTGATCTGCCTTCCATTGTATACTGAACATCAAGAATATATTATGTATACTCAATTCAAAAGTTATGTTAAATTCACTTACCATGTATGGAAACAACGCCAGAGGTGTGATATTATCCAACAACTTCTTCAGCAAATATGGTTTGTCATACTTGCCACCAAATGGCAGCTATGTATAAACAATAATTACAAAAAACATCCAAAACAAAATGAAGAGTAACTTACATGTACACGATACCAACTCAGTGGGCTGTTAAATAACCTCTTCTGAGGTGCAGGTGATCCGGAACGATGTCGCCCGCCACCGCGGTTCATCTTCCTGTGATGGGTGGATTGTCCTCCATGGTAATTACGCAGGTCAATCCCGGAATCCTCAAGGCTCATTAACTTCTTCAAGTCTGTGCGAATGAAGTTATCGCCGCGTCCTCCACGCGGCTGCTTGAAGCTTACCCGTTTCGATGTCATATCTAAATAACAAGCCATAAATTTATCAATCACAATTCCTCAATAATCATCGTGCAGAATTAAAGAATGAACATACCGTTGGGGTACCATTTGTTGTTGTTGCCGCGTGGTTTGGGCATGTTGTTTCTGTACGAGCGATTCGTTGCTGCGTTGTTTTTGGAGCACGGATGCTCCCTCAGTGTTCACGAGTGATGAAAAATAACCTCAAATGCAGGTTATTTACTATGGCAGAATTCGTAACGCGGATTATGCACGCGAATTCATCGCAATTGTGTGTACAAAATGCAAGGTACAGATTCACGTCCAAAATGGCGATACGTACCAACCAGATATTATTCACTTCTGTTTGTCTCAGCGAAACGAATTCCCACCAATGCATGCGCGTTTACTGTCATCACTGACGGGAAATCGACGTTGAAACATGACAGTAGAGGGGAATCGCGCTATTTTCAAATATTTCACAAGTTGCATAATTGTTGCGCGATATCAAAATAAATAAAACTTACAACTGTTGCAATCAAATCAATCAAAAATAGATATCACTACTTTTTTTGCACTTGTCACTTGAATTTTACGAATTTTTACAAACGCACCAGAAGAAAATGGATGATCGCAACTCAACTTTAATTGAGCACTTCCTCTGTGGTGGAATGGGCGGCACGTGGACGGTTCTCGTCGGTCATCCATTCGATACCGTCAAAGTCCGTCTACAAACCATGCCAAAACCCGAGCCAGGCAAACCACCCCTATACAGTGGCATGTTTGACTGTTTCCGTACTACTATAATCAAAGAGGGCCCTAGTGGATTGTACAAAGGCATGTTGGTGCCGTTATTAACAATCACACCCGTCTTCGCCATCTCCTTCATGTCCTACCAGCTGGGCAAGAAAATTTTTGCTCACAACGATCCCGCGCCTTCCAACTGGCGCAAGTTCCTAGCTGGGGCATTCGCTGGTGTGGTCACAACCACTGTCATGGCCCCGGTAGAGCGTGTAAAGTGCATGTTGCAAATCCAACGCGAAAGAGAGAAGGCCGATCGGCAATTTCGTGGACCAATTCATCTCATTAGCGCTGAACTGGCCGAGGGCGGTATTTCAAGGATCTACAAAGGATTCTTCGCCACCATTCTTAGAGAATTCCCAGGGAGTGGCATTTACTTCCTCACTTATGAGTGGTTTACATCGTACCACACTGTGGGTACATCTGCGACTCTCTTGAAGATGGTCATTGGAGGTGGAATGGCAGGAGTTGTTATGTGGATGATTGTTTTGCCCTTTGACACGCTCAAGAGTCGTCTGCAAACTGCACCGCCTGGTACCTATACTGGATTGGGGCATGTGTTTAAGGATCTCATGGCTCACGAAGGACCTGCTGCTTTGTACAAAGGCGCCGTGCCGGTCATGGCTAGGGCTTTTCCTGCCAACGCTGCTTGCTTCCTTGGTTTTGAGTTTTGCAATAAGCAAATTGTGCAAAGACTCCGGAAACCAACTCCTGATTAAATTAATTATGAATTGCTTGATTTATGAAACCAATACATTTTTAAATTTGACCGACAGTCATACAAACAGTCTGGCGGGCAGTCTTAACAGTCTTGCGTACCGTCACATTTATGTTTTCTAATGTAAATACTTCATAAAAGATGTGTTTTCTCGTTAAAATCATGATTTTTAATTATTAAAAATTAACTGGCGCAAGTTCCTAGCTGGGGCATTCGCTGGTGTGGTCACAACCACTGTCATGGCCCCGGTGGAGCGTGTAAAATGTATGTTGCAAATCCAACGCGAAAGAGAGAAAGCCGATCGGCAATTCCGTGGACCAATTCATCTCATTAGCGCTGAACTGGCCGAAGGCGGTATTTCAAGGATCTACAAAGGATTCTTCGCCACCATTCTTAGAGAATTCCCGGGAAGTGGAATTTACTTCCTCACCTATGAGTGGTTCACTTCGTACCATACTGTGGGTACATCTGCGACTCTCTTGAAGATGGTCATTGGAGGTGGAATGGCAGGAGTTGTTATGTGGATGATTGTTTTGCCCTTTGATACGCTCAAGAGTCGTCTGCAAACTGCACCGCCTGGTACTTATACTGGATTGGGGCATGTGTTTAAGGATCTCATGGCTCACGAAGGACCTGCGGCTTTGTACAAAGGCGCAGTGCCGGTCATGGCTAGGGCTTTTCCTGCCAACGCTGCTTGCTTCCTTGGTTTTGAGTTTTGCAATAAGCAAATTGTACAAAGACTCCGGAAACCAACTCCTGATTAAATTAATTATGAATTGCTTGATTTATGAAACCAATAAATTTTTAAATTTGACCGACAGTCATGCAAACAGTCTGGCGGGCAGTCTTAACAGTTCTAATGTAAATACTTCATAAAAGATGTGTTTTCTCGTTAAAATCATGATTTTTAATTATTAAAAATGATTTAATTGTCTCTTTATGCTCAAACAATGCTTAAAAATCATTTGAAGCGTCAGCAGCGCCCTCATATCCCCCCTAAGATCTTGCGGACTGTCCATACCGGCTTGTCGCCTGTTTGCTGACGTTCCTCAACACCCCCGATCAAAAAAATGGGTAAACAAATCCATTTCTCTTCATTTAAATCATTAAATAATTACGATTTTACCATTTTATGTTCACAGCAACGTCCAGTGGTACATCCTTCGTCTTGTCGCTCATCAGCTCCATTCTCATTCTCTCTGGAATGCAGATGTACAAACCTTGGTTGAATTCCTCCCAATTGCATACAATCTTCGGAGGATACCTGGGTTCACTATTCTTCATGTTCCTCATCACCGCTTGCGGGAACCTCGAGTCGATGACATTCGGCAAGTCCATGCAAGTGAAATTATTTCCTGAGAGTAAGCATTCATAAATATAGTGTTAGTTTACTGAATAAATTGGTTATGTTGTTGTTTTAGTTGGATTCTGCCTTACATTCTCTGTGATTTGTGCAGGAACTGTACACAGAGTATCAGCAACAACATGGTAAACATAACTTAAGCCTTCTGGAGTAATTGTTTTATAAACTTATTTGTTTAATTCCACTGTTACAGCTTAATATTCTCTATCATTGCACTGTATTACATCAACAAACATTCACAGAAGGTTTATGCAGCACCTCCTCAAGTGGCAAGTGTGCAATCAAGCAAAAAACGTAAATAAGTCAAGAAAGAATGCAAGCAAACTGTGTTTGGAATTAATGAAACTTGAGTCTCACATTGTCTATGTTTAATTGAATTGTCATCACAGTAAACAAGTTTAAGGAATAAATTTTATACATACACAAATTCATGTTTGATCATTATTGACAAAATACCCTCACAATTTCTACCTACTGACCTATCAAAGTGTTATTTTTATCTTTCAGTGATAAATCAACCTTTACAAACTAATGCAGTTTGCATTTGTTGGTAAACAAAAGTTTAAAGAAAGTGCATTGTTTACAAGTTGTTAAGTTTTGTTTGTTTTTTATCTGCACTTGATAGAAATGTCGCAGTTGAGTAAGCGCAGCACGGAAGTCAATGTAAACGCATAACTTACGTTAATCAAGTTAAACAAGTGAAACACGATGATGAAGAGAATGTGTCACAGTTGTATTTTCGTAGTTTATTTGGTTTATTTAAAGAATACAACACCCAAACAACAAGTAAAGTTTCGTTTGTTATCGGCGCACAAGTTTGAAGTGAAAGTGAGAGGACATGTGATCCCACCCCAAGCAATCCCCACCGCCACCGGCGCCGCGCCGCCCGCGCTGTCAAAACAGCCGCGTTTCAGTGGTCAGGTGTCAAATTGCGCTAGTCGTTTAGTGTTTTGTAATATTTTTGTAAATAATTTTAGCTTTAAAAACCCGAGGCAGGAGGATGGTTTAATACAGAATACGGTTTGCCGAGAACGCAGCAACACCATGGTCGGCGTCGCGCACATTCGGGGCGAGTACCCGCTGCACTGGCACGTGTGGCGCAACGATTACAAGCAACTCGAAGAGGAACTCAGCCGAAATAAAGTAAATACACCAACCGTTCTCGCTGCCAATTAGCGACGAGTGGTTTGTCATCATTTAATCACGCTAATTTATCACTACACACACACACACTAGTCCTGCATGTATCAGTCTTAATTTGAGTGGCCAAGTCAGGAAGCCAATGCAGTGCACCTGGCTCCTTTGATTTGTGTGCTCTTTTAAGAAACCTTAACAAACCTAATACCTTAATGCTATTTGAATCCACTGAATCAATTTCTTTTCTAGCTGGAATTGGAGAAATCAGACAATCGCGGCCGCACGCCGCTTATGTTAGCTGTGACTTTAGGTCACTTGGAAAGTGCAAGGGTGCTGTTAAATTTTGATGCAAATGTTAACTTTGAGAATCCAGAGGGATGGACTGGTAAACTATAAAGTATTTCTCAATTCCCACACTCTCTAAAAGAGTCTATTTCACAGTTGTACAGGAAGCTGTATCCACTGGGGATCCAGTGCTGCTTCAGATGGTGCTACAAAGCAGGGATTTCCAGCGGTATTCGAACCGTATGGCCGGCATTCCTGAATTACTACAGAAATTAAAAGATGCGCCTGATTTTTACGTCGAAATGAAGTGGGAGTTTACTAGTTGGGGTGTGTTTTGCTATAAACTTGATATTTATCAAGTAAATCAAGTAAATGTTGAACTTTTCATCATCTGCTGGATATTTCAGTGCCTCTGTTATCACGTATGTGTCCAAGTGACACCTATAAGGTGTACAAACGTGGTTCCAACGTGCGCATCGACACCACACTCCTCGGCTTCGACCATACAAGTTGGCAGCGCGGCAATCGCAGCTACGTATTTCAGGGACAAGGTAAATATCCGTCGACGATGTGCGTGTGGTGTTTTGTTTAAAATCTTAATGCATGTAGCCATTCAAATAGGCGAAGCCATTCGTGGCAACAGGAGTTACGTTTATTCACTGACAACGTCTGGTAATGTTTGCATTTTTATTGTTTTGCTTGCTGTACATAGTCATGCTTGCGCAGCAATTAAAAGAATGCTTGAATTTTGTTGCATAAATCCGATGTTACCGTATATTTTCTCTTAGATGGCGGTGCGACGATGATGGAAATCGATCATGAAACGCGCAGCGTGTATTCGGAGCAAATGCGAACACCAGAAGAAGCGCAGGGTATTTTTGTACCCTCCGAAGAGTCGCTTTCACAACGTTTAACCACACCGATTGTGACAACCTACGTTGACACCGATAAAATCAGTTTCGAGAGGAATAAGGCGGGTGTATGGGGTTGGCGTTCGGATAAAATGGAAATGGTAAATGGGCATGAGTGTAAAGTATTCGGTGCTAGCAATGTAGAATTGGTGACGAAGACGCGCACCGAACACCTTACCGAAACCGATAAAGCGATCGCGCGCTCAAAGAGCACCAAAACACCGTTGCATAATTTTCTTGGCATTGCCGACGTGGACGATGAGGCGGCTGCAGCGGCAGCGACACAACCAGCTCCGGATGAAGGCGCTGTTGCGAACACAGTCGGTAATCCGTGTAATATCACCGCTGAGGAGTACTTCGACGCCGGCGTCGATCTGCATGGCCGTGATATCGGCCGTCCGAAGGAAGTGAATGCACGCGTGCAGAAATTCAAAGCGACGCTTTGGCTCTCCGAGAATTATCCGCTCTCGCTGCCCGAGCAGATCCTGCCGATTGTTGATCTTATGGCCATTTCCAGCTCGCACTTCGCCAAGCTGCGGAATTTTATACAAATGCAACTGCCAGCAGGTTTTCCTGTCAAAATAGGTATTTACCTACGGAAAGTTAAAACATCTTACTTTAATAAATATTCTCTTGGTGTAGAAATTCCATTATTCCATGTATTGAACGCACGCATTACATTCGGCAACATCTTCGGTCTGGATCAGGACGTACGCCATGTGGCGCGCCTTGAGGAGGACGATCGACTGTCATGCGTCCTCGACGACGTACTCTTCCAAATACCTCCGGGATACAATCAGCTTGGTAATGGTAATACACGAGTTTGTTTTTTGTTTCCTGGACTCATACAAAACACTACGCAATCATTCAATAAACATACATTTACACAAGTTATTATATTATTCAAACTATTACGTATTTTGTGCGTAAGTTCGGAATGACAAGATTTAACTTGTTTGTAGTTGGTTTGGATGAACGGCGCCAATATAGCCTTGAGGAAGAAGACGATCTTCTGCAATTCGCCATCCAGCAGAGTCTCATCGACGCCGGTACAGAAAAGGAAGTCGTCGACATTTGGGAGGCGCTCAAGGCAAAGAAACCATCGCGTCCCTCTACTCCTAATTTGGGTAGCGAGGAAGAACGCCAGTTACAAAGGTATTCTTAATTTCACTTGAGTCCAACAACTCACAATTAAATTATACGTGTTTTTTTAAAACATTTTTTTCCTCATAGACGGAAATCCGTTTTTGCGAAGCGTTATTCAACTTAAAACTTGCTTAAATCGCCTTTTTGTCTAGTTATCTTAGCGCTATGCATGTTTGTAGTAAACTAGTTTGACGCTAGCTGTAATTGTGGACATTTCTAGAGCAATACAAGCTAGTCTCGCAATATACCAAAGCAACGACGAGCTGCCGTACACCGAGGACGAGTCGTCCGACGCAGACGAAGACATCCACAAGGCAATCATGCTCTCCGAACAGCAGCGGCAGCGCGAAGAGCAGGAGCGCATCGAGGAGCAGCGAATGCTCGAAGAGGTCCTCCAGTTGTCGCTCACCGAGAAGTAATCAGCCAGCAGCGCGGGATCGCTCCGCTGGTAGGTTGAGCGAGTATTTATTTCTTCCGAATGCGTTCTAAACTGATACAGGTTTATATGATATTCTAACTGATAATTATATATTAATCAAAACGTTGCGGAGAGACGGGGGGGTGTTACGAGATGGATGAGTGTAACTAATTTAGTTAGCTAAATGACTACGACAAAAACGACTGGGGCAAATATATGCGTATATTTTCCACTGCGCGGAGGACTGCTGATAACTGAAACTTAAACGATGAAAAAGAATCACATGTTAACATCACAACTAATTGAATGTAACTAATTTTTAATTTCTCAACCATGAGCTGACTGTTTGAATGTTAATTTTCTGTTTCTAAATGTGTCGATTTTCCGTTCTCGATTGTTTTATGCCCAGGGTGGCCTGAAGAAGTTTTAAGAGTTCCACCCTGGTTAAATAATATATATGTTAAATGAGATGTGAACTGGTAGCAATGTGATGTTAAGCTGGATTTTAATTCTAAATTTTATACATTTTCAAGAGGCAAGTTCCGCCCTTTCATACGAGTATTACACTTACACTTTGGGCAGCGATTATATGTTAATAAGCGGCCCAACTTTATGTGTACTTATTTTAAGCTAAGCAGCGCTCGGCCGGCGCGGGACAGCCAAACAATAAAAATTATCAAAAGTACGCTTTCTCGCATCGTGATATCATCAACATTTAAATGTAACGTGTCTTGCGACCGGCCACATACGGATGATTCCACAGATTCAACACAAGCTCACACCTGCTGAAAGCAAAACCAATACCACACACACAATTTGAAACATTTTTATGGCGTAGAATTCGAGCGGGGCTGTCATTTGTTTGTTGTAGAATACCATTCGTTGTTTAATATTGTTGGTTCATCGATACTCGACTTACATGGCGTATATTACGATAAGACTTGTCCAAACAAACAAAAAAACATAATTTTTATACATGAAATGAAACAAATACGAAGCAAGAATCAAACACTCGCCGAGTTGCAACATGAATACCTTTGTATACAGTTTAATCAATCTCCGGAAATTAAACAGCACTTATTCTGTGTCATACAATAAATGATGAAAGCTAGGACGCATTTATTCGAGCATCGTCTCATGCGCCCTGAAAACAAAATTGCACCCTATTGTAACTTGTTTTTTTTATATCATGCATGCAATTAAACAGTTGAAAGTCACTTACTTGGAGTAAATGGTCCTCAAAATCTTTCTGCTTTGAGCGTAACGCTCCTCATTCTTGGCGGCCGTCATAATCCACTTTCTCTTGATGTTACCCCATCGTCTCAAGTGCGAAGACAGCAGTTCCTGCTTGGACATTGGTGGATTCTCATCCTGAACAATAAAACAAAAAATATTTTAATTTACATGCTTGATATACACATTAATAGGCGATTATTCATGCTATATTACACTTACATAGTTAAGATTTATCGCATCTTTGTCCTTATCTAGTTGCTCGGGCGTTGGAGTCGGAATCCTAGTGACAAACGGTTTACTAGGAGCCGGCAGGCGATACAAATCGGACGTGAGATTGTTATTCCATTGGGATTCAGGTTCTGGTGATGATAATCTCCTCCTGAATTAATAAAATCGACATTACAGTGGTTGATGATACAACCACATCAAACAATTCTATAAATAGTGCTCCAGAAATATATCATGCATGACTTTTAGATGATTTTAAACACATAGTGTTTTCAAATGAAACATACTTCACAATTGTATGTTGTTTCTTGCTGTTATTCGCCATCCACGCTCGGCAAATCGGATACAACGGCGTGTCCTCCTCGAACTTGGCCAGGTCTACGCTGCGATCGTACAACTTCATCAGATAGGTGCTTCGTACCGGTGTCGTATCATTTCGTGTCCTGCTTTGGAATACAAACGCACATTAATAACCTCAATAACTCCTCCAAAATCACATAAATTATCAAACTGCTGTAGTTTAATGAATGGAATAGTATGTAATATGAGTTTATAAGAGCGCAATTACTTATGATGATGAGGTCTATCGTCTGAATCTTCCGAATCCGAGGATGATTGTTCAGTGAGCAGTTTGAGAACACCCTGGAATCGTCCCTTCGCCATCAGATAATCGTTACCCATCACGTTTTCCTCCTTAACCTCGACTCGTGTTGGCGACTGGCTATCTAACCTTCCTCGCTTCTCTTCCATTTTCATTTTTATTTGACTCTTTTTGGCGAAAATCAGTTTTGTTTATGTTTTCTTCTGGTTTGAACCAAGCGTTCTCACTTTCCAGTAACGCAGTGACTTTGAATCTGGTGATATTACTATATGGTGGTTTAGTGTCGCTTTTTTGATACCAGGTGGCGCTAGTTATACTGTTATATCTATTTTTATCAGTTTAAATAGTTTAAAGTTAGTTGCGATAGGGTGAAAAGGCAATTTATGAATACTTTTACACACACTTTGATTACAGATCAATTCAAAGCAATATTATTAGTAAATCTAAAGATTTATTATTTTTTGGTGTTTCTAACATTCTAGATCACGTAGGCTATGCGTAGAAACAAAAAAAAAACAAAGGAAAACCAAACAAACTCCCCTTATTTGCACAGTCATGCTTTTTTGCACTCTTCGAGAAACAGTGGTGTGAGTCAGATCGTGCGCGAAAAGCATTTCAACATGCATCAACCGTACGATCCCTTCAACTTCCTCCCGAATCATGGACAGGTCGGAGATGTTTCGCGTACTCCTCAAGCTGGTGAAATAATTAGTCTAATGACTACTTCATTGATTCGATACGAGGGATACCTGCTCGGCATCAATAGCGAAATGATGACGGTCGGCATGTGCACGGTGCGTTCGTTCGGCACCGAGAATCGACCATGTGCCAGCCCCATTCCACCGCAGAAGGACACCTACGATTACCTTCTATTCCGGTGCGACCGCGTCATGACGATGTCAGTCATCCAGGATTTTACACCGATTGCTGGTCTTAACCGGTTTGTATGATTTTATTATTTATTCGATCCAGATGCCTACATCATTGTAGGGGGTGCTTTATGGGGCATCATAACCTTACTCGTTGCTATACAAAAATGGAGGCGCATTGCGTTTCTGATATCAAATACTGCAACGATTTAATTTTTTTTTCAATTGAAAGAGTGAGTTATGTGTGAGTTTTGTACAAGTAGAAAGAAATAGGTAGAAATAGGTAGGAGACGCTGAGTAATCTTATTTTCCAAGCATTATTCTATGGTCATTATGTTCCTTTATTAAAACAGAGGTTATGTGATAGTTTTCCGACTATTGTGTAAGCCGAAAATATAAATCATAACACATGTTTATATAATTTTACAGCACTACTCTTGTTTCTTCGTTTGATGGCCTGAGAGGTTTCAATGACGACGCTACCATTCCTCCGGTGAACCCGGCCGAAAATAATTTTCCGCCATTGTTTACCAACGAGCGCCCAATGCACGAGCCTTTGTACGACTATTCAAAGTCCTTCTCTTCTGCGACTCCCTGGATGCCTAGGGTTACTCCCCAGATGGCCCAGTGGCAAGGCCCGACGCGGAGAATACAGTATCCACATCAAGTGAATCCTAGGACCTACCAGTCTATACCAAGGTGGCAACCACGGGTGTCCCAAGGTCCTCCACCGCGTTGCTCATACCCACGCGGTTATGTCATGCCAATACCACGAATGGAGTTCCGAGGACCAATGATGATCACGACACCTCCACCAGAAGCACCGAATTCAGTTAATACTTCATCGTCGAGCAGCAGTAGCTACGACCCATCCAGTTTCGAAAACAACGGTAAAATTGTGCCTTTCGAAGCCAATGAGGAACCAGCCAATGAAAGCCTGTCCCCAACATACCCTCAACCTACCTTCCATAGGGTACTCGGACTTGATAACCCTAACAATGTTAGTCAATCCTTAGCGGTCCAAGCTCAACCCGGTATGACAGGCCGCGCTAAATTCCCAAACGCATCCATTTTTAGCCCGATCAGCAAGACCCCGCCGTATCCTCCAGCGCATTTCCTGACACCGCCTCCTCAAAGTATCGAAGAGGGCCCGATTCGTGGCGACTATAATTTTGAACGTGCTCAGCGCATGTTTGAAGAACTCTGTAAATACGACGCCTCTCGCGAGGAAGCCACCGCTGATCAGCAAATAACTGTCGATCAGAGTACTCAGGGAAATATGTTTGGGGTTCGAGGTATTAATAATGTGGGTGTTAAGCCGAAGGGTTACGACAAGAGACAATCATTCTATGATGCCATTTCTTATGACTCTTCGGAAATCAATAAGTTGACTGACACAACATCGACTAAATTGAACAAGGAGACTTTTGGTGATAGAGCTGTTCGTAGACATTATATCAACAAGCGTGGTGGTCACCAATACTGACACAAATCTAGTCCATAAGGTAAAGTGGATGACACGATTTTTTATTCCATTAAAATATTGTTATATTTGTTAGTTAGGTTTAGGTTAAGTTCAAACTTGAGCACACAGAGTACAAATTACTTAGGTCACAAGATAGGTTATATTTAGCTAGGGGGACATTTTTTGAAGGACAAAAAAATTACAAATCAAAACCGAATAAATAGTAGCAGAAGTTAAATAGTTAAGCAAGAATATGATTATGCGTTATGTTTTAAGTTTTGTTATGACTTAGATTTTATTATTGTTAAAAGGCACAACACAAAGTTATAGTAGGTAATAGTCCGAATGTTTAATAGCAAATGTTTTTTGTTCTGTTTGTTTTATGTACTTATATGTTTCATATTTGTTCCGGTCGTCAAAATAAAATACAAAAACAGTTTTGTTTTCAAATATTTATTTGTTTCGCATATAATTTATAACAGTTATAAAAGTAACGCAGCTGACTTCTTAAATCTGGTTCTCTGAAACACACAAAATGATTGAATTACAATATATAATTCATAGTTTTCGAAAAGAGAAATAAATTTCATTGTAAATAATAGCTAGACAAATTGCTGGGCGGTATGTATGAGAGATTGTGGCCAGCGATAATGATGCACATCGCCGAGTGCACATTTGGGATTTCCAAGGGCATTGCATCTCAAAACTAGGGCAAATGCCGCTGAGAAACCCCAGAAGTGCGCGGGCAAATCGCGTTTCGGCCGACGCAATAACCGTACAATTACCCGTAATAGGAAAATTGCGAGTGCGAGTGCTGTGTGTTTACACAATTCCAAGATTCGCCGAGGCAAAAATGACCGCAGCGCCCGAGGGATCGAAAATGTGAAAAGCATTTGCAGCAACAAACAACAACAACAATATCCACACCACACACCAGGGTCGCATCTAGCGCTGCGAGAAAATCACAAATTAGCTGCGTGTTTGTTTAAGACTGGATGTACCAACGAGATGTGGACTGTCTCTTCTACAGCGTGATGTTCTTTTGTTTCGCCCTGGGTGTAGTAGCATGGAATGTTATGCGTGCGCTCATTTTAAAAAGCATTAAGCACCCGGAATAATCTCGCCGGTCGATCATTAAAAACAATTTCTCAATAAGCCGTTCGTGCGCGGCTTCCACAGCTCTCGCCCCGGCCCCGCATCGGACAAAAATCCGCTCGGATCTAAGCTGCTGAAGGCAACGCGCATTGTGGCTTTGAATAATCGATATAAATCAATATTATATTTATGCGCTCCGAGACATACGCGCGTACGTCATGCGCAAAAGGCGAAGAGCAAGCACGGCCGGGATAAGAACAACAACAACACACATACACGCGGAAAATAAGCGCAAAACGAAAAACCGAACGGTTAAGATTTGCGGCCGGCGATTACGCCGTCCCTCGTCCTGCGCGCAACATAAATTACAATTTTCTCGATTAAAATTATCGCATTTTTATAATAAAAAGGATTATTTATATGCCCACGAGTATGTAGGTGCTTCAGCAGCCTGTCGGCCGCTGAGCGTTGCTTTATTTTTCCGTCTTCGTGCGAGCGCGCTGCTGCCTAGTTGTTTGCACGGGGCCCCGATCATGTATTGAGAGCTCGGCACTACAGTTAAAGTGCATCCAATTAATAATAAATTATAGTTAGGTAGTGCTCGTAAAGTAATAAGCGCGGGGAATTTTAACGCCCAAAGTGTGTTCCACGAAGTTGTTATAAATACGAGAGCGCGCAGCAGCCGATGGATTGGCTGTGCGTTGTGCGCGCACATGGAGAAAACCGTCGGCGAAAAAACCAAATGAAATGTTATGAATTACGTCGTTTCGGATTTACGTGGTGCGCGCTAAGGCACTCGTTGATTAGCCGCGAAGCTGAGAGACTGCTGCCACGGCTTGGGACTTAACAGGCCAGTAGACCGGATTTGTAATGATGCCCACTGTACCGATAAGGCCCAGGACGTAACGCACTCTTTTTTCAAATCTTTTATTCACCCTGAAAAATCAATGATAGTTGATAGAGGATGATTGTAAATGATACTCCAGATGCGGGATAAGGCACGTAGTTCTAGTTCGAGCACTAAATGCGGCGGAGTAAATTAATTGCACGCATTGCGAGCGCGATTGTTAATTATTTTCGCGAGCGGCGCGCAATAATGGCACGAACAACGCCTCGCGCTCGTAAATAATACGGCGGCGTCTTCGTTTTCTCCTGCGGTGCGCGCAGATGTGATCCGCGATCCTGCCGGCACGTACACCGTGCACTTACACTCGGTGTGCACCTACAGTGTTGAACACGCGCGTATTTTTCTCCAGCATGTCAAAAGGGCAACGAATTTTCTACTCAGTATTTGAGTTATGACTTTCTATGACAATGGACATGATGATTAGGTACTATCAAAACCAATAAAAACCAAAATTTTTGGTGAAAAAATGTATTTTAGGGATTTTAGTGATTCTGGTAACTTTTTCCGACTGCGTATGATTGAGGAAGTGACGTCAGTGTTAAGCAGAATGCTCTGTTTGGGGTTTTAAATAGATTTCTTCGCAGTTTTCAGCGTGTATTGAATTTCATATTTCGTTAAAATAAAAATGATTTTTAGCAAGAAAAGTAAAAGCGGCCATAACTTGCGCGTTAATAATCCCGCACGTCGCGAAGCAAGATTTTAATTACGAGATAAACCAGCGCAATCCGTTTTGATTTATTCGGGCAATTCGAAAACGATCCGGCGGTAAAAAGCGGTAGCATATTACGCGCGCATAATACCCATGTCGACGCAGCGGGGCGATTTTAATTGCGCGTAATGCCATTAATATTCTCGCGGAGTGTCGCCGCGTCGCGAAGTGCAACTCGCACAGCACATACACACACGAAAAAAAAAAAAGATGCTGGCGCGCCGACGTGTTCGTATATATTATTTAGTCGCTTTTTATCCGCGCCCGTCGCGCGTCGAACAAATGCAGCCGGTCATTAATAAATGATCGAAATCTATGATTTGTTACGTACGAGAATTAAAATAAATTAAATCGTCCCGCAACGCTGACTCGGCGGGTCGGGTCGCGCGCTCGCCCCGCTTGATTAATTAACAACAACGCGCGCGCCCGCTTATCTTTCGCCATGTATCTATATCTCTTCAACTTCCAGTTTCCTTCGGCGCGCGCGCCTTCGTGCCGTTCCTCGATTCGTTTTAAAGAGAGCCCGTTATGAACGCAAGGACAAAAGGCTACCTATTATGACCGCGCCGCGCGCTGCGCCGGCCCGGCCATCATAAATAAGATGCGTGTTTGTTTATGTTTTATAATAAATTATCGTTCAGGTCGCCGGTCCTGCCCGACCGCACTAATGATAAGCGAAGAATGCCGGTCGGTGGTCGCGGCCGGCTCGGCGCAGATCTCGATCGAATTCCACCGCTTTTAATTTAATTGTGCGCACAGCCTCCTTTCTGCAACCACCCACAACAACGGCGCATCGAACTCTCGCCATCACCATCGTTCTCAGCCGATTTCCATTCTTATTTGAATCGCTAAGTGACTTTAATGTTTTGTTAATTCTCGCCGTGCAAAGCTTATGCAAAAAATGCATAAATATCCTTCGACGTGTATCGTGACATTATTGGTATTATTAGAAACCCGCAGGTACGGTGCATTATTATTAAGTCGCGCTGCACAGCTCCGAGAAGTCGAGATTGTCGAGCTTGTGAAGTTTGAGCCGGCGTCGTGGATGGCTTGGATTATTGCGGAGGAGCAGCGTGCACGACGGCGACGTGCGCGCTCGAAGTAGCCGACGAAGAAATCTAAGATTTAAGAGATACGTATCTCCGGCTAACAACTATAACTACACATGCATGTCCAGCGCGCGGGTTCGAAGCAACAGCAAATTGCTTTCCCCTTCAGTGCACATAATATTCGTCCGCGCGCGGATGAGGATGTTACGAGGTGACGCGCGGAGACCGACAAGAACGAAGACAAAACACACACACACACACATCTAAACCGAGAAAAAAAAATCGTGCGCGATTCCGAATTCGATGCCGTAGAGATGCGCGCGCTCCCTTAGCGGCGATAACCGCATTTGACGTTTTGATCGATTCAATAAACTCATTCGAGCGGCGGGCCTTTTTGACGAGCGACGCGCATTCTTCGACGATTGTCCGGTGCGATAGGTCGTTAGAATACCGCCGCGCAGATTACAAAGTTTAATTAATTGTGTGTTGATTCGATTAAAAAGTGGGCATCCGACGAATGCGCGTGTGAAATTTCCTTTTGGACGCGCGCTAAACTTGTCATCGCATAGCATCGCCATGTATCATGTGGGTAATTGCCGGCCGCATTTACATTTATAACTTACTCACCGGCGTCGTTCCGTGGAAACGCTAGAATTAACAAATTAAAACTTACCGGGAACCTGGCCGCCGCTCCGTCGTCGGTGACGCTTGTCGCTGTGTGTATGCTGTGACTGTGCCTGAAAACAGAAACAAACGGTTGGTGTTTATCGATTCCGTACGGTTGTTGATCGGTTGTTGGGCACAATGCACAATAACTGGAGAAATCGCGCAAACGGACAAGACAGGCGGCGACCGGTGGCGACAATTTATGGATTTCGATTTTCTAATCGGCAATTATCCGCTCGAGCAATCTCCATAATCGCGCGGCGCAGCTTCAGCGCGTTTTTTCGCCGTAACAATCGGCGCGCAAAAATTCTCCGCACTTGTACGCCGCGTGTCGCGTAATTAGACCTACGACATCGGCATATTAAATCAAGGCTGCTGAAAATCGCGCGGAACGCGCCGATCGAGCGAGCATTAATCGCGCAGATAATTAATCGGCTTGCGACCGGCCATTTGTCGCATTTTGAAATATTTTATAATTGCAATTAATGCGCTGATATTTATAAGGCGTTATAATTCATGCGATTAGTCGTGCTATTTTAATTGGCGTTCGGGTATGTTCATGAAGCAAATTCCGCTGCGTCTCCGATACAATACAGCTTATATTTTTTGCGTCCTCTGTGTGCGCAAGGTGTTAACAAGTTCTTTTCTTGTCGTCGTTTTTTTTTCTCTCTGCAGTAAGTAAGTACATAGTATCTGGTGTTTTCTCTTGACGAGCATTTTCCGTCACGAATACGCCGCCGGACGCATCTATCAGCCGCGTATCAACATATTAATAAAACTGTTTACTCGTTTCCACTTATCACGCAACCAACAACGCATTCATTACCGGCGAATCGTTTAATTCCATCGCGATTTGAATAAATCATTTTTATCAACACTGTGGTGCCTAAACGCCAGTTAGATATAATATAAGCGCCGCTGTTACAGAATTACAAACGACGAGTATTATTATTGCGATCGGTCGCAATCGTACCAGGCTGTTTGCTCGCCTGCTAGTCGCGTTTGCTTCTTCCTGCTCTTTTTTCCGCAGCCGGCGCGCTCCTTCGTCTTCATAAAGTTTCCGTTGAAAGTTTTTCCAACGGCTTAATGGTTAACTCGCCATAACACCGGCAATAAATCAGACGTCGTAATTGAAAATAAAGTGTGATAGTTATACACTCTTTGCGCTGTAATGCGTTCGCGTGCGTTTCTTGCGCGGCGCGGTCGAAACAATGCGCGAAACGCGGCCGCGTGCAATTACGAACGGCGATGCGCGCGGATCCGTCCCCGACGTCGACGACAATTTAATGCTCCAGACGCTCTTCTCGTGTGACTGCGCCGCGATGCAAACGGCCGAGTAGATAAAGTTGTGTTTTTCCAATGTCCATGTCGATTGCATTATTTATCAGTGCGTACGGTCTACAAGCGTCACTCTCACGCAACTAAATCAAATTATACTATCATTGCGGAATTAACATGACAAAATAATTCCTCACCTTGCGGCGTGTCTTCGACAATCGGCAAGTTATGCCCGCCTTGTTCTGTAATTTATGACCCCGCGCCGGGCGATATTTAACGCGGCTGAAATTGTTGCGAGTGTAATCCTTTAAGCCGGCGGACGGCGGCGGCGCATTATGTAGATGAGCGCCGAATGAAAAAAACGCGCTGAAATGCAAAGCACGCGCGGCACCGGCATTCGAATGCAATTCGCGAAAAAGAATGCGTTTCAGCGTTCCGAGTGATACAAATTCAACACGATTTCGCCGCGAAAAAACGCCCGGAATGCGTATTAAAATACGGTAGTTCTGAATGCACGGTAAGTACGTGTAGGTACAAACGACGCGGCGGCGGGCGAGGATGAAACGGCGACAATGCCGCCGCTTGGAATTTCGCGCTTAAATTGGCCGCGGAGCGCGTCGGCGGCGCACCTTTGTCACCCGGGGAAGTCACTTCGGCGGCATTGTGCGCGCTTCAATTCACTTTTCAATTAGATCGCGCGCGCGCGCACGTTAATGTTTATTGGGATAATATCCATTTAGCGCTCGTTGAGCATCGTTCCAACACGCATTCTACCTGCCGAACAGACATTATACTAAAGAAAAATCATTTGCATTTTTTTCCATCACCGATAGAGAAAATAAAAGAGTTATATTCGGGAAATACGCAATTTACTCATTCAATTTTATTGAGTTTTTTGTTGTTGTTGTTGCGGAGTATCGCAGTGGCGCTTCTAGCCCGCGATTTTCTCAATCGTTAAAAATACCAACATCGACCACGGCCGGACTGCAAACGATGCACAAACAACAACAACAACGACGTCGACAAGCAATAGAATACTTGTTATGACTCGAATGAGCGCAACAAAAACGGCCGAACGGTGAAGAAAAACCGCAGGTCGCGGCTGCGATCCCGCGCAAGAAAACGCCGGGCTGCCGAGTGGCGTGTCGAGTTGTTTAGCCGTACACCGAGCGCATTTTCACGCAATTATTATGAATTATAACCGACTGCTGCACGTACGTCGCATGCTACGTCTATTACACGTCGCGCGGAAAAACCAGCGCGGAGGCAGGATCATCGTGCAGCCTCTCATCCTTCGCACGAATACCGGATGAATATACAACCGCCGTCACAAACTGGTAGTACGCCGAGCCGGGCTAAATACCCGCTGTCCGCGTCTTCGCGTCGTTTTACATTCGTTTTACGAGTGCGGCGAAGTTATGGGCTCGCGGTTGAGGTATGAAAAGAGTTCTGCAATGTAGGTACGCATATTCATCCGCGAGCGCACGGATGAATAATAAATTAAGCCAATTAGCCGTCGTCGTAGCGGGGCAATTAAGAGATGGACGCACGAAGTAAAAATCGAATTTCATGATCGCCATTCGTCGTCCAGCGGGAAAAATGACGACGCTGAGTTAGCTGCGCGCTGAATTATAAATGGATGATATAAATTTTCGAAGTGCCCGTGCGCCGCTCGTAAATAAACGAGGATCGCTTAATTTGTTGTAATTAGAGTGTATATTAATTACGATTCAGATGCTCCGACAACGGTATCAAATATTATTTATATCTCCACGTAATTACTCTATTTCAAAACACATTAAACTAAATCAAACAAAACGAAACGGATTTTTAAATTTAAATTTCGAAAAATTCTTCGAAAATGTATTGGCATGCAATGAATAGTAAAACATACCGCACTAAATATACTTTATTTATAGTTCACAATAAATTATCACCACGACTGACAAATAATTATTCAAGTTGTGACGTTTTAGTAAAGCTCGCTCAGTGTTGTGCGCTCAGTGTTCTTCGCGTTCCTCTAGTTTTATTATACGCGGCATTATCTGAAGGAACGGGCCCGATCTCCGGGCAGCGCGGTACGTCAAGACGTCAGTTTAATCGTCGGTTTAATTGTTGTTGATTAATTAAATAAGGTGGCTGCCGTTTCGCAGGTTTATTGCTCGCCGCCGAATGGGAAACTTGGACGACCTCCGCTACTGGAATCATCAACGCCTCTCAATGCTTACAAACAGTCGTAAAACACAAAAACACACACCGAAGAATTTCTGAAATAATGGAAACAATAAAAGATTTATGTTTATTAAAGTCTAAATTGTGTGGATTTTAAGTTATTTGCCTTCGGTTTGTTGGTTTCTATCCATTTGAAAGCTTGCTGAAGACTTTTAGACCTCCGAGTGCATGTGCACAACGAGCGTAAATATGCAAAGCGTTTAACCGCGTTTTAAATGCCAAATCGACGGCAAACGCGAGCGAATTAAATGGAGTATATACACCTATTCTACCTACCTCTGGGAGCGTTATTTATTTTTGAGCGCGCGCGCGCGCGCCGGATTCGATTCATTTGCATGCTTCGACACTTTGACATTTCGCGTTGTGCGAGAGCGTCGCGCGGAAAAATGCCGAAAGCGTATCAATAAAATATTGAAATTAATGAAACGCAAATAAGAACTGAGAAACATAATGGCGACATGCCACTTGCGGATCGAGGATGAAAAATTCAATTCGAAATGGCAAACACACGCAATATTCACGGTGCGTATGCGCCGTATGTTATAATTAAATTAGATAGACAATAACGCCGGAAAAAAACGTTGCAAATGTCAACGCGCTCGAGCGCTGCTAACCGCACCACAAAACGTTGTTGCGCTACGTAGTTTGCCCTCGTTTATGATAACTCTGCGAAAGAGCACAAAAAATCGCTTTATTAAATTATTCCGATATTCTAATGAATTCGACATGATAAATACATAGTGCCACAATCGAACTAATTGAAAGTGTAAAGAACAGCGACTTGTACGCGCCGTATTATCGAGCAACAATTTAAATGTTGCATGTGCTATGAGAAATGTGGCGACGGTATCGATGAACAGGTGAGCAGGTGGTTATGCAACGCCCGTGGAAACAGAGCAACAGGTGGAATTTGCATGAACACGACTGGTGTTTTATTCAAATCGCGATTCTTTTCCAAGCCGGGCCCGCAGCCGAAATGGACGGAGACGCGTTTATGGGTTTATGGATCTATTAAATTTCGTTCGATCGGTTCGGTACGGACTTAATCAGCGGCAATTTGCCGCGTGCTTTATTTATTATATGCTAAACTATTCAAATAATTACGCGTGTTGTTTCAGGTTCCAGTGCTGGTTCAACTGCTTCGGCCATCTGTCAGATTGATATGTAAATCCATAATTAGCAACCGTTTAAAAATGATTCGCTGGACGAAAAGTCGTGCTGAGGAAATCGTTGCCTATCGCAGGCTGTGTAATAATAAAGATTTCTCGTTGTCGATGTGATTTTTTTTTCTGATTTTTTGTTTTTGGTTTGTGGTGCGCTTATTTTACATTCTTGAGCATTTGGTCATGCACGAGCAAATATACAAGATGCAAGGACAATGATAACTCGGCGCCGTGTTTCCCATCGTTCTTCGGCGGCTGCGGCGGCCGCGGCGGCTGCAGCGACGCGTCTCAAACGTCAAACCGCGCGCATCGCTCTTCCTTGCTCCGCCGCGGCGCATAAATAATGCGAACGCAAACGTATCGCATTATAAATATAAATATATCGCGTTCGGAGCGCA